TAGAAAAACAATGTGAGTTTAATTTGCCTTCCAGATAACCAACATGAGTAGCCCATCTGAGATTTTAGTTAATAAATTAGGAAAGAAATTTTGTTGCACAAACGTTTTAATCAGTTTTTATTAGAATGCTGGAATTCATTATTCCATTTTTGGCGGAATTCCAATTCCACGGTATTCGTTGTGATGCCACTGGCTATACACCAATGTAGCTGATTCTCCCTTTGTCTTAATGTTTTGTTTATATTTTCCCTGTATCAGTACATTTCACTCGTCAGCGAATGACACTGGAAGATCTACGACTGCTAGAGATCTCGAAAATCTATCCACATACAGTGACAACCGTTTCTCAATACTTTTTTCCTAACCAAAGATATGATTACAAGCACCTAACGCTCAAAAGAAGTGGGATTTTGTTAGAATGTTCAACTTTACGGGTTGTTGTTAATATTTTGTTATCGCGAATTTACCAAATAAAACTCTAATTTATTATTTGTGATGCCAAATAATATTTAAAATTCAAATAAAATGTTGTTTGTGTTGTGTTTGTGTTTAATAGTTTTTTCTGCATTGTCTTCGAAGTGCACCAAGTTACCCCCTAGCTGAAGTTTTGACAGGCTTAGTATTAATATCACTTATTTTTCGATTAAAAATTACTTTTAATCATTGACTTGGACACTAATCAATTGTATTAACTATTTAAGTAGCAAAATGTGGAAAATAAATGAATAAAATATCTTGTTCGTTTGTAATTATCAAGATTGCCATTTCATCAAATTTTGTTTTTATCTGACCATACCATTATCACATACATATATTATACATACATATCATTCATGTCGTTATTTGTTGCTTACCGCACTCTCCTGATTGATTACCGTTTTAATTACATAGTTATTCAGTGCCTAGTCGAAATCAACGCTTTAGGAACAATTTTTAGGAAATGCTCTTTTTAAAGACTCTAAGTTTATTAAAATCTGTTAACTTTTTTTCGCGATATGGACATTGCTATATAGAATTAGTAATATAAAGTAAGAAAGAATACATCCCATTAAAAACATAATATGACTTAAACTACATGTCTCCATCGTTATTACTTTAATATTCTTGACAAAATGACAAAGGCATGATGAATATTCATTTTACATCACTAGATCATTTTTGTTAATAATTTTCGATCCAGTTAAAGACATACCTGTTTATTTTGAATTAACTAGCCATACACTTTACCATTTAAATTAATATATTTGTATTGTTTTTTATTTATAATAATTAGAATAAATTAATTGTTTATATTATCCATTTTAAAAATATACTATTAATAAGCACAAGAAACAAATAAACTTGGCAGGGAAAAAAAACTTAAAAAATTAATTTATTACCTACTTATTTTGTTTCTCAAATCAAAAAATAATTTTTATTAGATAATGCGACATTTTATGTGACACAAAGAAACAAATTATTCTGAAAATGTCAACTATAATAATAAACGCTGTTAGGTTGAACGTAACAGTGCTAATTCTAATTCTAACATTTTTGAAGTCCGTATTGAATTTTGTCTTTCCGGCTTTGATAGTTTTTTAGATATTTAAGCGTTCTGTTATAATTTACTAAAACTATTTGTAGCATATATTAGCAAGCTTGGTAACATCATACTTATTAATTTTTATACTAAACTGAAGTTCGGTTTGAAGTTACGGTATATATTTTTGTACATTTCGTTAAAATTCTGTATAATGAGTCTGCATATGTCTCATTCAACCATAAAATCTTGAAATTCGCAAAAATCATTCTTCTATAATATGTTTTAAAATGATTTTAATTAATAACATTTTTCCAATTTCAAAAAAAAGTACTATTTAAATAATATATCAAACATATAAACATATTAGTTCATTCAAACTGTTACTTGATCATATATTTTTTAAACAAATGTCAAACAGGAAGGGTGCTAGGAAAGTCCTGAAAGGCCACCAAAAATAATACAGCTTTCAATTTTTTGGGAAAATCTTTAAGGAAAAGTCGAAACTTCTGACAAAGGTCAAAATTTCTAAGAAAAAAATCTGAATTTCTAAGAAATATGCCAGAATTTCTGACATTGCGAATCGAAAGATAAAATATAGATAATTCTTAAAGAATGGCCAATCTCTAAACTGGAGGTACTAGATACCAACATATTATGAAATCCTAACATTAATTTTATACTTTTTTCATTACAATTACCAAAATTTTTATTGTTAAGTATGATTTTTTTATTGTTCCCTGTACCTCTTCATCTTTTAAGTATTTGTAAAAAAAAAAACAGAAAAATACTTTGAAATTTTTAAATGTACATAAGTCAAAAACGAGTGAAAATTCTTTCAGATTAACATCTTTTAACCGGTCCTCGACATACAAAAAAATACTATTTGATTTATCTTAATAATATGGTGAAACTAGCCCCCTTTACGAGCAACGGGCATATAAACTGCCAATTTTTATTATTACGCTATTAAGAACTTTACAAATATTTAATATAATATTTATATTTATATAATATAAGTATTTTCGAAATCAGCGAGATTTGTATGTATATTTTGGTATCTAGTACCTTCAGTTTACAAACGCAGAATGATTACGTTTCATTTATTAGATACTTATGTTATGTCGGAAACTCCGACTTATTTTTCAGAAATTGTGATGTTTTTCAGAAATTTTGACATATTTCTCAGAAATTTCTACTTGTTTTTCAGAAAATCAAACATTCTTTTATGCTGATAATACTCAGGTACTGTATTCGTTTTTTTCCAGTACTTGGTATACGACGCAAAAATTAATTAATAAAGATCTAATGAAATAACAATTTGAACATAGTTTGAACCTTAGATTTTAGGGTCTTATCTCTGCACCACTGCACAGGACGTCCCTCTTTTAAAGAAGCTACAATATTTCAAAACTTTAAAAGTCTTATCAGTGATACTCTTTAAACATACTTTTTTTGATTTTTTTTCTTTACATTATCTACAATATTATTTTACTATAATTGTGTGTTACTCAAGCGAATTAATAGTTATGTATCATTTTATCGGGGCTGAACATTGAACAATTTTTAATTGCTTTCATCTCCTTTTCTGCAATTTATCTATAGAGTAGAATAAATGTATTATTATTAAGAATATTTAAGGTCTAATTCTAATATGTAACAACGGTAGTGATCTGAATATTTTAAAATATCTGTTTATCATGCACAGAAAAAAACAAATTCTTAATGGTAGATTAAGAAGATCTTGAATATTTTCTATTAGATTTAAAAATGTACTACTTTCTGTTTTAAACGACCTAATATTCAAAAGAAAACGATAAAACGTAAAATACTTGCGATTTGAAAATATGGTTGTGCCATATTCTCGATGTTAGAAAATATAAGTCTATAAAATAATTGTCTCAAAATTATGATATCCTTGATGTAATAATTCCTCAATATGAAAAATGCTTAAAAAATATTCTTTCCATTATGGTATATAATTGTACAGTAATGTTTGGTTTGAGTTTTATCATGACTGCACGAAATCTGACGAAGCGTAACGATTGGTCATACTAACTTTCAGTGCAGTTTCAGTTTTTCCGATGTAAGATATAAGGGTTGTGTAACAATAAATATAGAAGACTCATTGAAACGTTTAGGACTTCCAGAGTCGCCCATTATAAAAGTATTGAAAATATGTATTTAGAACACTATTATTACCTTATTTACTACACATTACAAATACATCTAAATGTAGCTATCTGTTTAAGACTGTTCGGGGCCACATTCAAACTTTGAGAAATTTTGCTTGTGCAGACTATAAACCGCGGAGCTGATCAATAATAATGAAAATTATTTGTATGCAATATCTATGGGTATTTGGTATTTGGATCCTTCTATTTTTGCAACACCAAATACAACCAAAAAATATCATGACAGAGTTGAAGTAGTTTTGTTTATACTTTTAATGTATTTAAGGCTAGGAAAGAATATGTACCATAATTTTGTTTAGCAGCAATTATGCAAGCATGCGATCTTGCATAATTGCTTAAGCTGAACGAATTTTTAAGAACTTTGTATTATTTTATTATTTTTTAGATTAAAAGAAAATTAAGTAACTATTACATGTTACATCTGCATTCTGGATCATAAAAATAGAAATACTAGTTTTGGATAGATAAAATTAATGAAAAATAATGTAAATATCTGCTTCGGCTTACCTTCTTAATAAAATGTATCACTATCACTGGTTATAATTAGTAATGTATCTCTGAAAAAACCATTTTTTAAAAGAATTTCGTAACTACCTTTATTTTGTAAAAATTTATCAAAAATCGTGAGCCAATAAATAACTTGTTTTAACTGAGAAGCTGTATTTTTCAGCTTTAAAAATTTTAAAATTTACTTAAAAAATATCTCGCATTTTTATGGTAATATTACCACCCTCTCAATATATAACTTGGGTTGAACTGAACTACTGCTTGATTTAAAGCAAATATACGAACATTATTAAGCATATGTCTAACTAATTTAAAACTAGCAATATAGCGTAAATAGCGTAACTTTATATGTAAAGAAACGAAAAACGAATTATCTACATTTTTGTTTAAAACATTTGAAATATTCGAACGGAGCATTTCATTTTGTTAAAATAAACTTAAGATATTGATAATTTGCCATTTTTCTTTTAAGGCGCCATAGTCTTGAGTATATAGTATATAATATATACTCAAATCATCTATAAATTTTTTATTGTGATAGGTATTTACTGTTTGTGTTCCTTGCTTTGTGATTTTATTTGATATTTCTTTGCTCTCTATATTCTTACTTTTTTAACATTATTATTATTGTTATTATTATTTCAATATAATTTAAGTAAGATTTTTTTTAAATTATTTTCGTCCTTGCCATTGTATTCCGGCACACTTATTTGTTAAATGTTCCTCCTAATCGTCGTCATCTACGGCATCTCTCCGGTTTTAGCTTCCGCAACGGGCACCTCAACGGACCCCTACCATCTTCTGAACGCAGCGACGCAGCGATTGGTCGCCCAAGGCAGCGGCCAGATCCAACTGTGGCAATTTTTGCTTGAACTGCTCGGCGATTCGTCGAACGCCGGTTGTATAGCGTGGGAAGGTGCCAACGGAGAATTCAAGTTAACGGACCCCGACGAGGTGGCCCGACGGTGGGGCGAGAGGAAATCCAAACCGAACATGAATTATGACAAGCTGAGCCGGGCCTTGAGGTAACTATAGTCGATACGATTTGTGATGGCATAGTCGACAATAATACGACACTTATATTTCAACAGATGTTCAACCCTATAAGTCTATCGGATCAGTCCAAGACAGGCGTCACTAACAATAACGATTATATTACTTGGGAGTAAGAGAGACAGGATCAGTTGTACTGGGCATTTATTATTTCAACCAGTACGCCGATACTCAGAGATGGATTCATGTATTTTCTATGTAATAATAGATCAAGGAGATCAATAGATCATGAAAAAATTATGATAAATTGTTTAATAAACTATTCTCTGAAAACTCTATTCATGAAATAAACATTAAAGCAATACCAGAAAAATTGGTGCTGCTTCTAACAGAAAATGATCCTTCGTTTACATTGATAACAAGTGGTGGTACCGTTATATCAAGTGTATTAGTAGAAGTGGTATTCTTTTATTATATTTTCTGTATGTGTTATATAACTGATCAAATTTTCTTTGGTAACTGTCTGGAGAGCTGCCTTAACAGTATTACTGCAGTACCATCTTGTCTTGCCTCACTTACAATATTTTTATGAACAAATATTTTGCACTGAGCTCACACCAATTCTATGGCATTAAATATACAATGGTAGTAGACCATTTTAAATATTGATGTAATGTCTGTACCGTGCGGCAAGTTTTTGTTTGTAATTTCTGACAATTTTTAACAACTCACATTTTAGAACATTTTCAATTGATAATTTCTTCTATTCTTGTCGATACTTTGTAGTGGAAACTACTCTAATTATACCTAATTTTATCAAAATCCTTCCAGATTTTGGCGAAACGTCTGCAGGATTCCAGTCGGAGTTCAACAAGCGAACTATTATATATATATATATATATATATATATATATATATATATATATATATATATATATATATATGTATATATATATATATATATATATATATATATATATATATATATATAAACCCTGTATATATATATATATATATATATATATATATATATATATATATATATATATATATATATATATATATATATATATATATATATATATATATACAGGGTTTTTCACTTAAAACTCCGCACGCCAATAAGTCCAAAACGAAAAGAAATGTTTAATTTATGTAAAAAGTAGTCAAAGTGTGGGGTCAAGTAGATATTTCCTAAAGTTTAAAAAATTCGACGCCTGCAAAGAGCTGGGCGTCGCGACACGTCGAAAAATTATTCGATTGCAGAGACTTTGGAAATACGCGCATACAAAAGTACATATTATTTAAAAACTTTTTTGTTATTTACTCAAACGTATTTACTTTACCCGTTTCTAAGTTATACCGATTTAAAGTAAACATTTCTTGATTAATAAAAAATGTGATTAACGCTTATTTTTACAAGTATGCCATGAATGTTAGTTACTATGGCAACCATTGTTATCGCAGTTGTTTTAAGTGCAATTACAAACGTAAGTTGTTATTGCTGTATCAAAAAATTGTCACATTTTGTCACAAGAAATATCCAAATTTGTTCGGTTAAAAAAAAACTAAGAATTATTATGTGAAAATGGTGCAATTTAGCAATAAGGAAAAAGTAGACATGTTACTGGTGTTTGGAGAATGCAGATACAATTGTAGAGAAGCAAAAAGAGTTTACGCACGGCGTTATCCGCATAGAAGAGTCCCCGATGCAAAAACCTTTTCAAGTTTATGTAAAAACTTAAGAGAATATGGCAGCTTCATAAAACCTAAAAGAGATAGGAACAGGACGGCTACAAATGATGAAAATACTGCTGCTGTAATTCAGCAGGTTGATAATAACCCCAAGATATCCCTATCAGAGATAAAAGAAAATACCGGTGTTACCATAAGTTCTTCGTAGAGAATTCTACATAGAAACTTTTTTCACCCGTACAAAAGTAAACTAGTTCATAAACTAGAACCAGGCGATTATGCTAGAAGAATGTATTTCTTAGCGACATTGTCCGATTTGTATAGCCAAGATGCAAATTTTCTCTCGAAAATTTTATGGAGCGACGAAAGTCGATTTCAAAATAATGGAATCGTTAATAGACACAACTGTCGTTTTTGGTCCGAAAACCATCCTCGTTGGATTACAGAAAGAGGTAACCAACGAATTTTTAGTATCAATATGTATGTGCGGCACATTAAAGTGCCTCTTGACACTAGAATGAATATGTGGCTACAGCAGGAAGGAGTGCCTGCACATAATGCCCAAATAGTAACGAGGTATTTGAACCGAGAATATCCCAATAGATGGTTTGGTACTAATGGACCGGTAAGGTGGCCGGCGAGGTCCCCGGACATTACACCACCAGATTATTTTCTTTGGGGCTACCTAAAAAACGTTATCTATGAAGAACCTATCGAAGATGTGGCCGATCTCATTAACAAAATTAGTGCAGCGTGTGCCGCTATCACAAGAAGGACTCTCCTACAAGTGACCCAAGCTCATCTGTTAAAAGTTTTTGATAGTTGTGTTCGAGCAGATGGACTTAATTTTGAACAAAATTTTTGAAATGTCTTATTAGGTAGTTAATTGCAATAATAATTTTGGTTTTTAACTTGTAGGTATTTTACTGTTTCTTCATTTATTTATCATGTTATCAGAACTAAATCGATAAAAAATAATAAATAAAATCATACTAAAATAGTTGAAATCTATTGTTTGTAATTGCACTTAAAACAACTGCGATAACAATGGTTGCTATAGTAACTAACATTCATGGCATACTTGTAAAAATAAGCGTTAATCACATTTTTTATTAATCAAGAAATGTTTACTTTAAATCGGTATAACTTAGAAACGGGTAAAGTAAATAAGTTTGAGTAAATAACAAAAAAGTTTTTAAATAATATGTACTTTTGTATGCGCGTATTTCCAAAGTCTCTGCAATCGAAAATCGACGCCCAGCTCTTTGTAGGCGTCGAATTTTTTAAACTTTAGGAAATATCTACTTGACTCCACACTTTGACTACTTTTTACATAAATTAAATATTTCTTTTCGTTTTGGACTTATTGGTGTGCGGAGTTTTAAGTAAAAAAACCCTGTATATATATATATATAGTATATATATATATATATATATATATATATATATATATATATATATATATATATATATATATAATATGATTGAACTTGTCAAGAACATCTCCAAATATATATAAAACTCTATGGTTGTGTTGTTATATTAACTGTAATATTTCAGATTTGAAAAAAATAATAATAATTTTGTTTGGCCATGACCGCTTACTTTAGAACCCAAATCACGCAGTCCTGTCATATTCATAAATTCTTGGATTTCTGTCAGAATACTGCGGCCTATGTTTTTTATAATTTGTGTTACAAATTTTTATTAAACAATTAATACCAGCTATGGCAGCCAATATGAAATTTGAAAACTTCCAAAAATAATGTTAGTTATATTCGGTGTAACGAAAATACGGATGAAGGTTATTTGAACAGGTTTGCATTATTCTATTTTCTTCTAGTCAAAACTGTAATTACCTATTACTTATAGTTATGCGGCAGAAAGATTAATGTTGAAATCAAATTTCATTAAGCATGGGTAATGTGGTAAACCCTGGCCCTAGAATTAGAAATATTATTATAATATTATATTAACAAAGAACACAAGTAGATGAAATTTAAATATTCGCTTCAATCGAATAATTCCAAGTAGTCCTTGCAGAAAGCCATATAAATTTTATCAGATTCAAAAGTTATAATAGAGTTTTGTAATTGGTATTTACAATAAAACAAATTCTGAAAATTCGATGACGAACTTTATTTCACGAATGCCTGGTCTATTGAATCTACAAAATTCAAGATTTCGGTGTTTCCGGTTTTAATACTTCATGTTTTTTACTAGGAAGAAAAGTTGTGCATAATATTTTGTAATGGTAGTTTTTCAGAGAATAAATGTATAGCAATTATTGGAAATATCATCCTCTTAAATATCATCCTCTTGGCGCATCGCTCCCAATTTCACAAATTGTAAGTGCCTATTTGAACACTACTTTTTCTAGGCACTGGAGTGGAACAAATCCTACCTAGGTCACCCGATTCATCGATTTTGGATTTCTTTTTATCAATAACGACTAGTGTTAATATATTAGGGGTCTAAAAATGTGTATTTCTTATAGGTTAACTGAAAATTACCAATTTTTTTCTGTTTTAAATTAAATATTCTTTTCTAACCTGTTGGCAATTAACAAAATCGATTTTGTTTTGCAAAACTTCAATATAGGGCTTAACATAATAAACAACCATAGATTTTTATATATTTTTCAAATGTCATTTAAAAATATATAAGTTGGTTTCATTTATCGAAAATATATGAAGATATCCCGTATCTCAAAAACCCCAACCCTCCATCTTTACCAATACTCGGTAATACCATCGAAAGATGGCAGCTGGAACAACAAATTGGGATTTGGAAGTAGACGTCAAACAATGCTCCGTCTGTTCAGCTAAACTATCAAATACTTATTGTTTTATTAATTAATATAATAATTATACTGGGTTGCATTATATATTTGATTGATATATATTGAACTATTTGAACCTTTGCATTTGTTAAAAAAGGTAATTGACCTCTTCTGTCTTCTACTTATTGAAAATAATATTTGTCGTAATTTTGTTTTTAAAATCGTTTTCATACTACGTATGTCTTTCCCAAATCCTTGAAAGTATAAGAGTGATGCTTTTCTTAAATCTCAGATCGAAATTTGAAACCCAATCGTTTGACGGACGCTACATATACAAGACCTTCCGTGAAATGTTATAACCTTTTTTTCTCGCAGGTATTACTACGACAAAAATATCATGTCCAAAGTCCACGGCAAACGTTACGCCTACAAATTTGACTTTCACGGTCTCATGGCCGCTTGCCAGGCGCAAGCCCAAGGTCAAAACGATATGGTCGCTTCGTACAAGTACCAGCATCACCAAAGCGAACTCGGGGCAGCACTTTACCCCACTACCCACGGTAGTAATCCGAGACTGTCAGGAATGCTGCCCTCCACTGCCCAACAACAAAGTTTATTCCCGGCACCATCGTATTGGCCTTATTCTACCGGAGGATTCGATCCCAGAGGCTCGCCATTTAATTAACTATAGTTTGTGGCGTTTTAAGATTTTTCAAAACCGAAGTTATCGTATCTATCAAGAATACCTATCAGTACTTTTACAAAGTTATTTGTCTAAACACATTAACCTCTACACAGGGATAACCGGCAGCATAACTTTTTGCGAAGCTTCTTTGAATCACAGAAATCGCACAGAGCCAAATTTTTAGTTTTTATATTATGAGGATAGTTTTCTGATACCACGTTCCGTTGATCTATTTCGGATTAAAATTGGTTCCACTGTTTTGACATAAAAATTACAGAATTTCAACAGATTTTTGACATCGTTAGATACTTGTTGACGATAGTGCGTTTTATGAAGAACCGTTTAAATTATTAATAATTTAAACGGTAATAGTTTGGAGAGTGTGGAAACGCTGGAATATCTCGAGAAATCAATCAAAAAACAAAACAAATGGCTTTAAATATCGAATAAAAAAAACTGTTCAATAATACCAAACATGACCCCCAAATCAACCACTGGTGGTGAGAATGTGGTAACTTTGAAAGCTTGAATGTAAACCTCCGTTTTTTATTAAATATTCGGATTCTAGGCCACAACCGCGTCAGTCTCGGTGGATGGTGCTTTAATTTAAAAAAGAGGTAAGAACAGGGATACGGTAGAAATGTTTTAGGTAGATTTAAAACGCAGATGGAATTTTGACATCAGTTGTGATGGTCACGTCACGTTGCTAAAATCGTTCCAAACCGTAATGGCAGCAAAGAAAGAGTATGCAACACTTTAATGAACTTCTTCAGACTCTCAAGGAGATTCATGACATTACAGCGCCATCAACCGATTATCCAAACGAACACTTCGGACGAAAGCTGACTTTTATGTGACCTTTCCATATACGTTTTCAAAGTTGTCCCCTCCTCACCACCAGTATTTAATGATTAAAGGCATATTTTACTGTTTACAAAACTTCTGGATTCCTCCGTGTTTTGTAAATAGTGTTACAGTTTCTTAAGGCATATTTTTGTTTTTTGTTCTCTGCATATTTCACCGTCTCCATACTTTTTCGAAACCGGGTATATTTCTTTTTTCTCTTTTGAGGAACAAGATCATTAAATGATTTTAAAAATTCATTAGTCTCATTAAAGAAAGTTAGATCTGTGAGGACTAAAATTCCTGTTGTATATGTTTTTTGTTCGCAGAACGGAATCAATGGCAAAAAAGAAAATATGTCAATTATGTTCTTGATCTGATTTAATCTCAAATATTACTTATTTATGAAAAGTTTAAAGAAAAAATACTTTTCCTCAACTTCATAAGTTCTTCTCAATAGGACTACGCATACATATATGTTTTTTCAAAAAAAAAAATTGTCCATTAACGAACAAACTCGTTTGACAGATCAAAATAAAACCATGACGTCGTCACTACCCATCCAAATTCGATTTATTATCTTTGAAGATGACCAGATCTCATACGAAAACGTTTATATGAATTAAATGTAATAACTATTATTATTATCTTGCTATAATTCAAAAGCTGTGATTCGAATGACAAGAGATCCTTTTAAAACTTTTCTTAATAAGCTGCCTGCGAAAAGACAAAATCATTATAATTTAAAAATTTAAAAATACAAAAGTGACCAAGACCAAATTTCATAAATATTTTGTAGATTAAAAACTGATTCCATGATTGCATTGCGATCTTTGAATTTTGCATTATCTTTTAGAAAATGAAATTGTTCTTAATCCACAACTGAGTAGTATCTTTTAACATTTTCTTTGTAATATCGTATTTTCGAGAAAATTTGTTCTTGCCTCATAGCTTCGCCCTCCATGAGTAAACACCGATATGAAATTAAAACTAGTTAAGCAAAATGAGTTTGTGACCGTAAACACACGCAAGGCGTGGACATTTCCGGGCTAATTACAATTTAATTGTTGTTTTCTTGTAAATAGTTATTAATAAAAATAAAATTTCTCTTATAGTTACATCATTGTTTTAAATATTGTTTCTGTTCAAAGAATTTTAACGTATGCATAGAAATTTTCGTTGTTTGAATAAAGTTTTCACCTGTTTTAAGAATATGTGCCTTTCTCAATCATGCAACGCGTTGTTCTTTCTACGTCTGGATCTGTTTAAGTGCTTTTTGGTCGGTTTACTACCGACCAGCGCTTATTTATATACGGACTTGGTAAGTATATAAGTGACACAAGTAAGGAACGTTTTATTAACATAATCAAATCGAATAAACAATAGATAATATCAAGAACAGCAAGGAGTAAAAAATGAAAGATATCCTATCGATAGCTGCGCCCAATAGGATCCAGTCTTCTTGTATCGGGGCTTTTCCTGAATGGTGATGTGGTCTGACAATTCCTGATTCGTCACTCGCGTTTAAATCTTCGAACTCTGCTACTTGATGATCTCGCATTTCTTCAGCCGTAACGCGATGAACTGATACCGAAGACTAAATACGAATAAAATAGTATGACTTCTTAGATATTATTATTGAAATAATACTAAGCAGAAAATTCTTGTATATTCAAACTGGCAGTCGACTCTTGACGACATTTTTCATTTTTTTCATACACCAACAGAAAGCAAGTGTATATACAGCGCGTTGCCAAAAAGTACGCAAAAGGTTTACCACATATTATTTTCCGAAAAACGATTTTCTTCATGCCACTTTCCATTTGCATGATTTGTTTTCAATATATGGGGTCAGGTTAACTTTTTTAAATATACTTTTATAATTATACTTTTTACTTTTATTATTATAACCTAGACGCATAGGTTTAAAAAACCAGTATGTGTCAAAACTCAACATTAACTAGTTAATCAAATTAAAAACCTACAATAATTCAATCGTAATTAAAATTAGAAAAGTTAAATTAACTAAAAGAGTTTTCTAGAACATGACCTCTCCAGAAAATATCTTACTCTCTTTAATGTTCCTTACACAGTAAGCAGATTATAACATTTTGGCCCTAAATAAAATCTGCTGATTAATAGCTGGATTACTTTTTAGGGACGATAACATTTCTGTGAATATTAGTACTAGTTTTATAATTATAGTTGATTAGTGCCTGTCTGGAAGAGTCCCGTAGCATAGAAGCGGTTAAACTAATGCTTTAATGTTTTATAAATAAATGTAAGAGTTTTTTAGAAAGGAATTCCCGTGACATATAAAACTAATGCAATAAAGATCTGATTTTGTTTGTCAAGTACACGCCATGATTATCCGATTAAAGGTTATTATCAACCATCACTCCTAAGTATTTTATAACATTAGTTTCCTTAATTGGTTCTACTAAAGAGTCAATAAATATTTCTGAACGTTTGGGACGTTTTTTTCCAATTATAGAAAATGCTGTACATTTAGTCTTATTTATATTAATTAATAAATATATAGTGTTTATTTAAAATAAATACGCCAAAGATTTGAAATTTTGCGGAGTCATACAGGTTGATGTTTCGCATTTGTTTGGATACTCAACTGAAATTTAAATTTTAAACGCGACCCACCACCAAGTTATTTGAAAAAGTTGGTTCGAAAATTAGAATTTTTAGTTTTTTCATTATTTTGGTCAAATACTCAAAATTATTGTAATTTGATTTTTTTATTTGATAAATTATTGTGGAATAGAACGAAAAACCTCTACAATATGGCCAATTTAATAGTAATTCATGAAATGTAAATTCTTTAGTAAAATAAATAATACTAAAACCAGGGATTAATGATTTTATTTTAAGGAAACGATAATGTTTAATAGGTAACTGATTAAATTTAAGAAACTAATTGTTCGGGAAGACGGAACAAATAAAATAAATTATAAATACGTGAGACGCCTAGCACGCTGGCTGGCGACTGAGACTATAACTTGTATCATATTCCTAACCGAAAGTGATGCGCATTCGCCAAGATTCGTTTCGTCGGTCGGGCACGGATAATTATAATCCACGTGTTAAAAACATAACATTGATGAAAAAATCCCAACCTAACCAAAAATCGTTTTTCATTTTGGTTGACTAATGTTTGTTAATTCGTTTTTGTACATTTAATTTAATTTAATTTCATTTAATTTATCATAAAATATAGAACAGAATAACCGCATTACAGGTTGGTATTTGTTATGCTCGTATCCTGAAACCTCTTAGGACACAAAAATTTTAAAAATTTGTGTTCATAATCCCCAACTTAAATTACAGATTTATTCTGTTTTGAGACATTTACTGCATAAGGAGGAGAATCGACGCCGCATCTCAAATCTAAATATTGCAACAAAGGTAATGAGAGATAGAAGTGATCCATTTAACCTGCAAGAGAGGAGATTCATTGAACTGTTTCGGCTAAATAAGGAGCTAGTTCTCAATTGGGTGCTACCAAAGGAATGTGGGCGGGGACTACTTGCGTGCAGCAAGTCAACAGACTCTCCGTCGGTATAAAGGAGTATAATATATAAAAGAAGGATATATATACAAGAGTATAATTCAACAACTGTCTAATCATTGGATCTGTTTTTTATGGAAAAAGGTGGATTTCCAGGAATTATTGGCTGTGTAGATAGGACTCATATAGCATGACGCTGTCAGCAGAAAAGGTCCAAAAACATGCACATAGTAAGCGAATAACTGACACATTTATGTAACGTGATTTGGTGCTTTTACGGTCAGAAATTGTTAATAGATATTTTATACAATAAAATAATTTGAACTCATAGTACGTTGTGGCATTTTTATTATTATTTTATAATTGCCCACAAAAAAGATATATCACAAGGAAACTATTTATAAAAAACAAATATTAACACAGAAAATCAAACTACAATATTGCAGGGATAAGAATTAATTTAACGTTTTACATAACACAAAACTGTTACATAATGGTATACGCAGACACTTTTAAATTAAAAAAATTATTTTGATTCCAACCTTTTCAATAATTGTGAAAAGAAATCATTGTGTCTCTCTTAATTTTGACATAATTCGAATAAACCGGTAAAATAATCGACCAATTATATAAACGAAAACTTTTTGGTTTTTGAATAACCCGGATCTTGTAACCGCAACAACCGCAACATTTGTTGTAGACATACCTTGGTAATGTTTCTGATGTATGCACCAATAATGAAACAATAATTTTCATAGCACCATCTTATATCCAGCGCATGGGAAATTTTTGATTTACACCATCTAGCTGGAAATCCATATCCTGTCGCACATTAAGACGATGATTTTCTGCCATAATTCCCCATCAAAAAAGTTAACCAAACGACGAGCATTTAATGATTCATGAAGAAATAAGGACTTATTATTTGACACCACACCACATTGACTTTCTGGGAACATTGATCTTTGCAATTTATACCCCAGTGGGCTTTATCTGTAGCATTTTGAAATAATACAACCCCATTGGCAGTGAATGTAGCTTCATCGGTAAATAAAATTCTCTACAGAAAAGGGTTGTCGTTTAAAAAATTACCTTCAACCCAATAACAATATTCTAACCGTTTAGTTTATCACCTCATTTTTATGTAAGAACTTTGGTTTATGTAAAGGGTATGATTTTGTGAAGTATGATGTTAAAATCTACAGCAGCTTATCGAGCAAAATCAACACACAATCGGATTTTTTCAATTTTCGTGTTTAAAGTCAAAGGCATTTTAATTCGGTGGTCACTAAATAGAAGCGAATGTAATAAACGGAAAGTTTAAGTTGATCTGACGTTAATGATTTCACACGCATTCTGTCATGAAATTTGAGGTTAGAATAATATTTTGAACAACTTTCTCATATAACTTTTCCAGTAGAGTATCTCAAATGTAAAACATCGATCTGTATGACTGTGCAAAATTTGAAATCTGCATTTATTTAGATAGCCAAAATGTAAATGTGTCTTTATCTTAAATGCGAGACAATGTATATTTGTTAATATGGCTAACGGATCGATCAACTTTTCTGCAACACCTCGTATCATCGGGTGATGCATTGCCGAACGGAACATGGGAAATCCCATGCAAATTTTTAGGTGGCTAGATATTGGCTCGCCTGTACATTTCATAGCAAAGTTGCAATATAATTTTTTGATATGATTAACTCACATGACCAGTTTGCATAAATTTTAATAAGCCAACCTTTAGTTATTGAATTAAATATAATCACAAAATTGCAAAAGGTCAATACAACTAACACCAGCGAGTATTTCCCATGACGCTATTTCCAAAACTTGAGGACGTCGAGCTGGATAATGAAATATCAAATAAAGGTTTTCTCACAATAAAGACATGCACATTTCGTTTCACACATTCAAAATAAACTGAGCATGTAGGCATATTATTGTGTTTTTCTTAGGATCAAACTCGTACTTGGTTCTAAAGACCTCTTTGTTCCTTAAAGCGTTCTTGGAATAAATTTCATTTAAAGGACGGTTTAAGCAACAAGGAAGCTTTTGACCCTCAAGTGTTTTATTAAAAATAATTAGTAATTATAATAAAAATGCGGCTTCAAAACATGGCTAAGAAGAAATATTATTTAAAATAAACATTATTTTTTAAGTAAATGTTCAAACATGTCCTAAGTGATTACAAAATTCATTTCTAACATTCCTTAGTTGATATTGTGAAATCCTGCCACATTCTAAAGGAAATGCGTTTTGTAACTGTTAAGATTTTCATTTTTTTAGATTACACTTTACAAATGACCCCACAGAAAGAAGTCGTACGAGAGGTCAGGTGACCTTGTTCCAATAATAGTCCCGTTAAAGGTATTTCCCAAATACTCCCTAACCATACGGGAATTATGGGTGGGACAACCATTCATCTGGTACCAGAATTTAATTTTGTAATAAGTTGAAATAGATTCCTGCCATGAGGTTATAGTCCATAGAATATGGTCCAATAATATGATGTCCGAAAATTCCCACCATAACATTTATTTTTTGAGGATATTGGGTATTGGTATGAAAATATTCATTGTTTTGGCCCCAATACTGGCAGTTTTGAACATTTGGTTGGTTGTTGAGTATGAATATACATTCAACAGTGAAACATATATATTTTTTTAGATCCCTATCGTTATTTGCTTTTTCCATCATTTCAAAATAAAATGCTACTCTTCTTTCTTCATCGCCTTCTTGGAGCTCTGTTTAATGTGCGCAACACTGTGGTTTGATGTTCATTTACAGCTTGTCCAAGAATAATTTTTTTCCTCCACATGCAGTAAAATGTTCAAATCTCTATTTTCCCTTTCTTCTGCTCTATTAACTCCATTTTCAACTGAACATTTACAGTTATTTATTACGCTGCCTTTGGACTCGAATTCTGTAAAAATACGTTTAATTTTTGAAATTAAAGGTATAGTTTTGGCAAGAAAATAAATTGCGGAGACTGCTTTAAGATCGTTTCCTGCATAATGCCACTTAATTATGGTTACCTTTTCTTGATTTGAATAACGCATATTTAGCTTTAAAGCGCATTTAATAACACATAACAGTCACAAATAAAAATATTGTTACTATCTCAAATTTTCGTGTTTTCATTGTCAAAATGTATTTTACTGGTGTTTGATTTATTACCTAAACTATAAACATTTTCTAATTTTGCCATCATATCTAATTCAATACTGAAGATTGACTTATTCAAATTTAGTCAAACTCGGCACATAAGTTAACCGTATCGGCCCCTTCAAAAAGTTATCTTATTTTTGCTATAAAACGTACAGGGGAGCCAAGATTTGGCCACCTGAAAATTTACATAGGATTTCCTATGTTCCGTTCGGCAATGCATCAGCCGGTATTGAAAACTTATTTCAAATAACCATGTTGAGTGATTTTTAAAACTAACGTGTTTATTGCTTTTGATTACTCACATATGTGTGCGTACTCATTTTTATTATACTTATTGATAGAATATAATGGGTATTTTAGAACAATTAGTTTGTTATTGGTTTAAAAACATTTTTTTTCTTCTTTGTTCTTTTATTCTATTATCATTATTATTATTCGATGAACAAAGAACAACCACGCAAAATTAAATTGAGTTACCTGTTGAATAAACCCAGTCAAGCCCAAGTATTTTCCAAATTTTCCTGTTAACGGTTGCTTCACGATCCATGGTAAGGAAGTCGTATGTCTACTGCGCGTCAGGGTTATCACCGCTACCGAACCAACCATCGAAAACGCGACTATGTAGAGGCAACTACTATAAAATAATACTGAAAAAAGGAATATTTCTTTTACCGAACATACGAATAGAAGTAGAAGAAATAGAATTTGTGACACACAAAAAACAACAATAATAAATAAAATAAATAAAAAGACTGAAAAAGGTGGGCGACGAGATCTATACAAAAGAGCAATTCATTAACCTGTTTGTGTTGTTATAAAAGAATTCCTGGACACTATTAAATTATTAAAGTAAAGTTAGAAGAAGACGTTCCATTATGACTTTATTAAACTTATCAACTCCTATGACGTGTTTGTTAATCTGAGAGAATTATAAAGCACTATTGAATTGCAAAACTTAGTGGCCTTAGTCGAATTCCATAGCCGTAGTATTGATGATTGTCAGGGGTCCCGAGAGTGGCAGGCGTTTGACTTACCTGTCCCTTAGTGCTTAAACTTAGAATTATAGTTACTCTCCGGCAGTTTTTGGCTTGAAGCGAATTATCCTTACGAAAAAACTCAAAAAAGCAAGTCAGTTTTAATAGAGAAAGACGAAATTGCAGACGACGAACTTTGAGAGCAGGTGGTCGGTTCCGAAGGGAAAAAATATTAAAATCTATTATCTGGACGAAACTTGGGAAAATGAAGAATGGTCTGGTATAAAAGCACCCTCGGTCGAAGATAAAATGTTAATCATTGAATATGTCCATTAAATGCTGGACCTTATTTCGTCTGGACTTTACCTGCTGATAGAATGCTTGAAAACACTGCAAAGCCCCTTATTATTTGCCTATTATGATTATATTATTTACTTAGTATTCTGACAAACTACATGTAGTAACGCCGCTGTCACATTACTTTGATTCAACAAATGCGCCTTTCTATTGTATACAAATTAGTGTGACCCCAATTTGGAAATGAATCGGGTTGTGTAGGTATTAAAAACTGAAATACGAAATTTATCCGAAACTACACGGTATAAGCTTTAAAATTTACATTTTATCACCCTCTCGCATTAAGAAGTAGAACATAATTTATTTGCTGGGATTGGGAGTGTTTTGTACAAATTTAAATTCAATGAATTAGTTTTTGATTTCGAATGTTTATACTGTTGGCTGATCCCACATAATAATTATGATTTTTTGATAAAGATTAACTGTCTTTAATAGTGTGAATTTTATTTAAAGTAAAATATATGAAAACACATGGCAAATGCACAAGTTCTGTGTGCCAGAACAATTGAGTATAATCAGCGCCAGCCAAAATTCGAATAACCCTTTTTTTAACATATTTTGTTTAGATATGTTCGCAGAAACAATACTTTGACCCGAAAATAGTTAAAATGACACTGAATTACTCCCAACATTCAATCTAGAATCAGTGGGTATTAAGGGCATATTTCAGACCTATTTAAATCGCAGTTTTGATTAACACCATAACTACCTATATCGTGCTAAATCATTCAATCAAAATTGACAATAATGTAAAACTTGCATAAAAATATAAGGTGGCTAGATAATATAGTGGCCCTACCACGGTAAAAATTGCATTGAAGCCGTATTATATTTCCCATATTAATTTAATAAGTGCGTTCTTCTCAGGTTGTCAATTGTTTCCTTGTTCTTTAGGTTTTTTTTTGCTACTGTAATAATTAGTTGGCAAAGTAAAATGTTTTGTTTCATGTTGACCTTATTTTTTGTGTAAATTTGGCTTTATTATCAACTTTGTAGAACATGTATTTTTTCAGAAAGATAAGCTCATTCAAAATATGAAACAAAAAATGCAGCTCTGTATTTAAGAAACTGAAATTGATATGGGCGCAGAAAACAGAAACGTAATAATTAAAACTTAATAATGTCAATTTGTAAAGGAGAAACGGTTGCAATGGGAAAATGTCATTCGTTTTCTTTTTTTTTTTAATTAGGGTCCGGAAAAAAAATCAAATGAAATTTCTGATTTTCGGTTTTTCTCTGATGTCTCCAATCTAATCAGAATTTTCTCGATTTTGAAACCGTTTTAAATTAAGGATAAAAATAAATACGAAAGCAACCGACTACGGTTGAAAGTTGTATTCATTTATCAGAGAACGGGCAACTGTAGAAAAAATCTGATAACGCCGCTGCATTTGCCTTTAAAAAGTGCCCTTATAATGTTTTTATCCGAATTCGAAATTTTCATAAATAAAAAAGTTAAAGGCAATTTTCAAAAGGACCGAAAATTGAAAAACGCCCTATATCTCGGTTGGTTGTGAAGATATCGTCATGCGGTTTTAACCATCAAATGTTTCTCAAAAATCAAGCCTTTGGTATGTAAGTCTATTTTGCTCTATCTAGTTCAGAAGTAGGTTTTTCCCGGTAAAACACTATAATTACGGCCACCCTGTACAATAGATAGTCAGCCCGACTTCCACTAGGATTTAAAAAATTCCCAAAATCGTCAAAAATAAACATTAATAAAGATACCTATAACCTGGATTTGAATTTATTGCTTACCTATTAATGGTGTATGGGTCCCCATGGCGGGCATCTTTTGGGTAAAGTACAATAAAAACAGGCAAACGATAATGGCCGTGCATCCGTTGATAATTATTTTTTCGCCGCAGTTGGGCGGCAACCAGAAACACAATAGTGTTAATATTATGATCACTGAAATGGAATTTTAATCAAACTGGTTAATAAAAGATATTTTAAGTTTTGTTCAAAAGCTTGTAAATAAATTTATAGGATAAGTTTTTGTCCGTAAGTGCTTACCGAATGCAGGAGTCACTATAATTGTCTTGTAGGACGGGGAAGCTCTCTTCAACATTAGACTTATGGTAATATCCGGATACGGAGACTCGCAGCACGAATAGTAAGTAACGTTTCTTACCAGCGAGGTCTTGGTTATCTCCCATTCGTTATTTTCTATTATAAACGCTAACTGCAACGGGGAGTTTTGAGCAGACCCCAATTGTGATGTCATACGAAAGGTGCAGTTCTATTTTCTTATAAATATCTATCGCACGTAACTGTTACTTATTATTATTCTAATAGCAACTCTAAAATCCAAAAGATTATCTAAGACCTCTTTCATCTTATCAATCAGAGTTTTTCGTCAGGAAAAACCAGGAGTCAAATATAATATTCAACTTTCGCATTCTAGAAATGTCATATCCGGGGTAGCCCAAGAAACAATTTCATTTTATTTATTAGATAATGCAAACCAAGATATTAAGCAGATGAGACTGAATTGCATATATCTTTTATCTTTTTATTGGCCGTGGATATGATCAACGAAGACGTATCTAGTACTGTTAATTGGTCAACACAAACACAGCGCCCTGGGACTTCAGAAAAGTAAAAAGAAAAACTCCGCGAACAAGACTTTTTCATAAAAGTTGAGAACGAAAACATACGTCCCATCCCACAAGCTAAAAACTTGACTTTTTGAGATTTAAACCACACATAAACAATTGTATTCAAACGGCATACATAAATCTGAAGCAAATATAACAGCTACGATAGTTAAGTCAGAAAATTTTAAAAATTTGACTGAGAACTGTCAAGAATGAACTACGGGGATGTTATTTATGGAACCTGCTTAGATTCTTCATACATACAGAGAATTCAGACAGTGCAAAATTCATGTCTAGGATTCATTTGTGGTATCAGACGAAGACAACATATTTTTCATAAATTATGCAAAACCAAGTGGTTGAATATGTATTAAACAAAAAGCTAATTTATCTGTATAACAAGATTTTGCCTAGTAATAACCGCCAATTGTGATACCTTCATAGGTTCAGAATTCCTAGACAAAAAACAAAGTTTTTTAAAAGAACATTTTCATTTCAAATCAGTAAAGTGTACAGTAACAGTGTACAGTACAGTAATCAAGCAAAAAACTTTGTCACAGTTCAAAAAAACTTATCCTATCAGAAAAGTGTACATCGACGTCAGAACAAAGATTACTATTTAAAAAAAATGAATGCTTCAAAAATCGATTCATAATTCAAATTTACTTCTTTAATTCATATCTATTATATTTTTCTATTTATATAGTTAATTACTTATTTAAAATATTAGAATTTTAAATAAATAGTTTAAATTTTCTTCACTTAAGATGAAAGACAGGGCCTGTTTTATTTGTAAACTAGTCAACTAATTTTCGGCGTTTTTCTGGCACTTTATTTTTTAGTAGTCTAGTTAGGAAATTTTTTCGTTTGTTTTTTTTTCTCTGGTATTTTGTTGATTTGTGGTGGAAAATATAGACCTATTTATTATTATTATTATTAATTCATGTTTTTATCCCCACACTCTAAAATACTCATCTATGCACTGATCAGGGGTTCGCAAAAGTGTCACTTTAAGAGGTCAGTTTCTTTAATCACTGCCGCCGACCACTTCGGACCGGTTTAGGAATGATCGACAGTTTCCGGTGTATTTATGTCACTGATATGATATGATTTTTACTTTTATCAGGTCTGACTGACTGACAGTGTCAAACTTCTTCAGTCACTCGATTATTATAGTCTATTTCAGAAAGTTGTAGATTAATAAAACCGTATTGGGTAACCGTATTAGGTACTTGAAGTGGAAAATAATTATAAACAAACTTTGAACAACGTACAACCATTATACTATTTATATAACTACAATTATACAGTATGCAATACAACAGAATTATGATATGTTTTGTGTTTTCAATTGATTTATCGGACCAAAAATATCTAGGAGCAGATAAAAACGTTAATAGCATTATTGCAGTCATGACCATTCATCGAATGTTGCACTATACCATATATTATTATATTCATATAAGAGTTACATGATACAATGATACATGATATAATGGTTTTTGAGATTCTAAAAATCGTTTTGCAACTTAAACATGAAAGTTAAAGACACCAAAAAGAATGCCAATGATAAGTGACGTTAGATGAACTTAAAAAAAAACACAAACATGCCACACATTACCAGAAAAGTGCAATGGTAGAGAAGTAGAGTTAAATATTTATATATCAATAACGAAGGAAAGATTAGTCGACAAAATATTTCTAAAAATTATAAACACAAAAATATTATATAAAACCAACAAATTAAATTATATTACGTGAAAAGCCCAACACCGTGTCAAAGTGTAAACTTTTTTTATTTTGTTCTATTCTTCATGTGATTTTCGTATTCAGACAGTTTGTAAATAACATTGGTTGTCAGTAAAAATTTTATTTTTTTTTTAATTTATTTTAGTCTACGTCTCTAATTTCATCAGAAATCATACTATGCTATATTGGCTCGGAATGTAAAGGTGATAGTTTATTTTAATTTAATTTTAACTGGAATTTATTAGTATTTCTTGCCGAGTAAGAATGGATTTCAGATCTTGTTTGAAAGTTTTTTTTTTTAATTATTTTATTTTTATTTTATCTATTTATTTTTATTTTATTTTATTTTTATTTTATAGTTTCATATTTAATAGTTTTGGTTTAATAAATATCTGTCAGAGGAAAATTTTTGTTAGTTCTGCTCTAGTGGTTTGGTTCGAGTACACTGCTCTTGCCCAAATTATGATATTTTAAGAGATTACCGAGTATACTGATGAGTACAGGATGATGTAGGAGGTATAGGATGGTATAAGATTTCAATGTTAACATACCAAGATATGAATTATTACGGGTTTTTGAGACAGAGTCTATTTGATTCGACCATCTTAATTGTACAGTCCAGTTCTGTACCAAAAAGTTTTATATGTAATTATATCATTTTGGTCTATTGTGACACTTAATCTGTCTAAAGGACCTATGTATTGACCTGTGAATTCAAGTACAATTCAGCAAGGGGAGTTTGTTTGTTAATGTTTTGATTAAATTTAAAACGAAAAGTAGAATTTTTTTGTTTTCCCCTCACAATATGATATGACAAATTGTAGAAAACACAAATGCACTGCAATGCAATAGTGCGAGTGGTATTTATAAGAAAACATAACTAATAATATGGTTGAACAATATGCATACCTCAACCTCAGTTTTGTTATTCATGAGGTCTATGTCGATCTGATCGCCGTTGTAAGTCCACGAGCCAAACTTCATCTTACATTCTTGAGTGTCGAAGGGCCAGTATTTCAAATTCAGATTGCACAAAACGGAAAATTGAACTGGAGGGACCCACAACACTTCGCCATTATCGTAAACGATGCAATGGGTGTTATAATGGCTCAGAGGCGTGCTAGTAGCACTAACAACACGAAAAAAACGCATACACTCTTATCATACAATGCGTTCTAAAAACTTTTGTTTAGTTTTAACATTTTAACAATTGAAGAAAAGTTTGTCAAATTTTAAGCGGAGAATATTTTTAACGACGTAATTTTATACAGGGTGTTTCAAAAAACACGCGCCAACAATCGGCTTGAGGTTTGTCATCCAGAAAAGGAAATAGTTCATATAAACATACGTTCGGAAATGGTGATGTTCAATATTCAATATAAAACGGCATTTTTACAATTGCTAAAAATATTTTTTGTCCCATTTTTTTGAAATTTGGCAACATTAATATTGATAAATGGCTAAGTTTGCTTTACCCAGATTAAAGTCGTAAACGCCACTTTTATTTATTTTTTGTTGTTTACCTTTAACAAGTCACTAAAGTACAACTGTTTCTGTTAAGGAGTTGTTTTTGTATCCTCCTTCGTCAACACAATCTATTATGAACTTTTAGTTTTTGGGACCTTTTATCATAATGAGCTTAGTTCTCAAAAATTAACACTAAAGGAAATGATGAAAAGACATACCCTTTATATAATAACATAAAAACTGGAAAACGCGGAAAACAAAAAAGAATAAAGATAAAATAAAACGAAATAAAAATTCGTTGCCTTCTCAAAAAAAAAAAATATTTAGATTAAACTAAAAGCAAAATGCAAAAGTAAAGTAATTATATTTCGTTTAAATTGATTTATATTTCCCATTGCAAATAAATTAATAATTTAAATGGCCTCTTTGAGATGATAAGAATGGTCTCCAGTGGATAATAAGTTAGCTCTAAATATCTTTTGTCAAATGCATTAAATTGGCATTACCTTAATATGTGTACCAATTTTCTTATCCATTTTATTCAGTTTGCAATGATATGTATAATTTTGTTATGCTTAAAATGTCTAATGCACGTTATTTGTTACTATCATATTAAAGTATACGTTTTTTATTATCTGTTATTAATTCCAGTCAATGTTTTAACAAAATACCGTTTTTATGGAAAATAAGGCGAAATCTTTATTCAATTACTAAAAACTTTTTGGGTCATATTTACACAATCATCAAAACTCATATAGTGTTTTTGAATGTTATAAAAAAATACCTTCTGGTAAACCGCGCAATGACGTTATTTTAAGAAAATATTTAATTATCATATATATTATTATGATGATATTATATTCACCTATTATATAAAAATATATCCGGCTGCCATATTTCGTGATCTGCCAAATTTAAGGACGTTAAACCGCCATATTTGGTACTATCCCACTTCAGTTTTTCGTCTTGCCATGTCTGAAATATGTATACGCTATATAATATATAGGTTCAAGATGTGGAGCTCTCGCCTTGTATTATTTCATATAGCAAGGTAAATCTAGATTACAGCACTGTTTCAATTAGTTAAGCAAATTCTGAATAGAATTAACAAAATGCGACAGAAAGCGCTAGATTATCTATCTAGCTTATCTACTTGTAGTTGACATACCAGTCTAAACCAGGAATGTACAGTAAGGGTTGATTTGAACTCATTCAGTTCGATATGACGTATGGACATGCCCAGTTTCACTCTGGTTGTGTTGTAATGTTGGGCGGGCCTTGCGAATTTGTCGTAATTTAGCAAAAGATCTCTTCGAAGTTTGTCGGTAAAGGTCGAGTTCCATATTGGCTGGGGACCAATTTCTGTAATTCAAATGTAAAATCTAAATTTACTATTTATTTACTTTGTATATTATTATAAGTGGTGCATGATGTCGATATACAGGGTGTTTTAAAATTAAATGACAATAATTAAGGGTGAGATTTTTTGGTCCATTTTAAACAGAAAACTACATATGAAGATATTTCCTAAACGTTTTAACTGTTGAGATACAAGATGGTAGAGCTTTCAAAAATTAAATATATTTTTTTAATATATGTAATACTGCATTAGATATTTTCAGCACAAATGTACTATGTATCAAGAGTCATTACTTAGTGTACCACAAGTGGTAAGGGTACGGAATTTCACCTGTATATTTTGGCAGATATTGGTGGTACATCAGTGGCTCTTAAAATAAAAATTACTCTTACAATCTCCAATCATTTCTAAAGAAATTTAATTTCTTGTTTTTTTTCAATCCGATGTACGGTTTTCTCTTAAAAAGATAAAAACCTTTTCATGGTCATAACAATATCATCAATATGTGTCCAAAATATTGTACTGTTCTTTTCACTTTTACAGTTTTAATGAAATAACAAAACATCCTAACAACAAGATAAATAATAAATGATTATTACTTAAAAAAAATAACAAAATTGTCTGTTAATAAATTAGTAACAATCTTGTTATTATTTATTGTTATGACAATGCAGAGTAGCGATTTTTATTCTTTTAAGCGAAACCCGCAGGTCGGATTGAGAAAAATCAAGAAATTAAATTTCTTTGGAAATGATTGGAGATTGTAAGAAACATTTATATTTTAAGAGAAATCACTCAATCAATATCTGCGAAAATAGACAGGTGAAATTCGGTACGCCCGCCACTGGTGTATGTAAAAAAAATTGTGGTACATTAAATAATGCCTCTGGTATTGTAGGTATTAAGAAGATGTGTTTTATTTTTGAAAACTTTACCACCCTGTATCTCAAAACTTAAGACGTTTAGGACATATGGTCATATGAAGTTTTGTTTTTAAAATAGACACAAAAATCACACATCACATTGAAAAATTACATTTTTTTTTAAGAAAAATTTTACCTATAACCTTTAAAAAATTAAGTTACTCGAATTTTTAACGGCATGAGGTTAGGTTAAAATATAAACTTAAGTATTTTAAATATGTACGTAGGAATAAAAGCCTTAGCAGTTGAGCTACTACACTACCCACAATACTAAGATTTTTGGATTTGTTTAAAAGAAATCTTTGATTGTGCGCTTCTTTAACAAAGGGTGGATTTATAAATAGAGATGAATAATTAAATTTTAGTAGAAATACGCAATATGTTTTGCAATACGCAATTAACTAACTATAACAATATCGAATAATGCTTTAGAAACTTAAATCTAAACAAAAGTTCATGCAATTCAAATTCCATCGTGCTTGCTTACTTGCTCTTCATAAAAGTATATAATGGGTGTCTTATTTTCGATGTATAGAACTTTAAGTTGGCATTACTGTTCAAGATGGCGACCGATTTAACAGCTGTCAAGTGATTTATTCTCAGTTTGGTTTGGAAATTCATTATGAATAGACTCACGCCTGAACAACGCTTGCAAATAGTACCTAAATGGGCCCAAAACGAGATTGCCGTTGTTCCCGATTTTCATAAGCGAATTTTGTTTAGCGATGAAGCGCACTTCTGGTTGAATGGCTACGTCAACAAACAAAACTGCCGCATTCGGAGCGAAGTTAATCCTCAAGTGTATGTCGAAACATCGTTACATCCAGAAAAACTGTTTGGTGCGTTTTATGGGCTGGTGGAATCATTGGTCCGTACTTCTTTAAAAACGATGATGGCCAGAACGTTACAGTCAATGGTGATCGGTATAGAGCTATGATCACTAACTCTTTCATTCCTGAATTGAATAACCATGATGTCCAGAAGATGTGGTTTCAACAAGACGGCGCAACATGTCACACAGCTTGTGCCACAATCCATTTATTGTAAGACACGTTTGGTGACCGCCTAATTTCACGTTTTGGACCTGTGAAATGGCCTCCAAAATCTTGTGATGTAACACCGCTAGACTACTTTCTGCGAGGCTATGTAAAGTCATTGGTCTATGCGGATAAGCCACAAACGCTTGACCATTTGGAAGACAATATTCGCCGTGTTATTGCCGATATACGGCCACAAATGTTGGAAAACGTCATCGAAAATTGGACTACATCCGCGCCAGCCGCGGCGGTCATATGCCAGAAATCATATTTAAAATGTAATGCCACAAGATTATCTTTCGGATAAATAAAATTCATGTCAATCGAATAATCCATCGTTGTTTTATTGCAACTTAAAGTTCTATACATCGAAAAAAAACACCCCTTACTTTGCGCAATTTAGGTTTGCCGTTTTCTTGTCTTTTTCTCTTCTCTATTTTTAGTTCTTGGGTTTTTCTTAATTTTTCTTTTATTCTCAAGATATATTTTATTATATTTTTCATGTAAGTGTTAGTAGTGTATTTGCTATAACGGCGTTATTGCGGACAAATTGCTGGTTAATATTCTAGTTACTTTCGAAAAATCGATGTTTTTCGACGATAACTTCCAAACGGTTTAAGCTAGGCGCTTCAAATTTTGTCCCTTTGTAATAGTCCACGGGGTGAATGAAAACATTTTTCGGCTCCATAAAGTTTTATTTTTGACAATTTTTCAAAAATCTACAAAAACTTAAAAATGGGTTCCCCTATTATTCAAAATTGTTTATAACTAAAATATTGTCTGTATAGATAGCTAAAACTTTCGTATTTAAGGTTTTCAACTGTTGTGTTCAAGATATTAAGTGCTATATCGAAAAATTAACAGGTCTGTTAAATTTGCAGCCATCGACTTCAGATTTGGCAGACAAGTCCATACCCGTATTTCAACTGAAATCCCCCGAAGTATTTCTTAAAATTTTGGAAAAAAAAAATTGGGTTATTTTTGCTTCCAAATATTTTTCTCGGAAACTATTTAGCCGATCGGCAAACCGGGATATGCGGGACCGTAATTTTTATTTCTAGCATTTTTTCATTTTGTCGATTATATACAGGGTGTTTCAATTTTACATAAAAATCTAAAATACCTTGGAAAATTGTTCTTTTCCGCATTAAATTGTTAGCCACAAATCAAAATTCGTAAAGAATATGGCTATTTGGATTGCACAGCATTCAGGCCTACAATTTTTGTATTTACGGTTTTCGCCTAGCGCACACGCTGCTCGAGATATTTGAAAAAATCCATGTGACGTCAATTACTATTAGGGCGTACTGCACAGTTTCAGGAAACAAGTATTTTCTCGAAAACCCTTTGGTATATTGTAAAAATTCATATACCAAGAAACTTTGTAGACCACTTTTATTTCTTCCATTTTTTTGATTATGTACAGGGTGTGTCGAAAAACTATAAAACATGGGATAATTTGCTTTAAACAGTATCGTAAATTGTGTGGAGAGATAGTTTCAGGTTTCGTCTATCATACAGGGCGCGCGTACACATTTTTCTATTTTGTCCAAAGTATGCTGTGACTTTGAAGTTCGGCGAGACAGAGTGCATGCACAATAAAATTACATCGATTTTGCGAAAGTTTCATAGTGGTCCGCAGGAGCACGATTGAAAAACAATGCGTCCCTCTAGGACAACAAGCCTTTAAAATACAAAGCCGCGTCCTGACTTTGTAGACTGGCTAGCGCATAGTATGGAGCAGACGCTTCGCACAGCCACGATTTTTCGAAATCGATCTTGTTCAAATAAGGTTAGTGATTGTAATTATACAAATATATGAATTAAATGGGTACATAGATCTTGGTCCAAACATAAGGTTTCGTGACTTCATCTCAAAACTTTCAAAAGATTCGTAACTTACTGGTAGTCATAAATCCACACTGGACGTATCCCAATATCGTAAAAACACTAACACTAAAAATCACCAAACCACAAAAACTGTCCCCGGACATTATTACCATTTGCCGGCGTCTCTCTGTGGTAAAAGCAAACAAAAATATTACAGTCCGCCTATTAGTACGACGTAAGTGCGGCACTTCAGAGGCGTGCTCAAATCCATAGTACATGTAATTTTAACGAGACTATCTCTCCGGCAAAAATCGCAAAAACCTACGAGTTAAGCGATATGCGAAACATTGTTTTGAGTGAATGTCGCGGATTGTTGTTATATATCGCCCACGAAACCGCACTATTATCAGCAGATCTAGCCGAAATACCGCTCTAAAAAGCGTCTAGTTGTTTTGCGAATTTATAATTGAAATGAAACTTTTAAGAACTATTTTAAAGGCTGCGAAGTTAAGGAAACTGAAACTACCACTTAGAGTTTCAATTATTAGAAAAGACGGTGATGTCATTGGTTCTTCATCGAAAAAATGTTATGACTTCATTCTCATTCTTCTTGTAATTTCTGCATTTACATAGTACATAAACTAACGCTACATTTCATTCAAACATAGTTGCTCAATAAAACAGCGAACGAGTTTCCTTATTGTTATAAAGCTCCTTAAAAATTTTAATTCTTAATACTTGGCGTAGGTCCAATGAATAGAACCCGCTTTAGGAGGTATTTATATATAACTGCCAAAATCGTTTTCCATAATGCCCGCCGCTGTGGTAATTTCAATCAAAGAAGCTTCTAAATATTGTACTCGATTAGATAAATACTTCCTGCAAATATACGTTTATCTTTTCTCACCATATATGCACTTATTATCTCAAAATAATTGGATGATATTCCTAGCGTCGTTTTATAAAACTCTTATTAATGCTTAAATAAACAGTCCTATTGCAAAAAATAGATATAGAATGTGACACATTAATATTGAAACAACTCCGGAATTATTTTTAAAACGTCTATCAGTTTCCGCTGCAATAAAGTATTATTGAAAAGACGATCCATTCCAAAATGAAACATGTCATTAAAGTGGACTTTATCACACTTGTTGCAAATTACATTATCCACGCATCTCAGGAAACTCTCTGGACGTTCAATGCCACTTGTCACTTACCTTAACCACAAAAAATGAAAGGCGTATCTAAATTACAACTCAATAAACTTTCAATGAAAGGGTTGGGTAAAACTCCCTGTATAATGAACCTTGTGTTGGATTATTTCTAATCTATTAAGTGAAGACTATCGTCACCTCAAAATGTGGAATTAAAGTCAGACGGATATAGTCACAACCTGTTACTAGTATAATTATTTTTCGAAAAACAGTTATTATGCGCGATCACCGAATAATACCATTTAATAAGAAGAATCGTTTCTGACCAAAAAATGTTGTTCGTATTGCTTTGGTTGCAACTAACCAAACAACTCTCGGCATGCCATTTAATTCGCGCGAATTTATTGTATATGGCTTGTGGCAATTATTAATTGGCGTGGTTCAACATTTTAATATTTCTCGAAAAATCATGGACATGTGTGTTCCAAGAAAAGATGCCTCAATGTTTCACTTGGCCTTTGAGGGCAATAAAACTCCTGACCGACCGGTATCGTAGGACGGTGCATCAAGTATTTTAAGGTGTTTTAAAAATATAAAGAATAAACATTATATTGTGTTTGTTTAGATATACTAAAATCACATTAGGGCTAATAGAAACTGCGATGTTATAGTGGAAAAATTCGTGATATACCAGCTTTTTCAAAACACACCTTACAATGGGCATCCAACGTTGTAACTGATATCCGTCGACACGTGGATATATGTATACCTGACCGCCCATTGTGGCTTTTACCTATGAATAAATTATTGGGTGTTGGGTTTAGCGGGTAACAATGGGTATAAAGGTTTTAATTACTTTTTGGTTGAGAGTGTATTTCATAAATGTAGAATACTCAAATTTAAGAAAAAAAATGTTATATAATTCAAACTCCTATGATTAATGAAGTGTCAAAGTATTTTTTGTACTAGGAGAAAGATCACCTAAGTGCTCTATGAATTTCATTAGTGAGCATAAGCCAGTCTGTTCTATCAAGTTGAATAAATTTTTGGCATCAATTCAAATCACAAAGAAAATATAACTTATTTTATTTTGAAAAAATAGTCAAAATACAAAACAATCTTCTTTGATTCTTGGATGAAAAAGATATCAATATATACAGTTTTGTTTATTTAGAACCAAGAAACCTAATTTCAATGTAGTCTCTGTTGCTGCGCCCTTGTGGTCTCTGCAGAACTTCTAGTGACCCTTCGCTTTGGATTTCCAATGGTGACACTAAACAGGGTGTTTGATACTGCAACGACCGGTGAGAAAAAATGTACAGAGAAATGACTGAAAAATCGAAACAAAAATATATATAAGCAATAAAACCCACTAAAGAAAATGTCTAATACATACTTAATCCCAGTCACAGGATTAGCTTCGTTGCCACTTATAATAAATAAGGGAAAAAGAATTGAAAACAAACAGCCACTAAAAAAACTCAGTCTCTATTATTTATAAAAATTTTAACCAACCAAAGCTGTATCTACCTAATAATCCAAGATTCTGAAAGTTGTGTAACCACAGCTAATGGTAGGCCAAAACCTATAAAGTAAGGCCAATTCACTTCTATAAAAGTAAGCCTTTTGTGCAATTCCCATCCCATATTGAACCATTTATATTCAAATGAATATAGAGAGTATAAAAGACATGTTTGAGCTAAAGCCAGGATATATCCGACTGGATGTAGTGGTATGTAGCTGCTTAAAGTGGCTTGGAATAGAAACAAAAATTGGATTACTACACTAAAAATTGAATCAGCAAGGAATTTACTGATGCTTTGGAAAAATACTGGTCTCCCTCTGCTATATCTATAAGCCGAGTCAGCTATATCCTAAAAAAAAAAAATTGGGATCAAGAGCATCAAAACTAATAAAAATTAGTAGGCCTGTTTGGAACACTATAAATATACAAATCTCACCTGAAACCAGAGTGCATTGATTATTTTGCTAAGAAGAAATAGAGGGATCACCCAGGCCGTTCTGAATAATAACAAGGAAATGTATTCTATCCAATACCAGACAACTCTTGTCATAAAAGAGTTTGTCCCAAACAGAAGATCGAACAGTTTGTTTATTGATGGTAAAACACCATATTCAAATAATAAAATACTTAAAAGAAAAATACCTCCATTTAGGAGTGCACATTGTACAACTTTTTTTATCACATTGGATTCCCTAAAATATTTACCCCATTAATTGAATCTCAATCAATTCCAATCAGTCTCCTTACTCATGTTTTTTAAGTTGACGAACTGGTGTGCTTTCTCTAGAATCTACTCTTTTTTGTCGTATCGCTGTTGCACTAGGACTTCGCTTGTTCAGCATTCTCTCGTTAACTTCCTTGTCCAAATAGAAAATGACTAACATTCCTTTAAAACTATCACAAATTCCTCGAAAAGCAGCATAACAAATACCCTATAAGAAAATCTTAAGGGTTTTTCTGCACTTCGTTTATATATGAAGGGATTTTATACTTTTATATCCATTTGGGTCGAATTTAAAATTAAGACAAAAATTTACAGAAATTTAAGTGAAAAACATAACTAAAAATTTTAATTTAAAGCAGCAACCAATCTGAAATGATTTAAAATAACCTTTTTGACATAACTCTCTTCTTTTATATTTATTGGTTAACTGTCCTGGTCCCTTGTAATTGTCCCGAAAAATTTTGAAATCTATTTCGACTAAGTGGAATGTTTTAAAGGTGTAATCCTTTTGTTATCGGCCCCGCAGTTTTTTTCTGTTCACGCCGGTATGGTGGTTGGATGGGCCCAGTGGATCCGCGGGACAGTTGGGGAGGCCGTTTTTTGCTATCGGTCAAAGATTTTTGAATAGTGTTCACAATTGTTGTTTCCCGTCCCCTCGAAGGGTGATGGATCCGTCCAGTCCCTTTTAATTAAGACACCTTCCAGATTATAAACTAAATGTCGAACTATAATTGTAAGTGACCGAGTGATCACAGCAGTTTTGTCCAATAGAAGTAAATGATAACGAGAGAGAGAGAGAGAGAGAGAGAGAGAGACTGGTTCCGTCTAGAAGAAGGATTGATTATAATTCTAATCCAAATTATTTAAATTAAGTAGAACTAAAAATAAAACTTTACTAAAACTTTTACTTATTATCGTCAAACATGACGACTTATAGGTACAGACGTCCAGGGAATACGTACAAACAGAAATTAGATGTTTTAAAACGCATGATTGTGGAATATGTCCATGTAAGATTATACAAAAGTTGCTGTACTGCCTTGTTATTTTACTTTCTGTGTATAGGAAAATGCTGCAATAGTAGATGAACTGGAAGAAGTTCAAGCCAATATCATCATAAGAAAGGAAGAAAGAAAATTTCTATTAAGGAAACTTTGCGAATATGATTCTCAGATTGCAGCCGAAGTGCAGAATCTAGCCAAAGGCTCTTCAGTTGGTACTACCTCAGACATGAGAAGAAAAAAGAAATTTGTGCCAGAGTCTGGTAATATACCATGGAACTTGATTCAGAGATTAAGGTGTTTTAACAGTACAGTTTTAGAAAGGAGAACTTCTAATGCCAAATCCCGTAAATTTGCAGTTAAAGCTAAGAAACGGTATGTGCAACCTATACCTGTTGATAACACTGGAAAACCTGTTTTTCCAATAGAACTAGGAAGGTAGGTAGTGCCAATTAGTAGGCACCTAGTTTTAGTAATTATATGTATATGTTTATATTATTCACATATATTTCATCACACAAGCAACACTTGAATAGTTTAATTAATTAATTAATTAATTATTTACAATTATGTTAAATTTAAATGAGAATTTAAATTTTTTTTAGTTTAACTTTACATTCCTTAGGAGAGGTAGTTTCAGATCGTCCAGAATTTCATTGTGAGGATGCAATTTATCCTGTAGGTTATGTCTCAACTAGAATATATGGTAGTTTAAGCGATCCAACAGTCAAGTGCGTGTATACATGCAAGATATCAGACATTGATGATTTACCTAGGTAGGTATTACATAGGCAGATTTTGTGAAATTAGTTATTACATTTTTAGGTTTGAAATTGCGGCGGACGATGATTGCTCCCCAATTACTGGCGACACACCAGATGTATGTCATTCATTATTGTTACAAAAGATAAACGATTCTATATCGCTCAATGTTGTGAGTACTCGACCTAGAGGACATGAGTTCTTTGGTCTTACGCATCCAACTGTTCTAAATTTAATTCAAAGTTCTCCTGGTAAGTGGTAATAAATTGGAAAATATTTTGTAGATATCATCCATATGGTTGTTTTTGCAGGAACTAGAAAATGTTTGAATTACAAGTGGACAAAATTTGAAATATTCAGAAGCGGAGAAGTTAATCAAGAATATAATGATGCCGGATTGAATTTTGATTATTTGCAAAGAAGCATCAACTTTTGCAAGTACAAAATGGCTCCTGATGTCTTACAAAAACCTGGTTTTATTGAGACAGTGTGATTTCCTCTTATAATCTTTATTTTTAGAAGTGATTGTATTATATTTTTTCCAATAAAAGTAAAATTTTCAAAATTTAGTATAATTATTTAATTTTTTTCTTTTCTTTGCTGAAATTACCTGAATAGAGTATATTATTATTATTATTTGATATAAACGATGAAAGCATGATGTCTAAGAATTTCAACTAGAATTATATCATAAGTTGGTAGTGAAGAGATTATAAACATGACTAGTTTTTGCTCCACGTTTAAATTTGGCGCCAACGCTAAGTTTCAAATAGGGGGCAGTGCAGTCAATATCTAATTTGACATTTTGCAAATAATGGTAATTTCGACGTAGGTAGGTGATGGTGAGGTGAACTTGTAGAAATAAATGATTATTTTTATAAATAAACAAAGTTATTTTAGTTGAATTTTAATGTGTTGTAGTTATTGTTAATTTGCTTAAACGTAATGGTGGATATGTGAAAGAATAATTGTTATCGGTGAGTTGTATGTGTACTTCCTAGTTGTCAGTTTATTTCAAGAAAATTCGATCCTATTTGCGTCGAAAACTATTCCAAATTCTTTGTCAGCTGAGAATATTATATTATACACTTTAAAAGTTTCCCTTCTTATTCGAGTTGTGGTAGCTCGCCAGTTAGTTTTTCTAATAATATTTAGCCAAAGTAGTACGACACCGTTATTTGTTATCGATTTCGGGATTTGATTTGTTATGGTAGGTTGAACGGTTTTTTGCCCTTATTTTCACGTTTTTTTCATTTGTAGGATTTTTTACGCTCGTGTGCTTCGCGAAAGCATTCAACAGTATCACACAAGTTAAAGGTGAGTTACGTTTTCTAAAAAACATATTGTGTTTTTGTACGGTACGCAGTCAATTATAAAATACCCTAGAAAATACGCTAACGCGACAGGTTTATTGTCAATCAACTTGAGAAAATGCCTTATTAAGTTTTTTAATTCTTTACAATTTATTTGCAAGGCAAATGAGTAATATTCTTTTGTTTTATTTGAGATTCTCACAAGATCCATCAAATTATATGATTTTTTTAAGCATTTGTAGCATAACTTTATAAAATAAAATATTAATTTTTTTAATAAAAAAAACTGATATTGTGCTGTGTAGGTTAAAAGGTTCAACCCAAGAAATTTGCAATTTTCTAAATTTTTATGTTATTTTTTTCTAAACTAAAAATCGAAATTATTAAAATTAGGGCCCTTGTCATAAATAAAAGGCAAATTTTGAATTATACTAAAAGGTATAGTTGACGATATGTTTACTATACAGTATGGAAAACATAAACATTTGTAAAATAAAAAATGTGTAATGAAAGTAAACTTAATCTAATAATGTAAATTTTAATTGATATTTCTTGTTCGATTTTTAAAGAATTCATACGTTACAATCTATCCAAAAATTGAAACAAAGCTTGTATTCCATGCCAAAAAAAAGGAAATGGCATACATATATCTTTTTAAGCAAACAGCACAATTTTTTATTTGTATGCATTTAAGAAACATGAATTTTTAAGCTCAGTCTAAATCGAAAATCCTTGGTCAAATATAATTTCTCAATAAATATTTCAGTAGTGGAATAATGGAATACCACAGCAGAACAGTTTTCTTTTGGTTTTTGATTTTCGCTTCACACTTTTAAACTGTATAATTTCTCATTAAATTCCTAATTGTATTATTTATTTTTAAAGTTTTATTTTAATTCTAAAAGTAAATCAAATTGTATATGGGGCATACAAGTCTTAACTAAAGTATTTTACATTGGCGCACTTTTTGTCATTTAGCAGTCTCTTGCTCGGAATTAATATACCATAATTTGCAATTATTCACGTGTACATAATTTGTATACTAGATTGAAGGCTGACTCCATTTATGTAAACTAGGAAGTAGAGGTTCGCTATACATAGCAAACTTATATTGCAATTGCGGAATGTGTTTTTATATTGTTTTTGTCAAAATGCCTAAAGTAGCTATTGCACATGACACTTTTCCGAGATGTTTAGGAACGTTGTGTTATTGCTTTCCAAGTTCAGTCCGAGTAGAACTTATTATTTGTATTTATTTTTTTCAATCAATTTTACCAATATTATACCATAAATTAAATTTCTATTGTTCAGTTGTCCTCATACGCGTTTTCTTGCAAGACATAATTGTCAGCAATATAATTTATTAACATCAAAACTTCCTCTTAATATATCGCAACAGTCTGTTTTCTATGCAGTAGTGATAATGGGGAAGTATAGAATTAATTAATATTTCTCTGATTTTTTTTTTGTGATGTACCAATAAGATATAACTCGTCAGTTCTGTGGTGTATGCAATACAATTTCTTTCCTATTTATTCTCACATGAGTGAATATATAACATATAAAACGCTCCTTGAGTTATTTTAACCCCATTAATATTGTCTGCATTTATGGTGTTTGTAGATGGCGGATCCGGACCCGGAAACACTGCTCGAGTGGCTGAATAGCGGTCTGGGGGATGAACGTGATATGCAGCTCATCGCCTTGGAGCAACTCTGCATGTTGCTCTTAATGTCTGATAATGTCGACCGATGTTTTGAGAGTTGTCCGCCGAGAACTTTCTTGCCAGCTCTGTGTAGAATTTTTTTAGACGAGCAAGCACCTGAGAATGTGTTAGAGGTGATACGGTTGATATATATTATCAATAAAATAATTTTTTTTTTTATAAGGTCACTGCGCGAGCGATTACGTATTACCTAGACGTGTCCGCAGAATGTACGCGTCGCATTGTCGCAATAGATGGCGCTATAAAGGCAATTTGCAATCGCTTGGTGGTTGCGGAATTGTCGAGTAGGACGAGTAAAGATTTAGCGGAGCAGAGCGTAAAGGTAGCTGCATATTTTTGGGATTTTTGTATCTACTTTATCATATGATGTTAGGTGCTCGAGCTGATATGTACAAGAGAGGCGGGTGCTGTTTTTGATGCCGGAGGTCTTAGTTGTATTCTTCCCTTTATAAGAGATAATGGCCAAAGAGTGCACAAAGACACTCTCCATTCAGCAATGGCCGTGGTGTCTCGACTGTGTACTAAAATGGAACCTGCTGATACTCAGTTGCAAGGATGCGTGCAGGCGCTCAGCTCTCTCCTTAGACATGAAGATCTTCACGTCGCAGACGGTGCACTTAGATGTTTTGCTTCAGTAGCCGATAGATTTACTAGACGGGGAGTAGATCCGGCACCCCTGGCACAACACGGTTAGCGTTCTTTTATATATTTGTGAATCTTTTTATTTGTTTTAATACTGTATTACAGGTCTAGTAAATGAATTGCTCACCCGCTTATCGACTGCCGCCGGTTCGGTCAGTTCGGGAGGCTCTCAAAGTACACCGGGAAAATCTTCAACTTCCACGACCGGCACCCCTACAGCCGCTTCCGATGCTAAGGCGACATCTGCGTCTGTGTCCACCATTATTAGTCTTTTATCCACTTTATGTAGAGGTTCACCCACCATTACACACGTGAGTTACTGCGGCCTCTGTTTAATACATATGTTAACGTAATCTCCGGGGTTGTGAATCTACATGAAGCTTATTGCTTTGCTTATTAGACGGCTGTCATAATGTTCAGGTTAAAGAAATTAGACGGTAGCTTACTTTCTGGTAATATTACGTGAACATTCATGGACACTAGAAAATAATTGAAAGAAATAAATCATAAAAATATCATAAAAATAATACTATTCATTAAAACATGTTTTCTTGCAATTAACTATATAAAGAAAGCAATTTGCTTACTCCATATCAAGTGTATCTGAAATTGATTGATTAGATGTTGATAACAACTTAGAAGAAAGATCTATCTCAATAACATCATTAACATCAGGCTTGCAGCTCCTAGGGATATCCTGCTGGAGACTCATTGAGATGCTGCATTTCAAAATCATATCTATTGTGTCAACTCGAAGACGTTCCTTGCAATCGTATCTAAAAAATTGTGGGAAATCGTCACTAACTGGGATATGCATCATCAAAATCAATATCTGCGCATTTATTTTTACCATAGTAGGACCACTATATTATCGAATAACTATGGAGGCTGGCCATAATATTGTGCCGTATCCAAACGTCCATCCAATATACATGATTTTCCCACCTAATGTATGGATCAATAATTATTCCTAAATGTTTGTTGATTTTCATATAGTGAAAATATGGTCTATTTGTCCGCAATATCGTGAGTTTTTTTAGTATTTACTATGTTCATTCAATCAGTCCCTCACTATGAGTAAACTATTATGTACAAGTGTTCTTGTCTCAATTTCAAAACGGAAATTAAGTCGCATTTTGAAACACCCGGTGTATTTTAGATTTTAGATTATCGATTTTAGATTGATACTTATTTGAAATCAACAAGTAACTGTTTTTTAAATGAAATCTAGAAAACCCAGCGACTGAACTCGACTTTTTTCAGGATTTGTTGCGTTCAGAATTGCTGGATGCGATAGAAAAATCACTGAAGGGAGACGAAAGATGCGTGTTAGATTCGATGCGATTGGTAGATTTACTTTTGGTACTGCTTTTCGAAGGTCGTAGAGCGCTCGGAAAACCGGGATCCGGAACAACGGGTCAATTGGTACCGAGAATTAGAAGAATGGATTCCGCGGCCGAGAAATCGCACAGGCAACTGATAGATTGCATCAGGTCCAAGGACACGGACGCATTAATTGAGGCTATCGAAAACGGAGGAGTCGAGGTCAATTTCATGGACGACGTGGGCCAGACCCTTTTGAATTGGGCTTCGGCATTCGGCACGCAAGAAATGGTAGAGTACCTCTGCGAGAAAGGTGCGGACGTGAATAAGGGTCAACGATCGTCCTCGTTGCATTACGCCGCATGTTTCGGCCGACCGGCGATCGCAAAAGTTCTTTTAAAATTTGGCGCAAATCCGGATTTAAGGGACGAAGATGGTAAAACTCCCTTGGATAAAGCTAGGGAAAGGGCAGACGAAGGGCACAGGGAAGTGGCCGCGATATTGCAGTCTCCCGGGGAATGGATGGTGCCTTTGGACAAAGAGAAGGGTCGCAAGTCCGAATCTGAGTCGGAGGAGAGTGCAGAGCCGAAGGGAGATCCGGAAATGGCGCCCGTTTATCTGCAGCGACTGTTGCCAGTTTTCTGCACGACTTTCCAATCTACGATGTTGGCGAGCGTCAGAAAAGCGAGCTTAAGTCTCATAAAGAAAATGATACATTATGTACAGTCCGATCTTTTGGAGGAGCTGTGTTGTCTCGAAATAAATCCTAATTTCGGAACTCAGCTGGTCGAAGTAATCGCGACAGTATTAGACAATGAGGTAAGCACAAAGAAAAAAAAGATTGGCTTTAATTATTGTCAATGATTGGAGTTAAACTAGTATTTAGTTCGACGCCAAGAATAGTATAAACTTGACTTTCTTTAACGTTTTTGCTAGTTTTGCAGAGACAAGTGGATATGCCCCAAGGTATTTTCCGTGGCCTTATTATTATTTTTTTGTCTCGCTCCTGCAAAGAAGAAACTTACCACTTGTCCTCGATACCACAAATCGACAACTGCATAAAATTAATTTAATAAGCGACGTTTCAATGTTATCCTTGCAGATGGGTTATTGCTGGCCTACAACGCGTGATGCAAAGCCAGCGCGACCAATAGCTCAGTCATCGCCATTCAGCTTATTTGTCCGTACGATGCGCGCTTACTTGCATGATAGGCGCGTAATCATCCCCTATTCTACGCCGGTCAGTTTTCTTTTTGTTCAGTTTTTCTTTTTTTTTTGCAAGTTGCCTCTGCAAAGTGCTGCGCACGCAAAGCATTTTTTTTACATTCCTTTTTTGGTTCTTTTATTTCGCTCTGAAATGACTTTGTGGAGGTGTGACCTTATTTTTACGAATATAACCGAAACATCTTCACCTCTTTAGAAGTTTTGTCCATTGTTAAAGCAATTTGTTTATTTTCACACTATATTCATTTTACCTTTTTTTTTCAATTTTTATTTTCACAAGTTAAAAATTGGTTTTTGAAGAAATGGGTTCCGTATAACAAAATGCAATACTGAGTCCTATCTCATTGTCAAATAAAACGCTACAATGTTTCGACATTAATCCAGTGAGTGTTCTTCTTGATTTTGAAATTTGGTGCTGCAAAATATTTCAGAAATGTGTACTTTTTTACTTGAACATAACAATTGTGCCCCCCATTGGGAAGAGGGATTTCAAAAAAATCTTTTTTGTGATTCACTCAAACCACTGTTAGTAAAACAAGCATTTTAGACCTCCGACAGCCATTTTGCAAAACAAATCAAAGATATAAAAACGTGCAGAAAAGCAATTTTAGTTGGTACTTTTGCTACTTCACATAACCCGAAAACCAAATCTGAAGCTGAACCTTTATTCATTTAAAGTTAGGTGACACCAAGATCTGCAACCACAATAGGTTACGCTTCCCGTATTTTCCACAGTGATATTTTTTAATTAAATTTACATAATACGCAGTGTATTTCAAAATAAATACGAAAAACTTTCCACTACATTTTTTCTCTATGCATTGCTTTACATTTCATTTTTTTAATTTAGAAACGGTAAGTATTATGAAAAAAATGCAACAGATAAAAGGTTTGTTAATAGAATAAAATAAAACATATATATTTTTTATGTCTTTACGTAAATTTTGCCTTAAATTTAGTTAAAAAGATAAATAGGGATAGTCTGATTAAGTCCCTTCCACTGATTGTACAAAAATAACCAAGTTTTTTGATATAAAAAAATTAGAAAGATTATTTTTCCGTCATTTTTGTAGCGCAATATTGTCCTAATGGTTGGCTTTTGGCCCAACGTTTATGTAGCAAACTACCCCCTATTTGTTTTGAAACACCCTGTATACAGACATAATTTTGTCGTCAGTTTTTATGATATCCAAAATATTTAAAATACTAATGGTCAATATTGCGGACTCTTATTGGTCGTCGTATTGCTTTCTACTAAATACTAAAATTTGTTATACAAAATATTTAGAATTTACAATAATACAAAAGGTTAGGGTTTCTTGAACTCTAAAGGGAGTTTTCACTTTGCTCGTATATACTTTAAGATAGAAAAACCAGTTATAGTAGTCACAAACAAAATCATGAAACAATGCAAGTACGAAATAAACATGAGAACGGGTGCTTGTAAAGAACAGATCTTCAACTCCTGAAGTTATACATAGCATCTTATTACTAAAGATATATATAAAAAAATCATTCAATATGTCCTTTGAAATTCAAACAACCATTTTATTTAATAGCAAAGTCCGTTTGCGCATTTGTTAAAAGTTGCTGGGTATGATTTTTCTAATATTAATAACGTGGTTGATGTCTTTAAAGTTTATTAGCATTTGAATTCAAAACGGTTTGCCTAAGTGTAAACATGGCATATGACGGGCTACAATCATATCAACCCAATAGCGATTAAGAGTCCAAAAGCAGTCGTCAATCGAGTCCTTACCTCTGCCCCCACCTCTCGTATTCGCTACTGGGTGTGTAGGGCAACCTATTGTGTTTATCCATCTTGATGTGACGTAACTTCAAAATCATTTGACAATTACCCCCATAGCCTCACCTAAAGTAAACTTACTACATAGATAATATTATTGTTGAGTTAGAATTTACAAAAAAGCTTTGGAGCGGTCATGTTTAACGTTTTTTCGGTATTTTAATTCATCCTGTAAATTTTGAAAAATCCTGTTGAGACACACCTGAGATGTATTAATTAACCATGATATGATATAACTGCATTGTAGAGTATCAAAGCAGAATCGGTCACTTGTTTTTTTTTTGTTTTCTTAAATGTAGTTTTATATTTATTTGGGGTAATGCAAAACCATAAGAAATCTGAAAATGTTATTGAATTGTAGCTTGTTATGGAAAATTACCTCCATAATTAATGTGTAGTTCCCATTCATCCAGTTAGTAATATGTATTCTACTTTTCCAAAGTCATCTGTGAAACTAATGCTTTTTAGTTTTGTTTGGAGCTAGCGAGCAGCTAGCCAGTAATAACACATCTGTAACGGCATGGCATTATATGCTTATTTACCGACGATTATAATATCGATTTTTCAAACGAAATTTTCACGAATTGTAGGAGGACGAAGAAGGCCATTCGGTGGTGTTGACGATAATTCAAGATCTTATGGTCAAATCTCAAAAGATATTTCTAGATCATTTTGCGCGCTTGGGAATATTTACCAAGGTGCAAGCGCTGGCTGGTCCCCCGGACCATCAAGAAAATGAGGAGAGTGAAACCCAACAAGAAGGTTGGTCAATTTAGACTCTGCTTAACAAATAAATAAAAAAAATTGTTAAAATTTGGAGAAATTAGAATAACAGTGATATATTATTTTGAATTCAAATGGCAATTTAATTCCAAACATTTCGTAGAGCCTATTGAGCAACAACAGCAGGAAGATGCCAAAGAGATTTTGCCTGGCAAAGCTTATCATTGGCGCGACTGGTCGATTTGTCGCGGTAGAGACTGTCTTTACATTTGGAGTGACGCCGCCGCTTTGGAATTGTCGAATGGTTCCAATGGCTGGTTTCGGTTCATCCTTGACGGCAAACTAGCTACCATGTATTCTAGCGGTTCGCCAGAAGGAGGAGCCGATACTTCCGGTAAGTTTCCTAAATGTTGTTTGCCTGAACCGTATGATTTTTTGACGCATGCGTAATACCATAGGTTACTTGAAGACCTACTCATTTATTATATGCTTGTTGGCTACCTTGCTTCTTGTTTTTTCCGCTATACGCTGACGGAGATAACAGGTTAGCGAGATTTATTAACACATTTTGTGCTGAGCTTTTCCTTTCAGTAAAACTTGCGCTTAACTGTATTGAATTATTTGCAATACAAGTCCTCACCAATGTGACTTGCTCAAGATGTGGCAGATTTATTATTTTATCTCGTCTTACATATAATTCGAGAGACGGTAGGTAAAATATAATATACATCTATCAAAATACCAGTGGCATTCATTTTGATATGAATTACAATTCCAAAGGAAAATTGTGCATAAGTCGTAAATGATTAATTAATGATTGATTGCCACGCTACTTGTCAAACCTCTCTTTTTTGCTGTGTGTGGTAACTGAAGTGACATGTTGATTTTTGTTTGGATATAGGCAAAGGAAGGGCAGCTGACTCCCTCACCACTGAAGGTAAGAACGCTTACCTTTTACTTTCTATTTAGCTTTCAAATGATATTTTTTTAGTTTACTTCGAAAACTGTTTTGTTTGCTTTTTATCTCGAGCTTCTTTATTTTTCGTTTTTTTTTTCAAACGCCTTTTAACAATAACAAATTCTTTAAATTACTTCTGTGATGATGTGGTTCTGTTGATATCTTGTTCGATTGTTAAAGTTTCGCTATACTTGAATAGATCTCAAATGCACTTAAAAAAAATAAATTTGAACTAACTATCAGATTATATTGTAACTCAACTAATCACAATTATTTTGAATAATGTAATTCTCCTCACACCTACATTGCGTCTGCAGAAAATAGAGGAGAATTTTTGGAAAAACTTCAACGGGCACGTGCAGCTGTTAGAATTGCCAACAACTGCACTCCTATTTTATCCAAGCCAAGTCCTACAAGGCTGATAGTTGGCAACTGGTCTTTAACATCGAGAAAAGAAGCGGAAATCAATATCCACAATTCTGATGGACAACAGCAAACAACTATTCTTAAGGATGATCTACCTGGATTCATATTTGAATCCAACAGAGGCACCAAACATTCTTTTATTGCTGAGACAAGTTTAGGTAAATTTTTCTAGTAATTTCTGGTAGTCTCCTGTTTCTTCTCTTACTCAAAGCTCACTTTCTGAAGTACTATTGGCATTGTAGGTCCGGAATTTTCTGCCGGTTGGACTACGAAAAAAGGCAAAAGGCTTCGATCGAAAACAGAAGCGACGAAGATGAAGGTTAAGTATCTTGCCCATCAAATCTATGAACAGTACTTTAGAGCAGCGCAAGCTCAGCCTCGCGGCGTTGTTGCCAAGTTGGGCAACATTGTGGCACAAATCGAAAGAGCTTGCCAGAAACAGTGTTCCTATGGGAATAACAGGGAAGGGGGGAATTCTTGGAAGGAAATACTTATGAATGCTCTTGATGATTTAACTCAAATTTTGAAAGAGGATGGTGTGGTTAGCGCATATGAACTGCATAGTTCGGGACTGGTTCAGGCTTTGCTATACTTACTCTCAGTTAGCTATTGGGACCAAGGTAATATTAATTAATTAATTTTTTGACGGGTTTTTCCACAATTGTTTTCTATAGGATTGAAATCAAGTAAAATGAACAAATATCAAAAACAGCGGGTTCAAGTTTTTAAGCAATGCTTTAAGAGCAGATCAAATGAAGAGAACAATTCCATGGCTATACTTGTGCAGAAGCTCATAGCCGTCCTGGAGAGTATTGAAAAGTTGCCTGTATATCTATATGATACCCCAGGTGCAGGGTATGGCCTTCAGGTGTTAACTCGAAGGTTACGATTTAGACTGGAGAAATCTCAGGGCGACAGTACTCTAATCGACAGAACCGGCAGAGGGCTAAAAATGGAGCCGTTGGCGACAGTTGCTCAACTGGAACGCTACCTTTTAAAAATGGTAGCCAAGCAGTGGTACGATTTTGACAGATCCACTTTCCAGTTTCTAAAGAAACTTCGGGATTCCAAATATCAGACATTCAGACATAACTATGATTTTGATGAAAATGGAGTTATTTATTTTATTGGTACGAATGGCAAGACCAGTGGTGAGTGGGTTAATCCAGCTCAGTATGGAGTTGTGACCGTAACTAGTTCTGACGGGCGAAATCTCCCCTATGGGAGAGTAGAAGATATTCTGTCTAGAGATTCTTCCGCTCTAAATTGTCATACAAATGATGACAAGAGATCCTGGTTTAGTATCGACTTGGGGTTGTTTATAATCCCAAGTGCCTATACCCTGAGGCATGCAAGAGGTTATGGCAGATCGGCTCTTCGAAATTGGTACTTTCAAGTGTCAAAAGATGGAGTTCTTTGGACAACATTGTACACACACACTCAAGATACATCTTTGAATGAACCAGGCTCAACTGCTACCTGGCCGATTGAACCGCCATCTGACGAATATCAGGGTATGTAAAACTGTGTTTGCGGTGTATCATTATGATTTTTTAACGATCCCATAATATTAATTTCAATGAAAATATCCGTTAAATGTAATTTTTAGGATGGAGACACATAAGGATTCAACAAGCAGGTAAAAATGCATCAAGCCAAACTCACTATCTCAGTCTTTCTGGATTTGAAATATATGGACAAGTGATCAGCGTGTGCGAAGATATGGGAAAAGCACACAAGGAGCAAGAAGCCCAATTGAGGAAACAACGAAGGCTTGTTAAAACACAACTCTTAAAACATATGGTTGTTGGCGCTAGGATTGTCAGAGGAATTGATTGGAAATGGAAAGATCAAGATGGTAATCCACCTGGAGAAGGTAAGTTTTTGTTGGCTGTGAAGTTTTGATGTTAGAAAAATTTTTCAAAATATTTTCACAAAGTTTCAAAAAGACAGAAAATAAAGAAAAATGCCGAGTTCTAACAGTATTAAAGTTGACATTTTGCAATATTGCAACACAGGAAAGAACTTTATTGATAATTTTAAAGAAAGTAACTGTTTCAGAGAGAAGTCGACCTTTCTTTCAATGACACCATTTCAAACCTTTCAGTCACTGGAGTGCAATTAATTCTACAGATATCTGCATTGTATACGTTTATGTTTCTCTTAAATACCAAGGTTTACAAACATTTAACTCTAACAGTTTCGTTAACATGGCAGCAATAGATGGAGTACAGGTTCACTGACGTATGTTCTATCCCATAAGGGCCAAAAGGGTATTATAAAAAGTTACAAAACGAATCAGGAAAATAAATAACCATTTCTAACAACAATTCTCATTTTCTCTATTTCCTATTGTTAAATGTATATAAGTTGGGCATCAAATAAAAGACCCAAGTCCCTCACTACAGAGACCAATTCTAGTGTACATATATAAAGTTGCACATTAATAAATCTGCTGGGGATAGAGACAAACTTGTTTTGTTGAGTTGTAAACCATTTTTCTTCGATCACAGATTTATAAGCTGTTTTCAATAACTTGAGATGTAATAATAATATCTTTTATTCCCAAAAAAATCATATTAATTGCTAAGAAAACATAGTTTAATGTAATGTAACATTTACAAGATTACAAACTCATAAGGTAAGATTATACAATAAAATAGCAAGCATTTAAAAAAAATGAAAAGACTGGACCCATCCATGCATACTCATTAAACTTCACAGTTAAAAGATGAAAAGCATTTATATAATAAACAATGATATAAACCTTTTTCAAAAAAAGTTGAGCTGTATACAGTATCAGTAAGACCCCGTTTCTGGTAACATTCGCCATTGACTTAGCATAAAAGTTGTTATTAAAGAGACCCGGTTTGTTTTTTACGAATCTAACCACCGACAGATATCTGAATAGCAGTACCAATGTCATTTATAGAAAAATGTAGATCAGTGGTTCCCAAATATTTTTTCTCATAATAATTTAGCTGGTTCCAATGGACTCAGAGCTACATTTCTACCATATTCCATATAAATGTATTTTTTGTCTCGCCAACGCCCTTGTCGAGTCTCTCGTGGACCCCTGGGGTCCGCCCGGGCCACTTTGGGAACGACTGATGCAGATCTTGTTGACCCTTGAATAACTAAATAAATAAGTAAATTTGATGGTGTTTAGGTACAGTAACCGGAGAACTGCACTCAGGTTGGATAGACGTAACGTGGGATCACGGCGGATCGAATTCTTATCGTATGGGGGCGGAAGGGAAGTACGATTTGAAATTGGCACCCGGCTACGACGTAGAGAACGCGCCAGTCAAAACTTGCCCTACGAATAAGCATAAGACGAAAGAGGACAAGCAGAGCGTCCTCACCAGTCGGAAAAGCAGCTCGACTCCCAGCCTGCCGGAAGCGACTGAAGCGAAGCCTTCGGTCGCGTCGACCGATCAAGCCGCTTCGGCCGACAATTTAGCTGCCAAACAAGCGGCAGAAACTATCGCCGAGAGTGTACTGTCGGTTGCGAGAAATGAAGCGTTGGTCGCCGTCACTTCAGAATCTCAGGCAGCCAGCAATGATAGCGAACTATCTGTGGTAGTTCATCCGCTTCGAGATCCTCATCACGATTTGTCAACGATAAACAACAGCAGTGACTTGGCGACGATCGTTGAAAGTCTTACCCTCACGGATAGTAAATTATCGATGAAAAGGCAGAACAGCGACGAACCTTCGTCAAATGCGGTTGATCATCAGAAAAATTCTAGTCATAAGTCAAATAGGAGCTCTAGGATAAGTAATGTAGCCGCTGCTGCAGCTGCTCAAAGCTTCGTGGAAGCTGTCGAGGCTTTGGACAAAATAAGGGAAGGTACCGACATGTTGAGGAACAATACTAATAATTTCTTGTCGGCGGAGCTGCTGCAGTCTGCCCTAAACATTGGTCAGTCTACCCAGCAGACCATCAGCAATTTATCTAATTTGTCCGGTAACAGTGTGAGGATTTCGGTTTCGTCTAATTTAGATGCGGAGTCGGATAAGTCTAATACAAAGAAGGAGGATGGAGGAACCACTAGTAGTAACAAAGGTGCTTGCAGTAGTGATAACGAAGAGGCTGTGAACAGTGTGAATAACGCAAAAAACAGTAGTAATTCTGTAGTAGTAACCAACCCAATGAGTGTCAGTGTACCAAATCTGGCGAGCACGGAAGCTAATGGCCATATTGAAACCACGACCACAGCAGGTAATTTTTTAAATTGACAATTAAAATATTAACTTTTTCACAATTAAAATAGAACAAAAAATGTTCAGAGTTTCACAGTTATTTCTTGGTTCATGGCAGCTGCATTGGCAACACCCTGCCTTTATCAAATACAAAATAGTATATTATGTATATGTTATAGAACATAACACAATTTTAAGACACCACTTTATTTAAACATATTCGAAGTTTTACAACAAAATCAATTGAATCTAAAAAAATACAAATCCCTACGTTCTAATACAATACTAAAGACTTTGGGGTTCAATAATAAGGTTATCCTGATACTGAGATAGTTGTAAACAAACAGATCGAATTACTCCATTTAACATATATAAATTTAAATTTAACAACGGAGACTCGTTCAAATCCAATTGGTTATTAGTTAATAGATTCCAATATCTCTGTGTGTTTATCTCCCTAGCTTCCAACAAATTAAGTTTTTTCCTTTTTAATGCATTATGTAAAATTTCAAAATTATCGTTAAACTTTTATTTTTATGCTCTCTTTTGTGTTCCTTAATGTTCTACCTGTTTGTCCGATATTGTGGGACGTGATCCACATTTTAAGTTGTAGACTCGTGATTTTTGAGTTTTTTGTGATTTAATTTTATTGTTTTTTAAAAATGTTCCTATTGTGGTTTTAGTTTGAAAAGCAATCTTGAGACCAAATTTAGATAGATGTTTCGAAACTTTCTTGTTAAGTTCTCTTATGTATTTTATAGTTTTTATCAATTTTGGGTTCGGAGTTTAATATGCGATGGATAGAGTTCAGAGTTATTTTAAACCATCAATTAGGGGTCTTAACTATTGTTAAAGAATTAAAAAAAATTTGTGGACAATAATATATTAAGTGATCTGTGGATAAAATAATAAAAGGCAGTCATTTTGTGTGTGCAAGGGTGATTTGAGTTAATATGTACTACTGTGTCCGTATGTGAGGATTTATGGTAAATGGAAAAATCTAATTTGTTTTGTAATTTAGTTATAGTGAAGTCCAGAAAGTTTAAAGAGTTATTTAGTTATCTACGGAGTTAATATGATTCACAAAGGGCTGTAGTTGTATTTCCTTTTCAGTGAAGAAAGTTTACCCAGAGGATATTCATGTATGATATTTTCTAAATTGTCTCCGAAAATTTCTGCAAGTAGGGGACTAAGTTGGTTTCCTATAATTTTCGTCTAAACCAATTATTAAACTATCTAATAAATCTTGTTTATGAGAGCGTTAACTTGGCATGGTGTTGCTGAAAGAACTATGGTAAACCAATAAATAACTGTGAAAATCTGAACATTTTTTGTTCTAATTTAATTGTGTTTGGATTTTTTTATCAAGTAAAAGCCACCTCACTTCAATACTAACTGTTTCCTTAAAAGAGTTTGTTACTGATTTATGACAAAGTTACCAGTTACCCTGTTAGCTGGTGCGGGCTAACCTATTAGCTGGTGCGGAGACATTATCCTTTTTATTGGGTCGATCTGTTTGATTTTTTTTATAATAGTTTTAAAATGTTTGGCGTTGTTGGCGATTTATTTAAAAATTAATTATCTCACAGGCGTCAATTTACGAAAATAAGCTTTTGAGTGACCAAAGCTTTATCGAGAACTGTGTTAGGCCTCTATTATTGAATTTGTTAATTAAGTGAATTGACAAAGCTAGACGTGGGAGGCAGGGCAGAGATGTTTTTTTGACATTTAAATTATCCATTTATATGCCTATATAAGGCTAAATATATGACTTTTTGTGTAATTGGGAAAAATTGTCCAACTTTTCAAAAATGTTACTCTATTAGTGTTACTTATGTTTTGAGTGTTAGTACATAGTATCTTGAATACATGTATCATCCGTAAACATTCTTCCAGCCAAGCACTAATCATCCACAACTTATCAAAGTAGAGGTAATATTGTTGTTCCTAAAAACTATCAGCAGGCAACAATTTAGTAAATTTAAATTTTATAATCTTCCTATGTACAGTGTGTCAATTTTTTTATTGTTATTGCTGATTGTCTTGGTTATTATTATAGATAGAACAATGCGGTTTTTGCATCAAAACGTTGATTGCGGACATACGCTTTTCAAAAATGTATAATTGTCTAATTATATTTTTTAAATCAAAATATGTATTGACATTTTAGAAATGTTTTCTCCATCCGTCAGACATTTTTCGCACAGTTTACATATTCTTCTTAGAAGGATAATTTCTAGATCTTATTACATAGAATCTGGAAGTGTAGGTTTTGAGACACAAGTCAAAAGTATATTTAAAATGAAATACCTAGTATATTTGTTTCAAAAATTCATCTATCTTTTTATATACTTTCTAAAAATGTTTGAGGGGATATTTTAAAAAACAAATATAAATATTTATACTAAACTTGTTGATCTTTTGCCCTATACCTGAGTATTTCAGATTACATTATTGTTGCCTAGCAAATTGTTCACTTTTTTTGTATTCCGTAGTTTGTATTTCTTTCTGGTAATAAGCATAATATCAATAATAAATGATGAAATTAGGGTGTAACAAAAGTATCTATTTTCTAAAATGTCAAAATAACTATTTAAAATAATATATTTAAACAATTATACATTTTTGAAAAGGGTATCAAATGCACAATCAAATTTTTAAAACAATTTACAAAAACATAACTTTAGCTTGTACCTTAAAAATTATATCTTTTCATAAAAATCTGAGTGTGCCACTCATTACGAAACAGGATTTTTAAAATTAAATCCTAAAAACAAAGCGAGCTAGAACTGGAAAACGATAGCTTTTATTTCACAAAAATCGAGCACAGTATTATGAAAACCTCATCTCTCAATCTCTAATAATATCCGAGATGACAAGGAAAAATGGACACATTGTCCATAATGAAAATTAAAATTAGTTTTTTAATTTTCTAATTTCACCTATACTTTAAGGTTGAATCATTTTATAAAGAGATAATTCCATAAGTTAATTAATTTCGGGTTCGATACGTAAAACTACGCGTCTAGGTCGAGTAGATACCATAATATCATAACTTATGCTGGGAAATTTTGCGCTGAGATTATTTTGGAAGAGTTTCTTTTAGTATTTTTCAATTTACGCCAGAACTCTTCGGAACAATCTCTCAGCCTTACCAACTGAAGTATAGTCCTGAACTTTGCAGGTCTTTTGGAAACGTTTGCAGCGCTGGCGCGACGCAGGCAGTCCGGTTCTTCAGCCAACAACTGTTCGAACGCCAACACAAATAATGCGCAAGTGACGAACGCGAACGCGCAAAATAACCAGAACTCGTGCTCCCTATTCCCGCGTGCTCCCAATTCTGTTTCCAGTCTGGTCCGGTTGGCGTTGTCCAGTAATTTTCCTGGCGGATTGCTGAGTACCGCCCAAAGTTATCCGAGTTTGTCGTCCAGCAATAACGCGGGCGGTCAGCAGGGCGGGATTTCGGCAGCAGCGGGCGCAGTCCAAGGTAGATTGCAGCGTTTTCTGCGCACCCAACTATTCTAATTTAAGAAAGCCTTGTATTTATCGCTAAATATTGTCGTAGGGTTAAGCCAGGCCCTCACGATGAGTCTAACGTCGACTAGTAGCGACAGCGAGCAAGTGTCTCTCGAAGACTTTCTCGAATCATGTCGAGCACCCACCCTGCTAGCCGAACTAGATGATGATGAGGAAATGGGTGAAAATGATGACGAGAATGACGACGAAAATGAAGACGATGCCGATTATGAAGATGTGAGTTATAATAATAATAATGTGACAAAATAAGCTTCTCTAAAAAATAACAGCAAAACGAAAATTAATAATTATTACAAAAGATAGGCCAAGCGTTTAAAACTGAATTTAAAGTAGTCCTAAGAATCAAGCTTAAAAGTATAGAGTGTGCAACCACTTTTTTTTAAGTATTTACATTTCAGTGCTCTAATGTACCTATGAAATTTTCTATATGCTTTAATTGCCATAAAGTACTTTCCTTTTTTAAATAGTAAATGTATTTGTGGGAAAGGTTAATTCACTTCTATATCTCATCAACATTTCCACGTCACCAACAAAATCCTTTTTCACTGACATAACTGATAAGGAAAAATATAGTGATGGAACTGTTAATATTTTATGTTAGTTAAAAAATGGTCAACAGGAAGCTATGAGACAAAACGCCAGGATGCTGTAATTTGAAAATATCTGGAGAATTTTTGTAAGACCCCCAACAATGAAATAAAAATATAAATTAAGCTTAAGGTAGGGCCTATACGGTATTGTTTTCACAACAAGTCAAACGAGCAAAAACTGTAATATTAAGGGTTTTAGGAATTGTCATTGATCCGGTTTTTTGGCATTTAATTTTAAAATTCTCTGCAAAGTTGTTCAACCATCCTGCCATACCTGCACAACCCAAAGACAAACGAGCAATCTATGGGTGTCAGAATCTAGCTCTGTGGTACAACCTGCCTTATATCAAACATTTTTTAGTATACCCACACCGACTTTACTCACGCATAAATATTGCTTTTTATTTAACAAATGGGATTTGGCGTTTATTTAGTAATAATAACCTAAAATACTGAGAATAACAACGGCACTGGTCTGTAATACAATATCCTGTCTGTCTACCGTTTTTAATGTGGATACCGCCTTAGCTCTATTATGCACCTCTCGAAACACCTGATTAGAAAAATATTCATTAATAACATCATGCTAAATATTGTGCAGCAAATTTAAGTACCGGTCGCCTAATTAAGAAGGGACTCTGCCCTATCTCTAAAAATAATTGTCCTTAAGACTTGGGCTGAAAACACTTATGACTAAAGTGACCTACAGAATATGGTCAAATAATATTTTCTCAAAAAAAAAAAAATCAACGATATCACAACAAAACTGCATTTCGGTATCTGTTTCGTAGCCTATAATATCAGTAAAAAAATAAAAATAAATAAATGTTACCATCTTTGTTAATATTTTCAGGATATTTTTCCAAAAATTTTATAAAATTGCTGTTAAACAGGCAACATTAATTATATGATTGAATGTTACAATAATGAAAAACAATAACACAGATAAATCACTTAAGTAAGAACTTTGCCTTTAATGTAGACTACTCCACAAAATAAAATATAAATTCTTACTGTAACAGTTGCGTTTTCAATGTTTTGAAAATTAACTCGAAACATATGCAGGTAAGAATGGCATTTTTTTTTTAACAAATAAGGTCGCCAAATTAATTTTTTTCTAAGAGAACGAAAATTTGAATTAATTATTTTATACTGATATTATAGTATGTCATTTGTTTTTTTTTTCGTTGCAACCGTATAGCGTTGAATTTTTTTGAGAAAATACCTTGTACTTGAGTAATGTCGCAACACCCCGCTCTAGTGGCGATACAAGCAATCTAAATCAATGTGTTCGGGGCAGCGTCAGTAGGATTAAAAGAGCCCCTTTCAACAACTAAATTTATTTCCGAAAATGTTTGAACACCCTCAACCACTTTCCCTTAAGAGAGACCAAAAACCAGTTAACGAAAAAGAATCGGTGTGGATTTTGGTATTTGTAATACAAGTTTATTAATTATGATAATTAAGTTAATAATTATCATGCTCCTGGTGGCAAAATAATTTCCAGCGTTTTCTCTTTGCCGCTTTAGTCATAAGTTTTTCCAGTTGGCATCCAGTACCTATACAGAGATTCTACATAATAATTATTAACATGGAGTTTGTTTACTATTAATGGTTTATGTCATAGGAACTGCAAGTGATGGTATCTAGAAACCTATTAAGTTTTATGGAGGAGGAGGGCTTCGAGGCGATCCAACACAACACCAAGCGGCGATCTTGGGACGACGAATTTGTCATTAAAAGGCAATTCAGCGCTTTGATCCCCGCGTTCGATCCCAGACCGGGTAGAACAAACGTCAATCAAACATCAGACCTCGAAATTCCAGCGCCCGGCCAAGAGGAGTCACCCAACGTTTCGGAACACGACTTATTGCCCCAACCAAAGTTGCAGCTGTTGCTAAAGGGGCCCAATATGCCCGGCATCGCCGACGTAGAAATCGAATTAAGCAACCCCTCTTGGACAATATTTAGAGCTGTGCAAGAGTTAATGCAACTGACTGAATTTGCTTCTAAACAGGAAAAGCTTCGCAGATTATGGGAACCTACCTATATGTACGAACGCTCAATTTACTTTGACCAAAATTAGTTTTAAACCTTTTTTCCTTTAGCATTATATACCGTGAAGTTAAAGAAGATTCATCCTACGACATGGAGGAGGGCAGAACTACTCCCGTGGCCCAACAGTTTATACAGGGCGGCAATAGTTCCATCATGGGACACACGTTGTCTCCGTCCACTCCCGTGCCCGGGACGCCCTCTGTCTCCAGTTGTACCGTGGAGGACGTTTTGCAGTTGTTAAGGCATCTTTTTGTTATCACCACGTCCGAAAAGGAAAGCGATCTCAATATACTGGACAACGGCACTGACTTGCCTCCCGAATTGTATTCCAGCAAGAAGATTACCAACAAATTAATCCAGGTAATAGTGAAGCCCGGTAGTCACGATGCAATTTCTATATGTATTTGCGCATGTATTTTTTCATGCAAATATTTCAATGTGTCTACCACCAAATTATTTTCTCCATCCGCACGAAATTTGGCAGATAAAACTACCAGCTATTATTTCCCGAATTTGCTTGCTTTTTTTTTTTAATAAACCTATAGGTTTAACCTCTATGAAAAATTTAAATAAAGTTGAAATGACAAAGCATGACTTAAAAGTCGAATTATAACTTTATGAGATATAAGATATGGGAACAGGAAAAATTTAAGTGGAAAAAAATGTCCAAGTCGCTTTTCTGGACCTAGAGGGACGCAATGTTTTCTATCGTGCTCCTGCGGACCATTATGGAACTTCAAAAAATTCGATGTAATTTTATTGTGCGCCCAATAGGATATAATACTATCTCAATTTAATTAGCCATATTTTTAAAGAAAGTTTACCACTTTGCTAAATTTCAATTCGATAGCTGTTAATTTGAGACCCCTATTATATTTTTGGATATAGCACTGAATATCCCCAACCTCCTGTACAATATGCGAAATATGGTCATATGAAAGAAACTGAACTGAAGTTATGCTCAATTACCATTATCACCCAATTTTCAGTTTTTAACAAATTACACACGAAATCTTGTATATTTTTAAAAAATCAGGATCTCGCTTAACTTTTAAATGAAAAATTTTTTCGATCGTATATACCGTTTTTGAGAAATGATGTTTTTGTCGAACCCTTACAAATGCGGTTTTTAAATTAGTTAAAATAATTAACTTTGGGGATCCAAACCCATGTGCATCCCAAATTTAAAATTGATAGCCTTATATTTAGAAAACTTATCTATTTCATAGCGATGTACGAAAAACAGACGAAAATCGCGAAGTTATGAAGCGTCTACAGAGAACGGGGAACGGACAGACAAAAAATAATTTCTGTACCAATGGCGGACCCGCGTACGCTTTCGAAAAATTCGATTTTATCTATTTTTCGAAAGCACCACGTCAATACACAATGTGTTAAAAAAAAACTATTTCAATATGCAAACTAAATTGCCCTAAATATAAGCAAATAAATTAGTTTTAGAGAACCCATAAATTACTATAATTAATGTACATTTTCTTCATTTCTTTCGTTTCTAGTATATTGGGATTATGGATTTTCATTATATACCCAATTATTAAGTTATTATATGCGTAGTAAAAACATTTTTGCATAAAGTTTAGCCATTTAACACCATCAGCTAAAAAATATCGGGATGATTAAACAGGGTGGACAATTTAAAGGTTTTCAAGACTCTGACTTGTTAATAAATTAGAGTCACGCTAAACTGCATATAATAGAAGGATGAGTTGGGTAAAAGTATTGTGACAGCGGCGTTACTACAGTTCAGTTTATTTTAATAATAGATGTAATAATAATTATACATGATTATAATTATAGATATTTGCAAAAAATTCAAATATTTATCGCATAAGATCGAGTAAATAAAAACTTATATAGAAGTAAGAATAATATGAAAATAGGTAAATTATAATAACTACTATTCAAAAAAATGCTATTTACAATACACCTTTGTTTCGAATAGTCAGATAAACTATGGTCATTGAAGTTCAGAGAAATAATAAGAGGCTCTGCGGTATTTTCTAGCATGTTATTAACTTAGCACACAAATGCCGTTACACGTAGGATAATTATCTATCCGACACTCTCTCTCGTCGCGTCCCGACTCTTGACGATAATAAGGATGTGGAATACCAAAATAAATAAGAAATAAAAGTTCAGATTTTCACGAAATTATATAATTTTACATGACATGATAAATGGATTGTCATCAAGTAAAAGTCACCTCAGTTCAAACTGTGGAATACGCCTAAGATCAGTAAGTTTCACAGTTTAAAATATTGATTTATAACTCTCTCACATTAAGAAGCAGAGAATAGAGTCATCTAACTTTTAATATGTGGCAAAATTATTGTGGTTACTCACTACACTTCCATTTGTGAAATTGTATTCGCATAGTATAAAACAACTTAACTTGTTTGTTTTTGAGGAACTGGAAAAAAGAAACAAAACCATTTTTTATTTTAAAATCTTTTAACCTTAAACAAAAAGGTTTTTTTAACATGAACAACTACCAGATCGTGTATATTTTTATAAAAAGCAAATAACGTGTAAGTTAGCAAAACTCCAAATTTTTAAGATTAGTTAGATAAAAAGTAGAAACGGAACGAACATATTCTTTCAATTTCTTCATTTAATGTTGTAGTAGCATCCAACGAAAATTCGGAAAAATGTACTTTTCAAGTAGTAAATTGAATTGAATTGAAATTGAAATTGAATATTTACTCTACTTTTTAAGTTCAAAATCATCTTTAGTTAATTAGTCGTTGTTTTCATTCACTAAGTTACTCATAAGACGCCATTTCCAAACTTTAACAGGCAGTATCTCTGGAACTATACATAGAAACTTAAAATAAATCGGATATTTAAACATTAATTACTTTTTTTTTATGTATTTCGGAAGGTTCTTTAACATTCTGACAGTGTTTTGAACAATTTGGTTATCGAAAATAACGATCAACTAAAACTACAAACTGAAGCTAAAATTAATGGGGATCATCAATGGATGGAAATGAAAAACGCCGATTTTCTTGAAAGCGATTTATTTTATTATGGCATAATGATCTTGTGAGCTTCTAAACTTTGCAAAATTGTAAATAAAAGGTTTTAGAGCATTCCCTTAAGGTCGTACAAATGTGGTCTAAAAATACAAAAATGTACTTAATTTAAAGTTAATTGGCAAACTAGCAAAAGCGAAATTATTTTTGCGCCCTAATTTCCGTTCCGCAATTTCGTTATTTTTGAGTTTTCCAAAAATTTTATATGAACTTTAATATCGTGTCTTAAATTTGCCGCTTGTTATTTTTGGACATCTTCTATTATATATTTTTTTTTTTTAGAATTGTTTGTTAGAATTTCTTCTGAAAACCCTCCTTGTTCAGTTCAAATCCGTTAATCGCGGCCATATTTTCAGAAATCGATTTTTTGATTGAATCCTGGAAACCTTTTGAGATATTTTTGGGGCCATAAAATTTTTGTTGTATAATTTTGCTTTTCTTTAACGGTTTGTTGCAGACCTCAAATTAGTTATCGAAGAACTGGCACCGAGGCCATAACAATCATATTCTTGACATACACGTCATTAAGTATAAATTAAGATATTGTCGGTATGATTTGCGATGGCCTCTCTATTTTACCTGCTTCCATTCATATACTAAGAATGACAAAACCCACCAATTTACATGCCATACATACCTTTCTCTATTACGCCCTGATGTGCACTCGACAGAGACCGGATAATTTTCCACTACAAAACAGGGTTGTATTTTTGAAAAACTGCTGCCGAAACTCGAAAGACTGCCTTTCATTATTATGGATAATGCACTTAGTGGTCTAAAATGTGAGTTGTTAAAAATTGTCAAAAATTATAAAGCAAACTTGTCATATGCTAGGAGATGAAATAATTGCCGAAATGGGTCATCAACTTTTAAGATTGCCTCCTTCCTATTGCACATTCAGTGCCATAGAATTTTCGTGGACTCAGTGCAAAAAATGTTTTACTAAAAATTTTGTAAATGAAGCAAGGCGAGATGATACTGCAGTAATATCTGTTTGAAAGATCGGTATTAGTATAGTATGGTATTAGTATCATAAAAATCGACACTTTGTTTATGAAGCCTGAAAACGAATTTGTCTGTGAAGTTTTCAATCCAAGAATTCAAGAAAAAAGACATTCTGCTAATAGCTTCCTATTGGAAGCTTTTGAAAAAAATGAAAGACTGTTACTAAGTAAAATTGATTCATTGTATAATACATACAGAAAATATAATAAAATGATACTGGGATAAAGATAATATACTTGATATAAAGATAGCACCACTTGTTATTAATACCAAGGATTATTTTCTGGTAGTAGCAGTTCCAATTTTGGCTCTGCTGATGATTGATCATAAATACAAACTAAATATGGTTTACTTGTATTTATTCTTGACAAATTATATTTTATGGATGACGGTATGATATAATTTTTAATATAATATATAATTTTTTTAATTCACTTAATTCTCACATACATCTCTGAGTATGGGCTTACTAGTTAAATTGAGGCCAACTACAGCTAACTACAACTGATTCTGTCTCTCTTACTCCTAAGTAATATAATCGTGATCATTAGTGATGGCTGCCTTGCATTAATCAGATAGACATTTAGGGCGAAACATCTGTTGAAGTGGTAGCAAGATGAACAATCTATATTATTCTGTGTGGTATTTTATTGCCCACTATGCCACCACAAATTGTACGGACTATAGAATACAATATTTAACATAGCAAACAAGAATATAGCCCTATATCTAATATAACAAAATTGTCATGGCAAATGTTCTATTCATTTTTAATTAAAGGCTGAATATTTGCAGACCACCTTAATGAATGGAAGCATATTATATTCCTGTTTATATCTGTTTTATATCTGGCAGTTCTTACCTTTTGTTGTTCTTGAATAGTTATTGCGTATTATTATTATAAACTTTCATGTGAAGTGGGAAATTTTAAGTTTTCATATTGTCAACAAAGAGTGCCATTAAACTACAAAAAGGGCAAATGCGAAAGTAATTCGACTATGCAATAATAAACGTTTTTCAGCAAATCCAAGATCCTTTGGTGCTATCGAGTTCAAGCTTGCCAGCCTGGTGTGAAGAACTGAACCATTCGTGCCCGTTCTTGTTCCCATTCGAGACGAGGCAACTGTACTTCAACTGTACGGCGTTCGGGGCGTCCAGAAGCATCGTTTGGTTGCAAACGCAACGAGACGTAACCATGGAAAGACAACGAACCCCCGGTCTGTCTCCGCGACGAGATGATCCTCACGAATTTCGGGTGGGAAGACTGAAACACGAAAGAGTCAAGGTTCCTAGGAGCGAAGGCTTGCTCGATTGGGCTATACAAGTAACATTTTGCTTAATTTCTTTTTGCACTATAACATTTTAATGGTTCCAGGTCATGAAAGTTCATTCTGGTCGCAAGTCTATCCTCGAGGTCGAATTTGCGGGGGAAGAGGGTACAGGTTTGGGCCCCACTCTGGAATTTTACGCCCTCGTCGCTGCCGAACTGCAGAGGCGTGACCTCGGCATGTGGATCTGCGACGACGAGCATAACCACGAGTCAGTCGATCTGGGGGAAGGGCTTAAACCGCCTGGTTATTACGTTAGAAGGTCGTCGGGTCTGTTTCCCGCGCCATTACCTCAAGATTCCGAGGCATGCGACAGGGCAGTGAAGTATTTTTGGTTTTTGGGAGTGCTGTTGGCCAAAGTGCTGCAAGACAATAGGTTGATTAATTTGCCATTGAGCAAGAGCTTCTTAAAGCTGATGTGCCACGGAGAGATTCAGAATACGGTGAACGAGAGGATAGGTTTGATCGGGCCGAAGAAGTCGGTCGACGAGGATATAATGACGGCCAGTTATATATCGGAGGAGAGCGAAAAAGAACTGGAGCTCGATCCTCCCAAGTCGATAATCGAAGAAAAGAAACTTTGGTACCTCAACATACTTGGTGATAATGATTTGTACGATATCGATCCCGTTAGAGCTCAATTTTTAAAGCAAATCAGAGACCTCATCAAGCAAAAACAGAAAATTATGCAGGTGAGTTACGAAATTTAAACGTTTCATTTTATTGATTTATCCAAGACCCAACAACGTAGTAATTAAGACGTCCGAAACAGGTATACATTCCAGTGGAGTGCCTCAGGGCTCTTCACTTTTCAATTCACTTTTTGTTATATATGCATAGCAAAAAGGTAAACAATTTTTGATATGCAGTTCATACTTCTTTGGTTTGTAGTAGCCAAGACTTATAAGTCCTGAGTAGTCAGGTTTTTGTCGAAAATTCCAGATGGTCGTTTTCCTCAAAAAATATTTTCAATTAAATTAAGGCAAAACACGAGAAATAATATTTTCTTCAAATTAAATTGTGTAAAAGGGAAAAAATTTAAATCTACAGGGTATAACTATTGATGATACCTTCAAGTGGGCTAACAACCGCAAGTTTTTAAAGGGTAAATTATTGTCATCTATATTTGCAATTAGAAGGATGAAAAAGTTTTTACACCGGCATACCGCTATATATATATTGATTATTTGGCCATCTCGATTACTACAAAACATTTTAACAATCTTAACTTTACGTTCCTTATTCGCTGTTCTTGTTAGAAATTCATAAAAATAAAAATACTTTTTTTCCAAAATTCCGATATTCAGAGTTATGATACAAGGTCGGCTAATCTGATAAGGGCTACTAAATATAGACTGGATAAGTCTAGAAAAAGAAAAGAATTTTTTATTATTGTTCCGTTGAAAAAAAGTTTAAAACTGCTATTAAAGCATTTCTAGAACCAAACATTCTATGCCATACCATATCTATATCTTATATTTAATATTAATTATAAGATCTAAACTTTATTCCAACTGTGATTTTACTTATCTTTTATATTTATATTAGAGTTTTAAGTATTAAGTAAATTGTTCCAATATATCTGTTATATGTTATGATATGTTAATGATTTTAAACAAAATTTATTAATGCATGTGTTTTTGCAACTTTTCAATGTTAAATCTTTGCGACAGTAAATGGAGAAAACAAAGTCTTGAATCAGTATTATTAAAAAAACGAGTGGTTTCTGAAACCATTTTTTCCATGTGATAGCTAAAAGAGAATCTACAATCTAAAAAAAATTATGGTTTTTAAACACCCCGTACATCGTAGCAGGCGCTATTCTAAAAATTAAAAATAAAAGTGATCCTAAATTGTAGCCCTGAGGAACGCCTAAAACGACTTCAAATGGCATAGGCGATTTATATCCATTATACTGACTGATTAACACATTTATTCTTATTTTAGGATCATTCCCTGTCACCGGAATCAAAGTCCCGCCAGATCCAAAATCTGTGTCTAAACGATTCCTCTGGCCCTGTACTGTTGGAAGATTTAGCGTTGACGTTTACTTATTCGCCTGGCTCGTCAATTTTCGGTTACGAAAGTTGCGATCTCGTACTGAACGGGGCAGATATTGAAGTCCATATTGAGAATATCGAAGAGTATGCTGAGCTGACCACTTCGTTTTGCTTAAACAAGGGCGTGGGCAGGCAGTTGGAGGCATTTCACAAGGGGTTCTGCGACGTTTTTCCTATCGAGAAACTAGCAGCTTTCAGTCCCGAAGAGGTATCGATTATGTTATGCGGGGACCAAAGTCCGGAATGGACCAGGGAGGACTTGTTGAACTATACCGAACCAAAATTGGGATATACCAAGGACAGGTATGTAATAATTATGATCGTGTAACATTTTATAACCCATCGGTATTGAATGATTCTTTCTAAACTTAATTAATCACTTAACTTAATTTTTACAAGTCCGCAACAAGATTACCGTCTGGTCTTAAAAAATTTAATTTAAAAAAAAAACAATAAAGAATAAACTATCCAAAAAAAAAAACATAAATCAAAGATATAATTCAGATAAATCATTTCAAGAGTGTCAAGTTTTCAATATAAGTATATATTGTTTTTGATTAGCATTAGTAAAGGTAAAATAACTTTAAATATAATGAATATGCATTAGAGTACAATTTAATTAAACTATTGGCCAGAAAAATTTTGAATATTTAGCTCTAAGTTATTTACGTACCGTTAAGGTTCAGTTAAAACAAAAAGCTTTAGGTAAAGTGTGAAACAGTGGATTTGGATACTTTACACTAAAAACAAACATAATTGTATTTGTCATATATGTACTATACCGGCTGCGTCATTCATCACACATAAGTAGTTTTTGCTACTTTTTTGTTTATTTATAAATGTTCTTATTTCATTTTATTGAATTAATAATGTAAATAAACATTATTATTATGATCATTATTCCTATAAACTTTAAAGAAGTATTCTGTTCATGGCAGATGAACTTCATTTTTTATTATTGGTAGTAAATAAATAAATAAAAAGAGTATAGAATGTTGACATCAATTTTTAAAACCGCTAGAGCAGAACCCCCCTCCCCCTCCACCTCCGTGCGCCATTTACACATAGTAGGTACACTCCACATAAGCACTGTGGCTCCCTTACACGATTTTATGGTTGTTCTGTTCTGGAAACGGCTTTACTAATTTACTACTGCTACTTCAGAGTAAAACTTCGTTCTCAAAGCTATGTGAATGGAAATTAAGCTTTTATCGATAGCCAGCTTTCCATCCTGTCTCTGTTGTTTTTTTCTCAATGACTTTGGGTTTTGTTTGGTACTTTTGGGAACTTTGTTTAACAAAATAAAATGTTTCAAATGTCCCAGCGTATAACTTTGTGTCCACAATAGTGTTTTGTTTTGGGATTATTAAAATTAATAAGAATAAACTGTGTATGTATATTATATTTATACACAATAACTTAACCTCAACCTCACCGGGCACAACAAACAACTGTCAATTGCTTTTTGAGCGACAGGGTGGTTGGAGAATGTCGCTAACGACACTACGTAGTTCAGAGAACAAAGTTTTAGTCCAGCAAATCGTGAGTTTCATTTCATAGACTTGCAGAACCAACTTTAAATTTTTAAATAGTTAAGTGAAATTTAGTAATGTTTCAACTGGTCTACTCGCACAAGATAAGGGCAAATTGTCTAATTTTTGATATTGTATTATGTGTTTCCATTTACAGTTAAAAGAAATGCAAAAGAATAAATAAAAACAAAAACAGTTACGCCAAAACATAAACTTTTCAAAAACTATTGGGTTTTGATGTCGAACCAACATCAACATCATTTTATAAAGATGTACGATGACCTATTTGCCGTTAAATTGATTACCCTAGTTGTGATTTTATCCAGCGATTGTAATACATACAAGCATCTTATGCTGTTAAAGAAGCACAAGTTTCATGGGACCTAATTTAAAGAATAAATTTAAGGAAAAAATAATTACAGTGTAATAGTTGAAATGAATTCGTTAGGAGCTAAACTGGGAGAGACCAAATTGGGAGGAGAAATAATATATTGAAATAAATATGCAACAAGATTGTGAACAATCAGAGAAAAGAAGCGTGGGAAGCCCACAATAAATATAGGAAAAAATTGCCTATCCTCGAAAGGCCTTATCATAAGTTCGAAATGTGAAGAAAAACAGGATATTACCCAACAAGAAGACAAGAAGAAGAACTTAATTTAGGGCAAAATAAGTTAGAAAACCAAACAAAAGTTTGAAAGCCTACCTACGGAAGCGCTACAGGTGGAGCACATATGTGACCATATCCTTCCCTTAGAATTTAGTTAACCCATATTGATTGTATCGCTTTAGTTACATAGTTTTGCAGCAAGGGTATTTTAAAAATAACAATGTTTTTCATTTCAGCCCCGGTTTCGTGCGGTTCGTCAATGTTTTAGTTGGCATGTCGCCCGAAGAACGCAAAGCGTTCTTGCAGTTTACGACCGGCTGCAGTTCACTACCTCCAGGAGGTTTGGCCAATTTGTACCCTCGCCTGACCATAGTGAGAAAGGTCGACGCCGGCGAAGGGTCTTATCCTTCGGTTAATACTTGCGTGCACTACCTAAAGTTGCCGGACTACCCGACCGAAGAACTACTTAGGGAACGGCTTTTAGCGGCCACTAAAGAGAAGGGATTCCATTTGAACTAATTCACGATACCAAATGTAACTACCATACTTGTAATTAAAACGTATAAACCAGGAGGACGGTTGCTTTGTAAATGTTTTAATTATTAGGATTCAACTTAAAAAAAAAGGAGGGTGATGAATTAGGTTTTATTAATATCGTGTAGGTGAACCTTTTAAGAAATTTATGAGTAAATTTGGTGAGTTTTAGGAATTGAATTTGTCGAATTGATTTTGCAGACGGGAGTTTTTAGTTTTATTTTTTTGCGTAGTGATATTCTATTAAAATCACTTTACGTGACTAACCGGCACTTTACGAAAGGGTATCGCGTGGCATTAGAAACGAAACACTCCCTTTAGGTGATTTTCAAGTTGTGATTATTTTTGCAATATAACTTATATACTTTAAAAATGGCAGAGGAGTAGTAATATACGAGGTTTAGTTCTAATGTTGCTTTAATAGTACTTCCGCAAACCTATTACTACTTTGTAGAAAATAAAAGATGTATTGTATTTGATGTTAGTCAGAAGCATCAATAAAACTAATTTATCGTTGCAATTGTTTTATTTGGTTGGTAGGGGGTTGACGAGATTTTGCAACCAGTGGGGTGAAAAATATAAACATTTTAGAAAAAATTCAAAAACTTCCAGAATTTGGTTTTTTATAACTTAGACATGGCAATTGAAATAACGTTAAAAGCCGAACTTGCAATTTAAGACCCTTAAATTTACTTACAAAACAATGTCGGATAGCTTTTTTAAAAATATTTCCAACAAACTGGTCTATATCATACATTATCGAACATGTAAAATACAAAATATAACATTTTTTTCATTCCGTTCCGTAAAGTGTGATTTTCTTGTTGAAATTTCCCAGTAAACTGCAGAAGTTGCATGACCATGAATCGTTCTGAATTGCATGGAACAGAGATGCATCAAATTAGTTCTTATTTCAGACGAAACGTTGCAGCAACTTGCTAATTTTCGTAGTAGTTGTAGCTTGCTGCAAACTTCTCGTTTGCATTTTTTCAACGTTATTTGGATGTGATAATTACAGATAGTCCTGATAACAAGCACAGAGCATGGTCAAATTATTTTTCGGTTAGCAATATTTAGTAACTTGCGCAGTAGTTTTTTTTCCGTGATGACGTGATCGGCCATTTTGGTTGGCAACTGTCAATCTTTGGATCCAAACAAAACCATTTGTTCTATAAGTTTTTATAAGTATTTTATTATACTTTAAGTATAAGAATCAGTAGTCTTAACTCATTGTCTCACTTACAATTTTAATATTTCCAAAACAATAACCACTGACTGCGCACTCTGTTAAATAGTCTCCAATAATTAATGTCACACATGAAGTGAAACAATCCTATAAACTTATATGGTAAATTGGTTTGTTTCGATTCCAAGCTTCAACAGCTGACGTATAGATAACCCAGTCAGAAAAAAAAACAGAGAACCTGATTCTAGAGAAAGACTTAGATTAAAAACGGTAGAGAAAAAAATTAATGAAAAACGAAACGTCAGACGATGGTGGATAAATGAATTGTTGGACATTGCGTTACACACTTAGACCTATATTATAATAATCGATGCAATGCAGGTACCACAAAGATCATACAAATGATGCAGTGATGAAAAAATAAGATTCATGTTAGGAAAAGCAATATACCACTGAGTGAGAAATAAAGAGCTTAGAGAACAAACGTGACAAATAAAAAGAAAATTTTCGAATAAATACGAAGAACGGAATAATGAACGACGGTAGATTGCCAAAAATGGCATAGAACGAAATACCAGCGGAAGAAGGGACAGAGGAAGATCACAGAGATTACTAAGGATGCTAAAATAAACAAGCGATGGTTAAAAATCTAACATCAATAACGACATGTTAATTTTTACTTTAAACACCAAAAAATCAGTAAAAATTAATCGGGACACCAGTTTTTTTCATATTATTTGAGAGCATTAAGATCCAATGGATACTCGTAATTTTACACATAATTTTGGGAACATTTTTTCCAGAATACCAGGCTGCAACCAGCATTTTTATATTTGTCCCTCGACCATGAGATTAATTAAATTACATTTTATGTCATGTCAATAATAATGTGTATGTATAAGGGTTTCTTAAGTTTCCGACATTAGAAGATAAGATACAAGACACTTCTCCCAGCGATGTTCCCATCCCTCGATCCGTCCAAGTAGTACTCAGCGTTTTTCTCCGCAGGTGATTGAATCCTCATTTGAGCAGTTTTGAGATTTGGGAACAAAAATAAATCGCTTGGGGCTAGATTTGGCAAGTGGGCAAGCAGTTCAAACCGTAATTCGTGGATCTTTGCCACGACATGGTTGAGGTTTGAGACACCAGGATTTTTTTTGCACGTGTGCTCGTTTTTGCGCAATTTCTGTCCTCAGCTTGTCAAGTAATGATGCTCCTGTAAGTGTTTTACCTTTTTTAAGGTAATCGATTAATCCGAAAAAACGGTTTTTGCTGTGTTAGCAGTTCATATGAACTTTAGCAATGTTATCGTCGGTAGTTACAGGTTTTGGACGTCCCGAACGTTCGTCACCTCATAGCTCCTACGGTCACGTTTAAATTCAGCTGCCCAAAATTTTACCGTCGCAAATGACGCTGCAGAGTCCAACTCAACTTTAATTTGGCGTATTGCCTTTCAGAAACAAGTATTTTATAACAGTTCTATACTCATTTTTTGGCTTTTTACGAAAATACTCAAACGACTCTCAACCAAAAACCACGCATCCAAAATGGCTGAAACTTTGGTAACAGTCATAAGGTGCACAACTACAATAACTAATTTTTAATAAGTAGTGCCGCCATCTGTAGGGTGAGGTCGGAAACTTTTCAAATAACCCTGCGATATTTTTCTACATTTCTGATAAGCAACTAATTCAGAAGTGAAATTAGTAATCATTACTACCGCGAACAGCTTCAGAAAAAAATAAGTGAATTCTGGAACAATGTTTTTATGAGGATAAAAACTTATCGCAAGTTATATGCCCCAAACTGCAGACGAAGTCCAAAGCTCTATTTATTAGATTGTCACATTGTAAAATTGTTCTTAATTATTCCAGCCTTGATATCAGCTAGTCCGAATAAAACTTTATTTTTGCTTTCTGTATAAATAAATGTTCTTAAAAACGCTCTTCCGAATTTTAAACATTTAAGTGGCGCAGTCGGGACGCATTTTCTAAATGCAGTAGTGGTGGACAATTAAACAGACTCTTCTGGGAGTTTTTGTGAAATCGCCAATCGTGGAAAGTTCGAAACTTGGACATTCGCTACGTGGATTTTCAAATCCTTCAGTACACAGAACCAGCAGCAAGGGAAGCAGAGCGACAGTCTATGCAAAGGTACAACCCGCATGTGACGAGTTCGAAAGTTGAGCCGGAAAGGAGACGGAGAAATACGAAACCGTAAGTGCCAATTCCTTTTGCCCCTTCGATACCTCTGTATAAAGTCACTTAAAGGTATAGTTTAGGGCTCGCATTGCACGCGATTAGGTTAAGATAAAAAAGAAAATAAATCAAGTCAAATCAATTAATGAGCGATTTTGAAATCTCGAAAAAGGATTGAATCAAATTTTAAAGTTAGGGAACGAAAAACAAACAAGAGTCAAAACAAAGACCCAACAAGGAAGCTCAGGTAGGACGTGTAGTGCGGAACCTAGATTTAATTGGAATCTTTTTAAATCCAAAGTGGATAACATACAACCTTACGACGGAAATAGCGACACGCTAAACAAATTTATTGCCAAGTGCGAAAGATTAATAAATTCCCTACGTTAGTCTGGGAGATGCGGAACTAAATAGCGATTGTATCATAGACAAACTGGTAGGGAAAGCAGAATTTCTGGTAGGTAACCGATCAGAATTGACAGATCGGTTAACCATAAAAGATGCGCTCATTCAATGCTTTGCAGATAGGAGAAATTTAGATTGTCTAATTCAGAAATTCACTAAAACAAGACCGTTCAAAAACGAACATTTAGTCGATCTCGGTGGTAGGTTATAACTTTTAAAGAGTAGTGTAATACAGCGGATTAGGAATTCAGAAGATTTAGATCAAAATGAAAAACTGTTCCATGTAAATTATTACAACAAAATCGCGCTTAATACATTTAAAGCTGGGTGAACCGGGACCAAAAACAACATGCATTTACAACAACCAGAATCTTTGGAGGAAGTCATTGCTTACGTGTCTGAATTTGAAAATTTCGAAAACTTCTACGAGAATCTAAGCAAAACAAAACAATTCCAAAAGCCCAATTTTCCACAAAACAACTCAAAACAATTCCAAATACCCAACTTTTAACAAAACAAAACAATTCCAAACACCAACTCATCAACAATTCAACACGAAACGACATTTTCAGGCATTTCAACAATTCCAAAACCAGCCGAATCTAAGTAGATTTCAGCCTGGAATAAATCCCAACACAAATTTCATGCCAAACAATTTTAATAATTTTTTAAATCTAAATCAATTCCAAAAACCACAATTTCCATCTCAACCAATAAATATTTAACCGAGGCAAATACCTCTAAGAGGATTTCCAACATATCGGGAAGTTTTCGGACCCCTACGAAATGTCTTCAACAACCAACAACAACCAACCCCCGAATTTTATCGCGGAAGAATTATTTCACCAAGAATCCCATGAAAACTGTTATTATTCTGTTATGAGTATAATGATGCATTTTCTGCATTTAACATCGATTATCGAATAGAGTTCATATTATTTGATTTTCGTGACTTATTTGACGGAGTAATAGAATTAACATAAAAGCAGTAATCCGTACCCAACACATGAACTCGAAAGAAAAATCTATAATCACAAAATTGTGTCAAGAATTCTCGGATATTTTCTATAATCCAGGAGATAGTTGTCATTTACCTCGAAAATCAAGCATGAGATTATAGTCATATAGATATCCTTTCGTCGACAAAGAAGAAGTAAGACGACAAATAGGTGCAGCCCATGGTCAAGCCCTCCATGAATAGTACCGCAGAAATTAGACTCATCAGGAACCAAAAATGGAGAATAGTCGTAGACTATCGGAAGATTAATGAAAAACTATTTCTGATAGATATGCATTCCCGAACATAACATGATATTCTGGATAAATTGGGACGTGCACCGTATTTTTCTACACTGGACCTTGCCAGTGGGTTTCATCCGATGAAAGAGGACTCTATCGAAAAGACAGCTTTTAGCGTAGAGAACGAGCGTTTTGAATACAGAAGAGTGCCATTCGAACTTAAGAATGCACCATCGACCTTCCAACGTGTCATGGATGAAATTTTGAAAGACGTCCAAAATAAAGTATGCAATTCAAAGTGCGAATTTTTACGACGAGAAGTGCAATTCCTTGGACATATAATTACCCCAAATGGTATAAAACCAAATCAAACGAAGATTGAAGCAATTAAAAAATATCCTTTGCCGAAAACACAACTAGACATTAAATCATTCTTAGGTTTAATCGGGTATTATTGCAAATTCATAAAAAAATACGCAAAGATAACTAAACCAATGACACAATGCTTGAAAAAGGAAAGCAAAGTCAAACACACAAAAAAATTCATTGAATCTTTTAACACATTCAAAAATGTGCTAGCTTCGGAGCAGGTATTATCTTATCCGGACTTTACAAAGAAGTTTGAATTAACAACCGATGCATCAAAATATGCCATCTCAGGAATTTTATCCCAAGCCGGACAACCAATATGTTACGCATCGAGGAGGCTGAACCCGGCAGAGATAAACTACTCGACAATTGAAGAGGAACTCTTAGCAATTGTTTGGAGCAGTAAATATTATAGACAAAACTTCATTATTTACATGGATCACAACCTTCTACAGTGGCTAATGTCATTAAAAGAGCCAAATTCACGACTCATTAGATGGAGACTTAAACTCGAGGAGTATGAGTACGAAATTAAATAAAAAAAGGGAAAAACAATCAAACAGCGGACGCTTTATCACGATATCCAATAGATATGAACTCTATTGAAACTGACTTGGGAGATGCGGATGAAATTATAGGTGACTTTTTATTACATGATAACGACGAATTGCCGAATCTAGACAATTTAATGTTAGATGAAATTCTGTTTAAACCGGAAGAACAAAAAATTTAAATTTTATTGGACATTCAAATTAAACCCCCATTTAACCAACCGGAAAATGTAAAAGAAAATGATACAGTACATTCCAAAGCGGAAAATCCAATTTTCGAAATTCGAATTCGAAATTTTACACCACAAAATAGTAATTCAAACTCCCCCGTGGAGAGATTTTATTAAAGTATTATTGAAAGTTATAGATATCTTAAAGAAGAAAACAAGGATATAACTACAGATCAACTCATAAAGAAAGCAGTAATAGGATACAACAACTCTACACACACAGTGACGAAATTTACACCTTTTGAAGTAATAAACGGTCATTTAAATCCTCAAAACCCATTTGATCTAAATGATAACGCGATCATTTCTCCCTATGTTCAATCATATAAAGAAAAAACTTAAGTAAATTGTAACAACAAATAAAAGAATTAAATGAAAAAACTAAAGAGAAACGAAAATCGTGAAGAACCACCAGATTTTAATGATCAAAAATATGCTCTTATTAAAACAAAATTTAGAAGCAAAGAACTTCCTAAATTTAAAAAGATACTGTTAATAACGGAAAATAAATTACTAACACCCAAGACAAGCAAGCTATCATAAAAGTATGCAAGGAAGTCAAATGCTAATAAAAATCTATTCTTTCAGGAAACCAATGAAGATCAAAATGTTGACTCTTCTACTCGTAGCAATTCCAACCGAACGAATAATAACACACATTTATCTATTATGTAGATTTAAGTCAAATAACTAATCACATAGAAAGCATTTAAAATAATTAAAGATAAGTTTCACTGATTTAAAAATATTGCAAAATGTCGTATTAATGACGATAAATTCTTTACAAGACAATCTTAGTTTAACGGGATCATTACGCAATTAAACTTAGATTGCCAAAATATTATAATGTTTCTAGATAACTTAAAAGACGCTATTATATTTGCAAAAGTTAATGCGCTTCATAATAGTATTTTACCGATTTCGGAGTTGAATAAAATGGTTAACTATCTAGCATCAATTTATAAATAAAATCAAATTCCACAATTTAAAAGTATTTTATCTTCTTATCAAATTTAGGGAACTCAGGTAAATTTTGTTGACTTGAAAGTGATCTTTGCAGTCCATGTACTAATTTTAAGGTCCGAAATATTTTCTTTTTACCATATTTTCCCAATAATCCAAAATCAATCAATTTTTATACCCCAATACCCTTATATGGCACAAGCGGAGAAGAAGAGACAATTCACCGTAGAAACATGTCCCATAATCGAAGAAATCTTATTTGACGACATCGGAATGGAAAACTACCCCATTACGAAAATGAACCTGTCAGAAGCAATTATAGAACAAATCACTCAAAATTTAGTTCTTGTTCTGCCACAGAAGCCTGAAAAACTGCTAATCAAGTGTAACACGGATCGACATATGCAAATCGAAGTACCAGTACTGATTAAGATACCAGTAAACTGCCAAATAGAAATTAATGAAGAAAAATTCTTCAACGATGTAAAAATCCAGTTCGGAAAACCGATACTTTTACCAAAAATCCAATTGACGGAAATGAACGCAATGAAAGTCCTGGATACTCCCAGTCTTTCAAAAATAAATATTGGCGAGATATACCAGCTAATAGACTTAGCAGAAAAAATAACTTCCATGGAACCAGTGAAAGAAGAAACAAACACGTTCGAAATAATTGTTATTGTTTTTGGAATAATCATGGTTGTAATTTTAGATTTCGTCATTAAGAAGCTCTTCTTCGAAAAGGTGCGACATTTGAAGAAAAACGCATCCAAAGAGAAAACCTGCCAAGAAGAAAATTTTGAAGCCTTTTCGAAAAAACGCTCCTTTATTTTCGAAAGTTAAGGAGGGAGAAGTTATATGCTCCAAACTGCAAACGAAGCCCAAAGCTAAGCGAAGAGAACGCCTCGCTGACACCGCATCAAAAGCCCTATTTATTCGATTATCCCATTGTAAAATTGGTCTTAATTATTCCAGTCTTTGTATCGGCTACTCCCAATAAAACTATATTTTGCTTTCTGTATAAGCAAATGTTTTTAAAAACGTTCGCCCGAATTTAAAAAAAATATTTAAGTCGCATATATTACATAAACGGCAAATCAATACATTTTTTTCCGTTACCGGTGTAGAGAAAACCGTGTTTCGGTGTTTTCGAAAAGTGGTAAAATATCATTCCGGGCCAATACATTGACCTAATAATAACGCCAGTTTCGTCTTTTGTCGGCTGGATAGTCCAACAATTCGTTGGAACGTCCATGTCGATGGTGTCTGCAAATTTAACAATAACAGTTGGAACTCAACGGCTATATTTACGTACCCAAAAAGTCTATAGCATAGTTATAATCTTTTCGAGCGAACAAATTGTTTTTTAATTTTTGAGTTGCCGGTCGGAAATGTTGATACGAAGCCAAGTCTGTGGCCTCTAAGGGACTCAACCCTTCGAACGACCGATTTTCCACAATAACGCCATCTGAGCGTTTAAATAACGCTCCGCGTGGGACAACGGCTACCTCTTTAGTTATTAGATGAACCGTCGCTGATAATCTGTCTTCTTCCTTCAGTCTTTTTATCAATGGGGGTTTGTTTGACCTGGCGTCCATGATTTGCTCCTCTTCCATCTTAATTTCCGTAACTAATGCGGCATTTCCTGTATATTAAATACCTTTTTTTTCTTTTTCTCTTACAAAAAAATATTTTCCTTTACTTGAGTTAGTTACCTTGGAAATTGGTCTTGCATAAAGGAGTTAACTCCAATCCAATGTTATTTGGTTGCGGCAACAATCCCCAATTAATGCAGTCCTTGCTATAATAATAGGTTCTTTTCAAGAGTATATCCTTGGAGTAACCATACGCTATATAGTAATCATCTTCTGTTCCTAAAATTTTGCCCCAGTAGAATATATTTTGGAAGTGATTTTCAGTTTGCAATATTAGCAAGCTGTTATGAAGCATTAACGATTCCGCTGTTGATATAATATGACCAAATGTGCCAATTAATTGTAGAATGTCCAACACGGAGTCTATGTTCATTTTATCTTCGCAAAACATTACGTGTCACACTGACATTTATGTCATTCATATTATGTATTTATGAAAATTATTGGTACGGTAAGAGCTTCGCTGTTCATTGTTGCGATGTATTGAGTACTGAAACCATACGAGTATTGTAATGAGCCTTACCACACGTTTGATATTCAATATAATCTAAGCAAAATAGTCGCGAACACGACAAATAGAGGAAAATGACATTTTGGTACTAAACTCCTAGTTGAAACAGAAACACAGATCAAAAAACCACTTCCAAAGGTGATCCCACGGCGCGTTTCAGCCTTTTGAATGTAAACAGTAACTTTCTATATTCTACATAGAATTGTTTTATAATGGCTTGGCGTATCTTCCACACAACGCTTACTGGAAAATAATTATATTATAAATAAAAATTACATATTAGAGTTGTTTATCATTCAGTTTACAGAAAACCTACACACACAGACCGATACCTTGTTTAAAAACCTCGAATTAAAACACCTTATATCTGCTCTTTTCTCACATGAGAGATATTAAGAGCTGCATCGGAGAAAAAATCGTATTACCATGTTATTACAGAAAATTCTTATTAAACTTTCAATCATATTATTAATGTAATTAGAATCAATTTAATTAGTACAAGTAGTTTCATTGAATTTAATAGCATGTAATATAATGCAAGTGTTATGCACCAAACTACTTAATTGATTTTCAATCATTTGTTAAAGTAATTATAATTAATTTAATTAGGTACAGGTAGTTTTATTGAATTTTTTAGAGCAGAAACCTTTTATATGTGAAAGCACTATATCTGTAACTCTAGCACGTACTATAATGCAAGATTTATTCACCAAAATACTTAATTATTACCAATTGTGAGTTGTTCCTTCATTTCTTTTTTTTCTTCTTATTTTTCTTTTCTTTACCTTTCGTTATTCCACAAGTTTTGCTGCAACAGTTTTTTCAAATAATGTTTGTTATTATAAAAGAAAAACTTCGTTCCCGATTTGATTACAGACGAAACACAAATAATAAATAGAAGGGTAAATTTTAAAGTATAGCCTGCGACGATTTCTTATGTCCCTTAAAAGCCGCGACAAGTGAATATTTAATCATTATCAACCCTTTTGATTACAAGGCGGGATTCTGTACATTTTATGCATCTACCTTATTATTATGATAATAACTCTTTGCGCAAAAGCAACGTAGACGAGGAAACAGGCCATCTCATTCGAGAAATAGTATCCCTATTAAACGCGTTCAAAGTTTGCTACTTTCAATTTTTCATATTTTTCGGTAAGTTTTAGTATCTAACGTTTTAATCTTCCTGCTATGCCAACAGGCACATATTACTTTCTACACAATTATACCGGAGAAAATTTACCGAAGCTAACCAATACAATTTGGAGTAATATAAATAACAAATATTTTTTAATTGCAGTAGCAATTAAGATTTCAAACAAGAGTACTAAATACTCTACTGCTAACATCATTTAACGGAACAAGATTAAAACAGAACCATCTAAAATGAACGTCTAAAATATGGAAGAAATTTATTCATTCAGTCATTTTGAAAAAATTGTAAATTCGGGCTCCAGTAATTTTATTATTTAAAATCCCTCATCACACATTTATTTTTTGCGGATGTTGTGTACAATTTTGTTTATTTACCGAACCATTTAATTAAATCACTAAACAGTATGCGTTGTTTCTATAAATTTTCTCAGGATTTTACTCGCTGTGGATCTCACTAGATATTTTGCGTTAAACAAATTCCAAACCTCCTCTTAAGTTCTTGTCTTGTCTTCATATTCAATAAAAATTACAATTCCCGGGTTTTATTTAGATACGCCATATTCACTTTCTTTACTGACAGAAATATTAGGTATATAACTATTTAAGAACTTTACTGGTATTCATAAAAACTAAGGGATTGGTATATAATTACTCTACATGAATCGTGCGTGAAATCTGACAGAGAATTTAGAAACGGATTATAAAAAAGGTGCTCTATTAAAAAAAAGAACTTAGTAGCGACATCTACTTTTTGACCCACCCGGTATAATTTCTGTTTACTACTAAAAATACTCGAGAAAAAATTATGATGGAGGTGCGCCAGCATTATTCTTCAAATCCAAACCTAATGTTATAACATAATATGATAGTAATAATAACAATAGAACAATAACAAAAACCTTTTATATATTTATGGTAATAATTAAATTACGGCATTCTTTATTCAATAATTTGCTTTTTAATTTTATCATCAGGTTTCGATTTTAGGCTTTGTGACCTACGCTACAGATATGATTTTGGCAAATAATGTCCATGGTTGCTAAAGGCAAAATTATCAAGAGCTGCATTCCCTGTATTTATGAAATATACTTGTTTTTTAGATAATTTTGAAAACATGGTTACACAGGATATATATATATATATATATATATATATATATATATATATATATATATATATATATATATATATATATATATATATATAGTCGATCAGGATTTTAGTGTTGGTGATTTTAATAATAATTTTTAAAATAATGATAATACATAGGTAAAAACTGCAAGACATTTATGAAGTGTGTAGGACTATAAACGCACCAACTAAAACTAGTAAGCTCACTGCAACCTTACTGGATCTGGATCTTACTTCTCATTCGGTCATAGGGACTGAGATGTTTTAACAGTTCCCCATATAAGTGACCTCGTGTTTTGTTCAATTTGAACAAATCAATCTGGTCCCATTTTGAAGACATCAAGAGAATTAAAAAAATTTGATTCATTCTAATAAATTAGATATTCACGCCCCACTCAAACCCTATAAGATAGCGTGCATCATGGCATACGATACAATTATTCACACGGTAGATATTAGAAGCAAGTCAAGATCTAAATTTAAAAGAGAGAAATATTGTAATTGAAACCAAAGGAAAGTAAAGAATATTGCAAGAGAGAAAAAAGGGATTTACTTCAAATATATGTAATGTTAGGATATAAAAAGTCATTTTGTAAAATTGGTTTCCGACAATTTCATATTATAGTAATAGAGAAAATAGTTGAATCACACGTACTTTTTATTTTACCGCTGTAACTGATACTATTATTGCATATTAACTATTATCTATTCCCCGTATGTTGCCTTATATCGCGCTTGTTATAAATTATTTCTTTAAAATATTGGTAAAGGTATGACAAAACTCCGAAAATGATGGAAAAATAGAGCAATAGGTCAAGAAAAATAAAACATCAGTATGTAACTTTTTAATTTTGCATTATTATTATTGTTATTATTATTATCATTATTATTATTATTATTATTATTATTATTATTATTATTATTATTTTATTTTTTTATAAACTATAACCTATTAATATAATAAGTGACAAAAAATTGATATTTTATATTTTTCTGAACATTGCCTTGACAGTTACTGTATAAGTATAGTCAAAATTGAAAATTATAATTTTGTTAATCATTTTTGTAGAGTACTGGTAAACATGTTGGAGCTTTAATTTTTACAAACTCGTTAGTTAAGACCAAACTTCTTTGCTTAAATAAATTCTCCGCAGAACATCCTGCTGAGTTTTGTGGATCTGAGATGCTTAATTCGCTTAATGCTTAATATTTTAGTGACGGCTTATAGATCTTCATCATCAGACAGTCTAGCTCTTGTTAGAGAAAGGCTTTTGGACTTGATTGATTTCCTCTACTCTAGGTATAAGAATTTAGTTTTTAGAGGGGACTTTAACATTGATTTCAGGCATAATTCTAAGGAGATATGCGACTTACGTAACATTTTAACCCGTATTACAACCTGCTTACAAATATAGCTACAGATCTATTTTCCTCGGGAGTTCACAACACTAACATGTCGGACAATTTTTTATTATATTTTCAGTTCAAGTAAAATATTACTAGAAAACGTGATACTAAATCTGTGCGAATTATAAATAAAGCAGGGCTTAAGCGCCTTAGTGAGAAAATAGGAGCAACAAATTGGAAATATGTCCATGATGAGCAACTTAGTAGCGATGAAATTTCGGAGAGGTTCTCGCAGACTTTCCATTGAAGAATATTTCTAGCAACAAAACCGGGGTCGTGTGGTACAACGACTCATTAAAAGAAATGAAAAGAAAAATGCTTCAAGCTGCAACAAAAATATAGAACCAGCAAATGCGATGTAGACGCGACCAACTATAAAATGGAAGGCAAAAACTACAGAACCATGATAACTAAAACTAAAAAAGTTAAGTACGATCATTGGATACTAGAATCGAACAGCAAATCTAAATGCGGTTGGGTTATTGTAAATCGCGAGATTAATAACAAGAAAAAATACAAACAGATGCATACAATATCTTCTGATGAGTATAACGAATATTTTGTTGAAATTGCAGAAAAACTTATAAATTCAACAAGCAAAATCCTATTCCTTTCTTTTCTTTTTCCTTGTCAGATATCACTGAATTTGATATAAAATCAGCAATTTTAAATATGAGTAATTCCAATTATCTTGACTATTATAGCATGAACAGCAAAATGTTAAAAGTCACTCTTGAGCGTATATTAACCCCAATCACTGTACTAATAAACAAGTGCTTGGAAGAGGGAAATGGACCCAAGTCGCTAAAGATTGCTAATATTATCCCTATTTTGAATTATATATTTTTGAATTAACGGTTAAAGCAAAACTTGTGTCGTATTTTGAACATAAACATCTAATAGTCAGTGTGGCTGTCGTAAGAAGAAATCGACTATAAAAGCTCTGCTTCACATAATCGCGGGTGCTCCATTTTAGGACCAGTTCTGTTCATTGTGTACATAAATGGCTTTCCCACTGCTGTCCCAAATTGACATTCTGTCCTTTTTGCATATGATACATCTATATCTAACGACTTACTGACAGGAATGCGCTACGCTGCCATGAGAAAGATAACCTGGCTAGGGTTGGTGAATAGTTTTCAGCGAATGCCTCAAAATTAAATGAAACCAAGACTCGAAATATTATTTGTACATCCGAAAAATGGGCTTCTTGGGGTCATTTATATACTCAATTTTTTGTGATAAGGCAACTTAGAAAGTGTTTTACCGATAATGTATTGAAAGCTGTTTACTATACTGTTGTCCACAGTCGAATTAATTATGATATTTTGCGACTTACTCATACAAAGTATAGCAGCAGTAAGACTAATTGCCAATGTTTCAATTTGTGAACATGCTAGGCCGTTTTAAAAAAAAATGAATTCTCATATTGCCTGGTCTATATATTACCAAAAACACTAATTGATATCCATTTAAAAGATTGCCCAACCCGACGCTTATGATACGAGGGGAGCGTCAAATTTTATATTACCAAGTTTAAGGATCAGAATGACCCAAAACCAATAAAATGGATTTGAGTCTTTATAATCTATTTAAAAATAAGTACAACAGTGACTTTCCATGTACTACCATGCATATAAAATCTAACAAAAACTATTCTATACCAGTCAATCGTTTAAAGACCGTGTTAGAGAGCGTATCGAAGTCGGTCGAGCAACAAATAAAGTGAAACTCAATTAAACACTTCTTTTTTGTTTTGCAGTTTAGTTCTTATACTGTTTAAATTGTTTTTCCAAAGTTGCGCAGTTCGTAATTTTATTTTTGTTTAAATTTCGGATTTTATAAATTATTTCCACATTACATTTTGATATATTATATTGACACACTATTTGGAGACCCTGTATAACCGATGTCTTTTAGACTACTCCAAACCTTTTGATACTCTTGGTCACGAAATTTTTATTTAAATGTTAAATTTTAGTGTTATTTTCGGAAAACGCAATTAATCTTTTAGCCTTATACCTACAGCATCGGTCTCAAGCAGTAACATGAAATGGTTTAATTACTTCATTCATAAATGTTAATAAAGGTATACCCCAGGGGTCCATCTTAGGCCCTCTTTTTATCATTTTATATGGTTCTTATTTTACAAAAATTCTGTTGTCGTGTTCTTATAATTATTATGCAGAGAAGGCACAAATTTACCTTTCTTTTATCCCGGTGCAGCTAAGCAAGCTAAATTTTTTAACTCTCATTAAATTAACATTATACTAACCTTTAGTAGACTGTATTTCGCCTTTTTGTCAAAATGTGAACTTGTTATTGTTAATGTGTTTATATATTCAAATATTTATTATTATTTTATTATTATTATTATTATTATTATTAACATAATTAACAAACTACTTTTTTGCAATCGTATGTTTCGAAGAACTGTGCCTTAATTAAGGATGGATTCTATAAGACAAAAGTAACAGCTGCTTAAGAGTTTTGTGTCTTAATTTCCTTATTTTACTTATATTGGCGCCTTCCACGAAAATGTTCCGTCTAAATGAACTCCTAAGTATTGTAACTGAATACATCGATATTTTATTACAGTTGCAGCAAACTTGTCAGCGTTAAGATTCGGTTTGCCAAGTGCCTTAAAGATACGAAGCTTTCCAAAGGGTTTATAAGCCAGTCATCATGTGTGCAAAACGAACCTACTTCGGCTACATGAGACTATTAATGATGGCAGTGGGTATTTGGAGGCTACACAATCAACAATCTTCTGCAGTTACGAGAGTACTTTATCAAGTATATTCTGTTCTTTTCCATTTGATTTATTCTTCGGCGATGATATCGCTAGGTGTGGATTTACCGGGGTTATTAGCAACAGACCGACTCGCAGGTGGTGTGCACGTAGTTACAAAAATGATTTTGATGACGAAATTTGATGTTTGTAGCAATGGACAACATCGGGAAATTTATAATCGGAGGGGTAACGATTTTGAAAATGTTTATGTGCCAGTCAAATGATGTGGTGAACTTGCTCCGACTCGCTCTAAACCAAGACGCCGAGATTTCGACCCACATTGATCCCGAAATTGTAAAAATATACAACTGGCATATCGTCTGCGATAACAAGTTTATATCGCTACTTGTGATTTCAGCCACCCTAATGGGAACTTGTATCACGATCCTCGGTAAGCATGGGACGATTTGGCATTTGCATAAAATCCAAATTGTTTTCAAACCAATCGAAAAATCAGTCTGAATATTTTTGTTTGTTAAATTATAGATCTCACTCTAAGCACTATAAGGATATCAATTGGGGTTTACATAGTCGTTAAGTAAAAGAGAATAATATAATATTGACAATAATAGACTTTTATTAAGTAATAAATACATAAACAAATAGCGGCTTTATTAAAGACAACGACAAAGAAAAAAAAGCATTAACATATTTATAGCGTACAATTTTTGCTAAAATATAATTCTTTTGAGCTGTTGCTATCCACAGAAAAAAGTTTTAAAATGATTTTTAAAAATCAGTATATCAGAAAGCATGTTAGAAAACAGTCAAACAACAACAGCAGTTTTTGTATTTGTGTAAATTAAATTAAATTCAGTTAACATGCAAAGGCCAAACACAGAGTTTTTTCACTAAACCCAAAACTACAAGTTTTGATATAAATTCCTATGTCATATAAATCAGAAATCAAATAACTACAGTACACAGTAGTTTGATTGCATTTAATAACCCAAAACCTGTGAAACCTGTGTATGAAAATTTTTCAAAGAAACTTCCACAGGCTACTGTAATACTTTTTACAAAAGTTCTGGATTGCTTCGGCGTCGGTTTTTGCTGAGTCGAATTTGCTGACGTTTCACCAATCATCCTGTTGAGTTCTTTAGAGCTTGACTGAAACTGGCTCGCATAGAATCCCTCTTTCCCAAAGTTCCTATTCCTGAAACTCTCAACATCATCTCAGATATATTAAAGTCCGAGAATCTGGAATCAAGCCTTCTCACCTTAATTGAAAAATGCTTGTCTGGAACATATTTTTCTTATAGTTTTGAACAAACGTCGGGGAAACATCCATGGGCTCTCCACTATCAGCAGCCATCGCAAAATATTTATGGAAGCCTTTGAGAAGGAAGCTTTCGATACCTTTCATCTAAAACCAAAATTTTGGAAACACTAAGTCCATGATACTTTGGTTATTTGGCCTCATAGTCAAGAAACCCTAGATTTTCTTGGACGTTGAGTTGGAAACTAATAATAACCTTCCATTCATAGATATTCTTATCAATAGAAAATGAGACCTAACACTGGGTCATTGTGTTTACAAAAAACCTACGCACACAGACCGATACCTTAATGCATGGTCACATCACTATTCGGCCCAAAAATCATATATACATTGTTTACGGAGCCATAAAACTATTTCGGCCTGAGTCACTGAACTCTTTTTTCCAATAATTTCCACATTAAAGATATTAAGCGTTCCATCAAAAAATTCACTTCACCAAAACCTTCCAATAGCAATGAGGCCGAAAGCAATCCGACACTTGCCACTGTCGTCCTTCCTTACATTCAAAACACCACTGACCACATATCAAAATTTCTAATGAAGTATAACGCCAAAACCAGATTTACCACTTGTCCAAAAAGCTCTCAACATCTTCGGTCCGTCATAAACAAAATTCTATTTGAGATGCCAGGAGTTTACAGCATTCCATGCATATGCGGCAAAGAATACACTGGGAAGATCCGACGAAAAATATCAACTAGGCTCAAAGAACATGAAAGAACCTTACGACTAAGACAAATAAACTCATCAGCTGTTGCCGAACACACTCACGAAACTGGACATAAATTTTTTTTCGATAAAAGTAAAATTCTTGCACGTAACCAATTGTTCTACCAACGAAAAATCCGAGAATCTATAGAAATCTATAAACAACTTAACAATATTAACCGTGATTCGGGTCTCTACGTGTCACCAATTTGGGAATCAGTCATCCGAGACGGTGTTTATGCCCCTCATTTAGGTCCGCTGCAAACTCTGAAGAAGGCAATAGGATGATTGGCGAAACGTCAGAAAGTTCGACTCAGCAAAAACCGACGCAGGAGGAATCCAGAAGTTTTGTAAAACGATTTATGCAAATATTATGCTCCAAAAAACTTAATTCTTACCAATTTGAAGACGGGCATAAGACACAAGAAAATTGGAATACTTTGTAATTTTTAAAAGACGCCTTATTGATCTCCCAAGAGCGGTATTTAAAAAAATTATGACTCATCAAATTTCAATAATCTTTATGGATAATTAAGGCAGAGTTTTTGGTAAAATATACTTACACATGCGATACGTGAGTTGAAAGGTATGCCGCGTATCCCAAAAGTTGATATGCTTGTGGGATAAATTTGCGTGTTTTTATAATAAAACAATTTCTGTTTTCCTTCTTTTTTCATTAGAAGACCGTAAAATTTGAATTTATAGCTAATTCAGTTAATATACTGAATATATACAATTATGTTTCTGAATTAAATAAGTACAATAAATTTTTTTTATTGGACTATAGTTTTTCATTTATCTGATTTATTTAACGGAAAAAATACCAGGAATCAAAACGTTGTCCATTGTTGGCAAGTTGTACTTTCTCTCTCACTCTCTCTCTCTCTCTCTCTCTCTCTCTCTCTCTCTCTCTCTCTCTCTCTCTCTCTCTCTCTCATGTACCTCTTTTTACATAACAGTTTAAATACGTATATGCCTTACAACCACAACAACAGAATGACAAAAACTGAAACATAAATATTTGGTTATTTCTACACAATTAAAACGCAGAAAGCCAACAGCAAGATTGGTCAAACATTTAAGGCCAAATAAAAATCTCATTATGTTCAGCCATATATAATATTAATATTTAATATTCTAAAATCTAAAAAATCCTGATTCGTTTTTGATGTCACACGAGATAATGCCAATTGAAACAAAAACTGTTATTAATAATTTTTACCTAATTATTTGCTACAATGACCAAAAATATCGAAGCCAAACCCGGGTCGTTCGATAAAAAAGGAATTTTGAAATGAATTCTAAATAATAATAAATAATTATTCGTTGGTTCACTATGTAGGCCCCGCGCATACTTAACCGAGGTTTTATTACTCTTCTCCTTTCTGAAATAGACTATAATTCGTCAGTCCAATTACAAAAATCTTCAAAAATTTATTATGGAGGCTTTCTTTAATTTATTAGCACTCTGTACAGGTACTATTTACAAATCTTCTGGATTCCTCCGGCGTCGGTCGTTAATGAATCCGACTTGATGACGGTTCGCCAATCATCATAAAATATCCCATCATATTATAAGCTCATTTGCTTACAAAATTCTTCGTAAATCTAGTTTAGAAATAAATATAATCAATAAGACTCTTCTGTCCCTACATCTTGAAATTATATTTATCTTTTCCTCATCCGAATTTGATACACGTTCAAATGGCAAAGCTACGTTTATTTTCTACACATAATCTCATTTAAAAATAAGTAATCTTAACACAAGTGAAACTATAAAACTCTTGATGTAAAAAACCAGTTCTTGCAAAAAGTTTCAACTTCGTCCTTGCTGCACGTGTTACCACAATCATTTCAAATGTTGGGTCTATCCTAAACAAAGTGCTTATGTTCAAAGCCTTAATGCATAATTCTACAATTTCCAAAAAATCTAATCCCGACATAGTAATTTTAAAAGCAGATAAAGGAAATGCTACGATGGGCATGAACAAATGGATTCTATAGTTAAATTAGAAAAGATCCTATGGATCGCAACCTTAAATCTGCTATTAAAGAAAGCTTCTTCTTTATTAGAATCCGTAAAAAATCTGTTGCTCTTCTAGATTCCAAAATTCCTCCTTTCTGGGGATGCCTCAGGATTCACAAGGCACCTATTGTTAATACCATTGGTTCTCCAATATATTCTCTAGCAAAATATCTAGCTAGTATGTTAAACCACTTTATAAGGAAAATTGATCGTTTCGTACTTTGTAATGCAATTTTCCTTTCAAAAACTTACTCTTCCGGAAAATAAACGTCAGCAACTTTATATACGTTTATTTATACTAAATATAAATTAAATAAATTAAAGTAAGCATGTAAGCGAACTCCTAAAAACCATATTCAATGTCGTTCCGACTGTTTCGAGGTGATTGAGCAATACATTATTTTGAAGCTTTCCAAGTGGCCCTTTATTGGTTTAATTCAATATCTGGGACCACGTGAGATTGAGATTGCGAAATAAATAAAATAACCTTTTGGGTATTTCATAATTGGGGGTAGTTTTATATATTCTGGACAGTTTCAAGGTGGTTGAGTAATACATCATTTTGAAGCTCTCCTAAGTGGTCTAATCCAATATCTGGGACAACGTCATATTTTTTGAGATTGCGAAATAAATAAAACGAATATTTGGGTATTTCATTATTGGGGGTAGTTTTACATCTTCCGGACCGTTTCGAGCTGGTTGAGTAATACATCATTTTGAAGCTCTTCCAAGTGGCTTTTTAATGGTCTCATTCAATATCTGAGACAACGTCAGATTTATTGAATTTGCAAAATAAATATAACGAACTTTTGGGTATTACATAATTGGGGGTAGTTTTTTATATTCCTGACGGTTTCAAGGTGGTTGAGTAATAAATCATTTTTAAGCTCTCATAAGTGGTTTTTCAATGACTTAGTTGAATATCAGGGATAACGTCAAATTTTTTTGAGATTGCGAACTAAATATAACGAATTTTTGGATATCTCATTATTGGGAGTACGTTTATGTCTTACCGACGGTTTCTAGGTGGATGAGCAATACACCGTTTTGAAGCTCTACTAAGTGGCTTTTGAATGGTCTGGTTGAATCTCTCGGACAAAGTTTCATTCTTTCGAGATTGCGAAATAGTAATTAAATTAATTAATTTTTTGGGTTGATAGGCGAAGCGAAAAGGAGTTTCCGTATAGCAACATTGGATATGGTTTTTGGGAGTTCCCTTACAATATTTCCGTGCTTACTTTCCCGGCATTTCCACAGGAATACGTTTTTTTTTTATTTAAGGTAAATAACGAACTGGTCCACTGTAAAATTCGTAAATCGGAATTCAAATCCAAATCTAACTTCAGCCACATCTTGTCGACCGTACTTCAATCTAGTCGATTACCGTCTAACTTTCCCGCACCACCGGTTCGTTACCAGGGCTCACGAAGTCGCTCTTTACTTTCTCAGCAGTGACCGATTCGTTTAAGGTTTGAGAAAGAGACAAATATCTGTTTCAATTCTTACTCGCAATCGTTGTATTTAAAGTTATGAAATATTCTTTACCAGCGTACCTGAAAAATTTTTTAGTGTTTCGGTATGAAATTTACAATGCTTCTCTAAGGACGAAAAACATTCTGGATATGCTCCAGCAAAGTTCTTGTTTGTTTAATATACCAGGCTTTTAGAGGATTCCATGCATATACAGCAACTAATATCGACGTAGCAGGAGGAATCCAGAAGATTTGTAAATTTCATTGAAAAGTTAACTATTTCCTCTGCGTTTTTGTATTATCACAAAACTCCCGTTGTAGGTGACATCAATTGCTTCATGTTAAAGAGAATCCCGCAAAATAACGTGACCGAAAAACCGCTACTTTTGCATTATTGGTATCCTTTTGACCGAAATAAATATTACTCCGCTGTTATCATCGATCAAAATATTCGCCCGACTTTGGCCTGCTTATGTATCGGCGTGGTGAGCGCGTTTGCCAATTGCGTCATATTTTTTTTGAGGACGCAGCTGAAGGTTCTACAATACAATTTCAGAAATTTCGACAAATATGTCGATAAAGATGACGTAGAACGGCTTCTAAAAGTGCTTTGCGCCCAACACCAACAATTAATAAAGTAAGTGTTATTATCATTGCAACGTTTTAATTTTATCTTTAAACTCAAAAGCCAAATCCATTGGCATGAATATTACAGTGAATGTGATAGTAAATATAATAGTACTTCAGTTGTTTTTAATTCTTTAAATGTCAATCCCAATGTGGATCTTTATCAAAAATCGAAAATACATACAAATATTATAAACTGGTATATACCTAATTATGCACCAATCTAGAGTGCGCAAAGTGTCATTTTACCACGTTAGTTTCATTTAGGGATCTGTAATGCGCCGCTGGAATTATAAAACTCTAGCTCGATACGTGGGAAGAAGAGACAGTCAGCTTTCGGATTTTTGAAATCTAATATGAATATTACTATATTACTATTTAACTACAAAGCATTTTTTCCATGTTTTATCATTTTTTCATATATATATATATATATATATATATATATATATATATATATATATATATATATATGTGATGACACTATATTCGAACACTCGAAGTGTTTTCGGAGCGCGAGCATTGAAGATGCCAAGTGAGATTTTGGCGAAACGTCTGCGGGATTCCAGTCGGATGCAGGATTTGCAGGATTCCAGTCGGATGCAGGATTCCAGTCGGAGTTCAACGAGCGAACGGAGGATATCCCGGAATATAGTGTCATCACATTTTTCCATCCGTGAATCAATACGTGAGAATATATATATATATATATATATATATATATATATATATATATATATATATATATATATATATATATATATATATATATATATATATATATATATATATATATATATATATATATATATATATATATATATATATATATATATATATATATATGATGACACTATATTCCGGGATATCATCCGTTCGCTCGTTGAACTCCGACTGGAATCCTGCAGACGTTTCGCCAAAATCTCACTTGGCATCTTCAATGCTCGCGCTCCGAAAACACTTCGAACACACAGTGTTCGAAGTGTGTAGTGTCATCATATATATATATATATATATATATATATATATATATATATATATATATATATATATATATATATATATATATATATATATATATATATATATATATATATATATATATATATATATTATGGTCCGTTACGTAAAACAAAAGAAGAAAGTTTCTAATTCATAATAAATTTATTTAACGTTTCGACCGGTGTATTCGGTCTTTTTCAAAAATATCTAAAGAATTGACAGGGTTTTATACAAGGCAACGACAGCGAGAACAATAAAACTTACCCTAATTTTAAAATAGATGTAGAAGTAAGAAGATTTAGATACAACACACGACGGCACGATTTAGAATTGTAGAAATAAAACTGTAGATATAAAATTGTAAAACAGAAATATAAACGGTGTAAACATTGACAATAACAATTTGCATACGCGTGTCTGCGAATCTATTGTGCGGACTGAGATATCAATTGACATGCGAAGCAGAACTACGAAAGTACGTTTTTTTTTCCGGCGATGTTATTTATTTACTTTATTTTTTATTTTACATTTAATTTTATACCAGCTACCCTTATTTATTCAGTTTTTAGATCATTTGTCCGTTTTAAAGTTTATGGATTTTTGTTTTTTTTGAATTTCTATCGATTCGTAGATTCTCGTTTTTTAGTATTAGGCTCTGTTTTCAGTATCTTTACATTTTGAAAATCGAATGAATGTTTAGTTTCGCTACAGTGTGTATGAATAGCTGTTTTGTTGGTTTTGTCAAATTTGTGCCCATTCATTCTATTTTTGAGATACTGACTCGTTTGTCCAATGTACACACTATCGCAACCCGAACATGGAATTTCATAAACTGTCCAATGTACACACACACACATGGTTTCGGATAGGCCTGCAATGTATGGTAACGGTATATATTTTGTTTAATTGTTTTGAAATTTGCGGTTATGAGTCTTGTAGGTTCTCGCGGAAGCGCACCATTACCCGATGAATCATTTCTTGGGGAATTGAGGAAATTCCTTGTCTTATGGTTGCCTTTAATTCTTCCAAACTTCAAACTGATTACGAAAAGCGCGCTGCGTCGCTATTACAGATTCGCCATTTCTAATAAACTCCTCGACAACGAAAGCACGATGCACTCTACTCCAAGCCATGTTGATAACTAAAAATTGCATACTACTTTTGTCTGCCTAACGCGAGTGTTGTCGGTTTTACGAACCGAACAACCACTATTTGAAATCTTGCCTACCTTTTTGCCGCACCCTGTATACTGTGCAGAACAATTGCCTTTTAAGTTTTTGGTCAGAGCAGAACTTTTATAAAGAATAAGTTCTGTTGTAAATACAACTAACACTAGTTCAAATACTAATTACTATTTACAAAACTTCTGTATTTCTGCTGAGTCGGTTGTTGATAAATCGAACTTGTTGACGTTTCGCCAATGTTGGCTTCTTCGGAGTTTAAGTATTACATGAGCCTGTGGAAGTTTCTTTGAAATATTATTTATGATAATTAAATACTTTTGATAAATTTGTTAGTGATATTTTGGTTCGACCAATGTTAAACAAACTGACATTTAGGCTTCACGTTGCTCATTAAGAGTTATGCTCCGTTTCTTAATGCGAGTGAGTTACAAATTATTATCAAACTGTAAAACTTACTGGTCTTATCGGTATTCCATGGACAGTTAGTTGATCTACCCGTGTTTAAAACTAGAATTATAGCAACTTGTTGTTGTTGAAATTCGTTCTTAAAACGAATCTCTCTTACGAAATGACTCAAAACAAAAAATCACTTTTAATAGAAAAAGGCGAAAATATCTGCTGACGACGACGATATTTGAGAGCAGTTATATAGGAATATCTATTATCTGGCCGAAACTTCGTCAAATGAAAGATAAAGCACGAGGCAGGCTTTTATGATGACCCTTTAGAATAAAAGCCCCTTCTAGAAAAGGTAAAAGATTAATATTTGCTCACATTGGTAGCAAAAATGTATTTCTCGGTGCTGGCTTGCTAGCATTCCAAAGAAGCAATTTCACAAAGACATGCTGAAGAAGGAGGTATGAAGATTGTAAATTTCAATATACGTTGATATCTTCTTGCAACAGGGAGTAAATACAAGGGATTGTGAAGAATCGAGTAAGCGAATCGAATAAGTGATTGAAATAGAAGAAAGAATGTGAGAAGCTGATAATATCGTAGGGCTCATTATTTCTGATTATTACAATTTATCTGTTTTCACATCATTCTTACTTCTGTATAACTTTTTATTTATTTAATGTTAGAATAATTAAACTTGTCTTTCTGTGGTATTCAAATAAGTGTGATCCTAATTTAGGAACGATTCGAGGAGTCTTAAAAACTGAAATACGGAAAACTATCGTTGCAATTTATCTGAACATTACGATATAAGTTTTTACCCTGTTTAATGATCAATGCATGCAAATTTACATTTTATAAAACTCTCATATTAAAAAACAGAGCATAGAAAGTAGCGGTTTTCCATATAGCTCATGCTGAACATACAGGAACTTTTGAATCCAAAATAACATCAGTTAATTCATACCCAGACAACAGTTCGTCAATTTATAGATTTTCTCAAAATTGGTCATTTAACGTTCTGGTTAAAGAAAATCGCGCAGAGTGGTGCGTTCTTAGGCCACTATGTTATCTAATAATATGTGAAGTGTGGAATCAAGGCCTACTTTTCGATGAAACCATAGCTTACGCCATTAAAATTAGATTGAGAATTGAAAGACTTGAGAAATAAACTTTTTCCTGTGTGTTACGTCTGCACACTGTGTCCCTTAGCACGCGCCTGTTTGATCTCAAAAACAGTTTACTTAAATTGAAAATCACTAATAATTAAACATTTCCATAGGTACTTCGAGAAATTTAACCAATCCCTAAAAAACATAGTTTTTTTGGAATATCTGGTTTCATCGGTTTTATTTGCAACACTTATCGTTCAAATAACTGCGGTAAGTGGAAAAAACGGTTATTAGAGACTTTTTGTACCTCTTATTATGTATTTATTATGTTATTTGACTATATCGCTTATTTTAAGCGTGAATTAACTAACTAGAATGTGATTGCCGATTCTTAAAAAATAAGTTTATTTTCAAATAACAAGTTTACAAGATTACAACATAGATATTTTCAACTCACTGTCACCCGCGCATCTTTCCTATCGTTATATGCTGCGAGTCCAGCACACTCGGCAGGTTCTGAGGGTATTTAGTTACATAACTCCTCCTCCCTTAGAGTTAACTACACCTGGTGGGGGGTAGTTCAATTGTCAGATTTTCTTCTTCCATCTTCTTTGTTCGGAAACATCCTCTGGTGACGAAATACTTGTAGGGTACATAAACAGAGGCTATAACTATAACAACATATACAAAAATCGTTCATATACTACGTATCTTCGACAAATAATTAGGAGATGGATGAGGATCATTTTTCATCATCTTATTGTAGATCTGATGTAACTCGTATAACTTAATTTCTCGTACATGGAAACTAAAGTTAAGGATAGGAATATTCCTTATAATCAAAATCGGGAAAAATATTAGTTCATAGTTATAGTTCACAATAGTTGTTTCGTCGATTTTTATTCTGTCTTCTGTGCCATTATCAACTATAATTTGTTGTACTATACTATGATGAGAGAAAAATAGAAGTAATTTATCAACAATTTCGGTTGCAGATATGGAATTTAGTGCGCATGCCTGTCCATATTTCGAAAAACTATCTACAATGGTGAGAAATTTGGTTTGTTCAACAGTATATGTATCTAAACGAATGATCGGGTTTCGATGCTGTAGGGGTCACAGTAATTTAAATTCTTACTGGATGACGTTCGTATTTGCTTTTCTGACAGATTTCGCAATTATTAATGGAAGTCTGTATATAATTTTTCTGACTAGGCCAATAATACTTTTCCTCAATTTTTGCTAAAGTTTAAGATTCGTGTTATTTTGTTATAATCTCAAGAATACCTCTTTTATCGTTCACATCAATTAATTTTTGAAGACATCGTTTAAATCTTAAAGACGGCCATTTAAATGTTTTTGTTATTACTTCACAGAAAGGTTCATATAATTCTGGTAATTCAAATTGCTTATCGGGAATTATTAATTCTTTGACAAACTTTAAAATATTTTGGTCAAATTCTTTTTTAGATAACTGAACATTAATACTTGATGACCCAAAAAATTGAAAATAGCTCGCAGAATCGTTGAGGGTTCTGGATGGTCCCTGTAAGAGAACGGTTCTAAGCGTAACGTTGCTCGAGAATCGGTTCATTAACAATTTCATTAATAAATTTTTGCAGGTTTCGAAACAATCTACAACTTCTTGATTATGATCTATTTCCGCACCCTTCTTCAGATACTTCGTTAGCGGTGTGGTTAATTTAGCGAAATAATTAATAAAACGACAATAGTATCCGAGAAATCCTATTTTTTTTTTGTCCGAGTTCGGATTACACACCTTCTGCTGTCACCACCTGACCCAATTATGCCACTTTTTTCCGTAAGAACTCCGATTTATTTAGCTGTACTTTGAAGTTAGATTTTCGTAATTATTGGAAGAGGCATTTTAATCTCTCAGGAGGTTATCCATTACCCTTTGAAAGGTAGCTGGCGCTCCCTTTAAACGAAAAGCCATGCTTGTATATTCGAAATGAGATTGTTCAGTGCTAAAGGCTGTCTTCTCTATGTCGTCTTTGTGCATTTGGATTTGATGAAATCAACTCGCTAAATTCAATGTTGTAATGTACTGGCATTTTGCTAATTTATCCAGGAGATCATTAATGATCGATAGGAGATATCTGTCGTCCAAGGTTTTTGCATTAACTAAACATTTCTTCACTCCCGACGCATACGTTTTCTTCGGGACTATCCAAATCCAGAAACTGATAAGAATTCTGGAATTTTGCAGTTTTTTACTGAGGTTTTAATTCTCACAACTTGTTCGACTCGCGGAGGAATTGTTATGCAGTTAAATTCGGATTGTGCTTTTTGAAATTGCAATTTAATATTCGTGTAGGGTGATATTAATTATCTCTTGTTAAAGTCAAGAATTGCATGTAAAAGTTTAAGATTGTCGAGAGATAAAAGACCGTCCAATATATTATGAAATTTGAATAAATAACATTTCGAATAGTTTGGTTCGGGTAATTTGAAAATTTGATGTGCTGATTTTTAAAATATAGTAGATACTATCAAAGGATCATTTATTATATTATTAATTTAATTTTGGGATCGATAAATGACCTAGTCGAGCAGGAATCAATTAAAATTTTTATATTATTTTTTGGAAAAATAATGTATGATAGATCGCTTAGATTTGACAAATTAAAAGATATAATTTGGGGTGTTACGTCTGGTGATTGTTCGAAGGCATATCCCGAAAATTTTCGTTTTCATGTTGTTGTTCGTCATAAATTTACTACAGTGTATTGATTGGCATGCCATCTTAAGATTCTTTCGAGCCTTCTGAAAAATATTTTCTACATGCATCTCAAAAAGAAGCTTCTAATCCAATTTAATACCCAGGTCCTTTAGAGAGCCCGAAAAGTTCAATTTGTAGTTACTTAGGTAGAGATGAATTTTAATTTCCAGTTGTGTTTTTTTTTTGTGTAAACAAAATACAGTGATATTTCTTAAGGTTAACAAACAATCTGTTCAGAGAACATTATTGTTCAAAATTTGAACGAAATCTCTCTGCAACAAGACGTAGTCTGCCGCTGAATGAACTGCAGCTCAAATTGATACTCATTTCCAGCGATGAATGATGGCAATCCACAAGAACTAACGTACTGTTGCATACCTTCGTGTTTAGAGAACAGGCATGACAAGATCCAAAATTCTTTTTCTAGTATTTAAAATGAGATTATATTGTCCTAGGTTATTAAGGAAAAAAAGTCAGAAAAGCATTTACTCAGCGGGCCAGAGACATTACTAGACAACAAATCATTATAATTTAGGATCCTTGATCAAGTTAAATTCGTTAAATGGATAATGTGGATTTTATTTTTGAGAAAAAGTTCATATTGTTGTTAAGTGATTCATGAGCAGGGACACATACAGTGCAAATTAAAAATTTTTGACCGCCATTCATATCAGCACTCGCCCATAAGCCTTCAATAATATTGCTCGATTTTTACCATTTAGTCACAATTGCGGCACAGTAATCCTCACGAACTGGCATGAATACCCCAACACCATCACTTCTTCAATATTAAGTCCTAACCAAGACTCTGTTATTGAAACACAGTCATACCCGACACTACACATCGACTGTTTTTATCCTAACTCCTCTAGCATTTTGTCAGTAAACTGAAAATGCTGTCATTGGAGCCAGCGGATGATAAAATATTATCCACAAAGAATACTTTGCAGCCCAAAAGCTTTATTTTGTTTTTAGTTTAGTTTAATGATTCGACAACAACGTCGTTTCTATGGTCGTTACATGTTTGGGACAGTGGTTTGAAGGTAAAATTTTGTGGCAGAGACATTTAAAATTTCCTTTTCAATTTTCCCACCTAGTGCTGATGATTCAGGAGTATTTTAGGTCCCTAGCATTATTTCTAAATTTAAAAAAGGTCAGCTGAAAATCTCATAAAGCTATGATTCAATGTTCTTCAAACCTTATGCGACAAACATGATTTTAAATAAGGGAAGAAACCACACTTATTCCAGCCTTTTAACGGAACTTCAAGAAAAAAACCTGTCAAAACCTAAAAATGATGCACTCAAAATAACAAAAATTAGGTTATAACCCGTTAATATTCAAAAAAGTGAGATAAGGGCGAAATTTCATAAGAGGTGCAAAAAGACCCTATTTTATTTGGTCCGAACTGTTTATGTCCTCGAAATAACTTAATATGTGTAGCGTGATTCAAAACTAAATAGAAATTTAGAACAAGTGCTCTACAATGGCAGTGTTGAACTGAGTTGAATAGTTTATTAAGAAACTAAATAAAAAAAATAAAAGAATATGCTGGTTTTCACATGCAAACTTTTCACCACTGTTTATAAAAATTTACAACTTTTTTTACGATTTTATTTTAATGTTAAATACAGGCTCGCTCACTACCGCTGGATACTTTTACATCTCCCTAATAATTTACTTTATTGAAAAATTCTAAATGCACATGTTGTTTGTACTGTATACTGCATGCAACAAAAATTTCACAGCATATGTCATAAGAATCTCACCTAACGCCAAAGTGCAATTCAACTATTTTTGAGTCGTTGTAATCGTCCTTTCGAAATTGGTATTGAAAATTCAATTATTGATTGCTGGGTGTAATTAAGCAAAATTTACCAAGAAAATACGTTATTTTAAAAGATGAAGACCTTCGTATTTCCCGACACAACACCTTCTATAGTGTTGTTTTGTTGTATTTTCGATGTATTTTCTATCAAAACTAAAAATGATTTCTAGTTAGCATTGATTTCGACGAAGTTGGATATGGTTATTGCTTATCTAGTTTAAAAGAGATGAGGCATTCTCTAATTGACCATCCAGATCACCCCATCTGTAGCCATGGATTTTCGACTCCTTGGCTGTTTAAAAGAAGTAGTGACTCTTTCTAGGCCCGTACAAAATGCTGTATTTAGAAAAGAATCCGCAATAGTACCCTAGCTACCCTGTATATTTTACTTCGTAAATTACAGAAAAAAAACAAAAACCAAAACTCCAGTTTTCAAATTTCCCGTTCACCTTGACTCACGCTGAACAATATTAAATTCTAGGGAAATGAGCTCATTACTAATAGTATAATCTTGCTGTCGACAACAGTACAACTGCTCACATTTTCTTGGACTTCGAATGAAATCATAGTTCAGGTACATTATTGATATAGCTATCTCCGGTCACCTGGCGAAATAACTACGTTCGTTTCCAGAGCTTGGAATTGGCCAGGGCACTTTTCGAAAGCAATTGGTACGACCAAACTGAGGCAGCAAAACTCGTTGTACGTATAATGATGATGAGATGTCAAAAACCACTCTGCTTACGAGTTGGAAACATGGGAGTTATGGATCTCAACGCGGGCCTTTCGGTGAGTTTAAAATTGAAATTGTTATTGTTAATTCCTATTCCTAGAAGTATGCTATTTAAAAATAAACAATTGTTGATTGAATATTACCAAAGCATTGGTTTTGTTGTGCATTTATAAGCATAATTTTCGGAACACGGAATGAAATTCTACTAAATGACTGTGCTTCTATTTAACGCTGTTTAAAATGTAATATATAAATAAAACATTCTCCATAACCTTTCTAGCATTTAACTTTTTTATGTGGAATTCACTAAACATTGCATTACATATCATTATATATCATGATGGATACCATTGAATTTTTCCAAATCCAGTGGTATCCAAATGATACCGGCTAATTCTAAATGTGATCTGACGAAGTCTGACGGATGCCAATGAAAATATTAGCGGAGCGATAACAAAAATTATGGCTAAATTATGACAACTGAATAGCCGGAAGTGAGATCAACTTTGCTATTTTAAATGAAATACCTTGTATATTTTCAATTTTTGTATTCTACAGGGAAATCCAAATAGGAAATGTTCTTTATGTTCTAATAGTTTTGTAGAGCAATAGCGTTCAAAAATTTCAATATAAAGCTTTTCTTCAGTCATTTTAAATAAGAAGCAAACGCATTTTATTAATCACAAAATCGGCAGATTTTATAGTGGTGTATTTTGATAAAAGTGAAATAAAGAACCTCGCTATTACCGAAAGTACACTCAAAAATTGTATTGTGTAGTAGTTTTCCTCAAAAACTTCCAACAAAAACTCTGTGTTCAGAATAGCTTTTATAATAAAGCGTTTTTATGTATGTGCAATCCTTTTTGAGGTATATCCCATTTAAATTCAAAAGTCAAACTAAATTCAAACCATGCGGCACAGAGTGGAAAATGCACATTTAAAATGCGGCTGTGAGAATGACAGTATGTATTGTTTCCGAATAAAAAACATGATTATCATGAAACAAACATTGCCAGTAACAAATAATAGAATGAAAACAATTTCTACTTATATATGACTGAAACATGAACTCCATACTAACGAACAAGAAATTAAATTTTCAAATTCTTGTCCAAGATAATAAATCCTCCTAATTTTGTGGTAGCGTCTTATATACCTTTTATAATGTGGCCCTGGTAATGGTGTCAGGTCTGGTGACCTGGTGGTCACCTTACAGAGCGATTACTGCCTAGTTTTCGCCAAGGTTTTGATTTAGGTATCTAGATAATATCCTGGAATTATATTGCGTATTCTATCAAGACGTAGATCTTCAACAAAAAGAATAACATTTTCTTGGATTAGTTCCAGATACTATATGAGAAAAAAAATGGTCCAATAAAATGATCGCCTAAAACACCAAGCCTTAAGCTTAAGCAAAAGCTAAAGCTTGTGGTGGAATGCTCGCTCGTAAATAAAAATTATTCTTAGGCGAATACCTTCAATTATTTCTGTTAAACATGCAAAAAGCGATATTTAAACGAAAAAATAATGGAACTTTTAAAATTAAGAATGAAGGTCTGTTTTTCAATGTACTAGTAGTAGTAAGATTCCTTCATACGGATATATTTTATTTTATTTTTATTTATTATTTATTTATATTTTTTGGTGGAATCTTTCATAGTGTAATTAAAATTTACACTGTTTAGGTGTTTATGCAAAGCTACACAGTTTTTAACATTCTTAATAATTTTAACAGCACGCTGTCAGACATTTAATGTAATCTTTTTACACTCACCAAAGGAAGTTCAATATTCATTAGTAACTTTTTCCAAGTCTCGCGTTGTTCTATTTTGTTAAATTAATGTGGATGATTGTTGTGTCATATTTCGTCTTCTCTTTACAATTCAAGTTTAAAGTTGTCCTATGAATCACCAACACCAAGCCTATTAATATTTTTAGATCAACAGCTGCTGCCAATTCAATTCAAAGTTCAGGATATTAAAAACAGGGTCTAGATTAAGTTATATATTGAGTAATATAATCCATGCACAGGTTTTTATTGAATTTTAAAAATTCCTGTACTTTTTATTTCAGAGACTCAAGTTGGGTTATTCGTACACTTCGATAATGAGCAGTGGCGACTAACTTCTTATTTGCAAAGCTTGAATTAGCGACAACAGCGTGCTTTAGTAATAATATGTGTTTATATTAATAACGTCTTATAAAATAAACCTTTATACCGAGTCAAGATCTTTTAATGATGTTGAAGTTTACTTCTTGCAGCAGGAGACCACGAGATAAACACACTTCGAAAATGTCGATGTTTGTCTTCGATATGTCCAAAACTACTTAAATTTTACAAGCAAAAGTGATTTTCTAATTTAGCCAACCAGCAGCTGTTAATTATACATTTTCCGAAAATGTCTTTTAAACTTATCAAAATTTAATAGCTACGGTGGAGCCAATATTACGAGAACGTTTTATTCACTTCACACATACCTATACAAAGTGGTCAGTCATAAACCATTCATAATGCATTGCCACTTTTATTCAATAACCGCCAGCTAAGAATTTAAAATATTGATATGCGGATGTTACCGTGCGGTTTGTAACTACAGGGCATCGTGGGACTCTGGGATTCTCTAGAAATTGTCATTTCACATACCATTTTCAATATAATTACAGGCGACAATGTTGTGCGAAAAAATTTGCTGCCAGTAGCGCGCAATAAAAATTTCCTTGCAAGACAAATAGAAGAAAATAATTGGGTAGAATAGGTCAGTAATCAAAGTTTGCTATTAGATGTGTTTATAGATGTGCTTATAGTTAGAAAAATATCGTTTTTAATCTGGGTGTAAATGTTTTGTTCAATATTTTCTCGATTAAGCTTATTATTGACAATAATATTTCAAGCTTTTTTATGCGTTTCTCTGAATCTCATTCCGCTAGGTAGTTAGCCTAACTAGTAACCTATTTTGGTAACACAGCTAGCTTCGTATAGTCTGTCTCAATCTTCGTCCTGTTGGATTTAGAATGGCCAGCTATGCCTTTCTTTCTGTTTGTGGCAGTGTTGAATAATTATTTTTACTCTACGTTTCGAAAAAGTTATTTTACGAGAATATAACAATGTCACGTCGAGATCATTTGTTGCTTGTTGCAAAACAGGTTGCGAAAAATGTGTATGAAACTTTAAAATCAGTAAAGGACTTATTACACAAGAGGCTTTAAAAGAAATCTGTCTACTTACAAAAACGTCACTATCGTCGATAAGGTATATTATTAATAGTGGATAATTGACGAAAAGGAATAAACGTAGTGCTTGTCACTCATCATATAGCCATTAGTAATCAGGATCTAATAAGAAGGAAAATATATTGTCTTTATCAAAGCGAAGTTGTTCCTACCTTGGATAAACTGAAAACTAAGATGGAAGATGTAACCGATATAACTGTAAGTCGTGACACCCTGCATAGAGTTGTGTGTAAAACAGGATTTAAGTATCGAAATATAGACAAAAGGCAACTAGTAATAGAATCACATAAATTACCCACTTGGAGACAATAAGTTAAAAGATATAGATTAGAGAAGAGATCAATAATTTGCCTTGATGAAACATAGTTCGATACACATCACACTATCCAAAGGATGGGTTGATTCCATTCAAAATTGTCAGACGAAATCACCTTCCAATAAAGGAAATCGCAGCATCATAATACACGCTAGGTCAAAACCTCTGAGAGTCCGTCCCTAATGTTCTCTCCTTTAATACCTACTGGACCCGAGTTTTATTGTCGTCGGCAAGTAACTTCCATAATTGCGGGCAAAAGTCAGCAGGATAAAGATTGAGACAGACTATAACAACTATCAAAAAATATGATTTCGTGAACATTTACTTGACGTTTACGGTACGTCCATGGTTTCTGCCCCCGCTTCTTAATATTTGATGTTGCGTTTTTTACACATCTCGGCGAGAAGTCGGTTTAAAAGGCCGGAGGAAATCATCGACGGACTTATTTTCCAACATGTCCGAGAGGAAAGGGCTGTTCCGTTTTGCGAGACTGAGCATGATTGCAGCCTGCATGTGGAATCTGGATTTACCGGCATTTTCCAAATTTACTAAGTTAATGTATCAAACGTATTCCGTTGTTCTACCAGCATTAGTGTTTCTGGTACCCGTCTTGATGATTGCCAATTTTCCTAGTCTGTTGCTAACGGATCCAAATTCTGGTAAAAAGTTTAATGTTAAGTGCTAATCAGTTAACGGTAATGTCGATTTTAGCCATCGAAGTAACACCTAAGATGCTCTACTGCGCGGTTTTAGTTATTAAAACGTTTTCCTACCAGTCCAGCAGATGTAGGTACTTACTAACCGCAGCAATGGAAGAAGAATCGCGCTTATATTTCATAAACGACGACGAGGTCGTTAGAATTTACGAAGAACACATCAGATACTGCCGCATATTCTTTAAATTTTTTTGCATTTCCACGATGCTGCCAGTCTCGACCGAGTGTGAAATCGGTAGATACTAGATGCAACAGTGACTTAGCAAATATATACCGATGCTGTTGTAGCGATTATCAAAAGCTATAAGTTTTCCCAAAATCTTGATGCGGTGGGAGACAAACCCATGCCGCTCGTGTCCTGGTATCCTTTCGACAAGAACAGGCACCACATTTGGGTCATGGCCCATCAGTTCATATCTATTATAGTCACCGGTTGTTACGTCTTGTCGGTTTACGTTTATTACACTTCGATAATGATTTACGTGCGGAGTCGATTACTAATACTGCAGCACTATTTCAGAAACTACGACCAGTACCAACTAGATGGTGAGTCGACGACGTTGGAAACGCTGAAAGTGTTGTGTGCAAAACACCAAGACCTAATTAAGTAACTACTATAAAAATATATGACCTTCTGAAGCATTCTAACGATGTGATTTTAGTTATATAAATGACGTCAATCGATCAGTTAAAATGACGGTGTTTTTGGAATATAGTGTCATTTCCATATTACTCGCTACTATATTGTACCAACTCGTGGAAGTAAGTGACGTTTAACGTTTAATAAGCATTTTACATTTTAACAAAATAACTTTTAAGATTAAGATAATTTAGTACGAGCATATTTTGAAATGTATTCAAAGAAAACTTGGAACATTATTTATAATTCATTACATAAACAATAGCATAGTCACCAAAAATGATGACATATTCGGTTTGTTTAGGTTGTAGTGGAGAGCTTGTATCCCCAAAAAATATTTTGGACTTTAAACCACAACAACAGTGAAACCCCGACTGAAAAATAAATTACAGTCATGGGCCAAATCTGGAGAATAGAGAAATACAACAGGAATTTATCAATACACCAATAATTTTTCGAAGTAACTGTAATATTATTTACAAATCTTCTAGATTCCTCCTGCGTTGACTTGCTGACGCTTTGCCGGTCATCCTGTTAGCTGATTCAGAACTTAATTGAAACTGGTCCTCATTCTTCTCTCTAACCGCTTATATACTGTTTGAGGGGGGCGGAGCGTATGAATGATTTCCTTAATGGTGGTTCTCGGATTTTTCATCGTTAGAAGAATTCGGAGATGTTGAGATATTTTTGGGCAAGTGATAAATCTGGTTTTGAAGTTATATTTCTTAAGAACTTTTGACATGTGGTCAGTGATGTTTTGAATGGTGGCAAGTGTGAGGTTGCTTTGTGCCTCATTGTCTTTGGTAGGTTATGGTGGTTAATGTCGAAATTATTAGAGAGAAGAGCAGTGACTCGGATTGAGACAGTTTTCTGGCTCTGTAAACAAGAGCGTTGATAACCGAAGATTTTTGGGTCGGATGGTGATGTGACAATGCGTTTAGGTATCGATCTCTATTAGGTCTGATTTTAAATTAATAAGAATATCTGGGAATGGGAGATTATTATTAATTTCTAATTCAATGGTAAAGCGTATGTTAGGGTGTTTAGAGTTTAAATTGGAAGAAGTTGGAACCTTTTGCAAGAACTGAATTTTCCGTCTCAGAGAGTTGGTACGATACATCTACCACAGTGTTAAGTAGTTAAGAAGTGTTTGATTGTTTCACTAGTGTTGACGTTAGTTTTTCAAATGTTTGCATGTGATTCCGGGTAGAAGATGAACGTAGATTTTCAACTTTGTAATCAATTTCTATGTATAGAGAGAAAAGTTTTATTGATTGATTTAAGTGATGCATTCTTTCTCGAAGTAAAGCAAAACGAGATTTAAGAACAATTTTATAAGCAGATGAAATATTTAAATTAAATTAAAGATTACGTTACGGTCTCTACAACATAACAAAAAATCCAGTGTACAGAGTCATTTTCACTAGGTGATCTTCTAACTTTCTAACTTTGCGCTTGAAGTATTCTTCTCCATAAGGGATTGTTCATTATTCAAACTTGCTAATGTTTCGCCAGTTCAGTTGGCTCTGAAGAATATGCTTTGAAAAATTTCTTGAGGCGATAAATCTTCTATTAGAATTCAATCACGGCAAGTTGAAGAGTAAAATCCACTGGATATTTGATCTTTATCAATCAGCACCAGTACTATATTAACAAACTGTCACAACACATCCTAAGTAGTTGGGATATTAATATACGTTTTTTTAAAATAACGTGTGAAATTTTGAATTTTGCTTTAGGGTCAGGACATGTCGTTCAACCTGATCTTCGCGTTTGTCGTAAGCGCCCAGTTGATGTTTCTGGCTTGGACGACCGATGAAATCACGACGGAGGTAATTGATCTGATACCAGTGGATCGATCAATTCGAATGTTTCTGTTTACAGAGTGTCAATTTGGCAACTGCCCTTTACGAAAGCAAATGGTACGAACAATCGCAAGCCTGCAAAATATTGATCGCGATCATGATGATGGGATGTCGTAAACCGCTCAGTATTAGCATTGGACCGTTTGGACCCATGACTATGGTGTCGGCCATGTCGGTGAGTATCGACAGTGATTGTGGACCGTGTATAATTTTTACAAAAATACAAAACTAAATATGTTTCTTTGCATTTGCGGTTATTAAATTTATACTCTAGCAAGTTGATAGTTGATAAAACAGTTTGCTCAATATTAAAATTCCAACATTTTCTCAAAACGTTCAACAGTTTTTTCCTACAAAATTATTAATTAGTAATAATAATAATAACATAATAATAATATTTATTTGGCTGCAAAATAATATAGAAGGTATTACAAATTTTCCTAGCCTTATGGCTACAAAAGAGGAGTTGAAAACATTTGCAAAAAGTTCAAGATCAATCCCTAGACATTGATATTATATCCGATCCTATACAATCGACAAATGAAAAAGTTTTCTACTAAAATAAAAAAAATATGTATAAAAAAAATAAATAAAAGAACAAGCAACAAATCCCGTTCTGCTCAGTATCGCTTGCTATAGATAATCGTTCTCGAGAAAGTATTTTGTATAGAGACGTTTAAATAAGTTTGATCTTAAGTATTTTAATTAATCCGGAACTCCTTTTTACAGCTAATAGATCTTAACCACTTTGTTTCCTCAAGTTTATAATAAACACGATTTTTGGACCCTTTTCACAGAAATTAAAGTGTCTTAAACCAACGAATCCGTCAACCTTAATGACTTTGACAACAACTTTCTGTTTCGATAAACATTTTTAGATTGTTAACATGACGTTTAAAACGAACATTGATGTCGAAACCTAGTCCCAAATTTCTTGAATTTTGAATTTTTAAGCGAAAAGTATCTTAAATAACTCACTCGTTTATTAAGAACTCGCTCTGCTGCGCTCCGCTCGTGTCAAATAAACTCGTGAGTCAAATGCCATTTAGCGTACTTGTTGCATAATATACTATAATCTATCAAAATGACTTTTATTTGAGATAATTGCATAACAAATATTCAAGAGACCAATTAATTGTACCGTTGACTGGCGCAGTTTAGTTTATAATTAGCTACTGTATTGAACCAGTGCGTGGCACAATAGTTCACAACCAAATTTAAAAAGAAGTAGAAAAAAGAGAAAAAATGTCTATAGCAAATTCTGTAGATCTATATTTAATGTGAAACGTATTCGAATTTAAATTTAACAGGTTAATACCGAAACATGGCACTCGCGCCTAAACACTATTCGTTCCCGAATCGAGGACGGAGTATCGGGATTATTTATAGTCTTTATTAAAAAAGTACAGAAATGTAGTCTTCTACGAGACTTCATCCTAAGCCACTCAATTTGTTTATAAAAATTAGAAATATGATCATATTTTCTTAAGCCATACACCACAAAGCGTACACAATGATTTTGAATTTTTTGAATTCTACACTCGTTTTCATTATCTCAAGAAAAACCATATAGAAAATTACAACAACTAAAATTTGAAACAAGATTTTTTTCTAAACTTTTGACCTAAAATTGATCTATTACTATATCCTAAATCCTAGTATTACTATTACTATATCCTAAATCCTAGTTCGCTATCTAAGCAAATAAATAAGTTCTTAGCATCATTAACGAAGTTAAGCACTGTGCCATGAACTACAGTATGATTAAAAGAATGAAATTCATCTTATTTTTATTACCAAAAAGTACCAATTTGTCCGCAGATGACACAGTATCCTTGAACTTAAAGTATGGAATTTTGTTACTGAGATAATTACGTAATAGGTCAATCAATCAAATATAAAATTGCCAGTAACAACTTTTCGTTTAACCTATTGAAGGATTTAAAATAATAAGGAATAAAAGAATATTAGGGCCGTCGCTTCACTTTAATCAGCGGCTCTAATTATGTTCTCTGTGATGTTTAGTAATGCGGTCGCACAACCCAACCCTTGTCTAAAACCTGATTGCCTTAAAGGAAGTATATTATAATTTTTCAAGGAAACTTCCACATGCTACCGTAAAACTATTTACAGAACTTCTGGATTCCTACTGCGTCGGTTGTTGTTGAATCGAACTTGCTGACGTTTCGCCAATCATCCTGCTGGTTTCTTCAGAGCTTAACTGGAAGTGGTTTCACCAATTATCTGAAACTAGTTTCAGTTAAACCCTGAAACCGTTTTCAGTTAAACATTGAAGAAGCCAACAAGATAATTGGCGAAATGCCAGGAAGTTCGACTCAACAACAACTTTTGTAAATAGTAAGTATACCATTATATTTATGCAGATGCCCTCTAATCTGAAAATTCATTATTTTTCAATGATCATTAATAATACTGGTGGTGTACTAATCGGTCTTCCACTTCTGCGAAAACAGTGTGTATGTAACAAATAGGAATTGGCAACATTAGTCAGAAAGGGGAACAATTTAAAAGGACCATATTAATATTTAATTCATCTTCTCCTGATGCAAGGGTTTTTGTTTTTGATTGTTACTTCTTTTAAAGGTGATAATACCTCAAAAATATTTGCCAAAATGAAATTAGGATTTTATCTTTATATCGGTAATTTCGATACGAAATTATGCAACAAGTTCCTACAATCTGCCCATATCCATATCAGGCGTTTTTCTTCTCTTTATTTTGATATTTTCTTGCGATTTGATGACGACTTTTTCAATAGTAAGAGTTTGAGTTGTTAACTGTACGAGGGTAGTTCAATAAATCTCTATAAAATCCAAGAGATAGCGATCGTGGTATCGGAAATAAATGTTTGACATTAAATACCATTCCTAACTAGTCAGTTGTTAAAGTTTCGGCTGTATCCAGATAACCATGGTTGGTGGACAAGGGTTTACGTTTAATGAGCAAGTAATCGAAAAACAGCTGCCTAGTTTGAGGAGCTTTCAAAATACTACTTTTTAAACAGCTCAAAAACATATATAAAAATGCTTAGGAAAATATATAAAGACGAAAGGTGGGAAAATTTAAAAAATGTCCAACAAAATATTTCCTTATTTTTCCGAGGAACTTATTGAACAACCCTCGTATATATGCACTGCATTGTCATTAGCTGCAAATCACCTCTACCAAGATGAAAGAATTAGTCAACATTCGCTCAAATAAAATGTATATAGTGGTCTTATAGTTGTTATCGCGTTTTACCAGATAGATACTAGTTTTCGGTAACATAATTAATTTCATTTTAGCGGCTTAAAATTGCTTATTCCTACATGTCGGTGATGACCTCCTGATGGGACTAAAATAGCAACAATAGTACATCGTTGCCATGCCGGAAAATTGGCCGACGAAAAATTTGAAGTGGAAACTTCCTAAGGCATCACTTATTAAGCTCGCCTTGTTGAATTTTTTCTGTTTATCATGTCGTATTGTTTATGTTTACACTGCATCTTAATAAATTGTTTTTTGTAAATTGGTAGGTGAGAATTATTTCCTTAATGTTTATAATAGTTAGCCATCAATTATATCAAAGCTGGCTTAGTTAACTATGTACTAATGCAAAATTGCAAAACAAAAAATATTAAATTAAGTTTTACTTTATTTATTGCTTGAAATGTTTCCCACCGACTTCCATATACGTTCTAAGACGGTTTTTAAAGGATTGGACAGTATTCGCTAGCATTTCATTACTAATATTTTGAAAAGCCCTCTGTTTCATGTCTTCTTTTGTTGCGGGGCAGTTTTATATATATCTCCACAGAAAATAGTGTATCTCTGTTAGATCAGGAGATCTAGGTGGCTCTCTAATCGGACCACCTCTACTTATTCACCGTTGAGGAAATAAATTATTTAAGTAGTTTGTAACTTGATGGGCATGGTGTGCAGGAGCTCCATCATGAAAGACCCACATTCTTTACCTCACTTCGTTTGGAATAGTTCGTAACACATTTTGCAATTTCTGCTCTAAAAAGTCTAAGTAAACTTGCTCACTCACTGTATTTTCAAAAAAAAAAAGAAGCCTTACAACGTTATTTCCTATTATACCACTCCAAACATTTAAAGACCATTTTTTCTAACTGTGTGTCATCATAACAAGGGGTCTGTTGTTAGCAAAATAGTGAAAATTATGCCTATTAACTCAACCGTTTTTATGGAATATCGATTCTTCCTTAAATAATATTCGAAAAAATCATCTAGCTCAAAATTTCTTTCTGGTGCCCATTCACAAAATGTTGATCTAATTTGATAATCATCTTCATTGTGTTCTTGATGAAGTTGCACATGGTAAGGATGCAGCTTACTTTTTCGCAAAATATCCACTGAATTCTTAGAAATTATTAAGTCTTGGGACATTTGACGTACACTTACATGTTGGTTTTCTGTCTCTTGACTCTTTCGTTCTTTTCATAAACACCATCTCCAGTTCGAGTAAAACTATTCATCAAATTCTCAAGACTTCTTTTAGAGGGCCGTCTTTTATTGGAATACTGTTGTTTGTAAATTATCGTATTTAATAATGCATTCTTCTCGCTCGATCCCAGTACGAAAATCATGTCGACCATTTTTTACTTCGAAAAATTCATGGTTGAATTGCAAGTTAAGCAACTAACACCAAATTTATTGAGAAAGCTACAAAATTGACAGGTTCCAAATAATTTACTACAACTTACATTTGCATACGCGAACTGACAACAAGGGCTTCAAGAAAGGCAGAATTTATAAATTTCTAGAAAGAATAAAAACATTTTTTTCAGAAAATTAAAAATATACCCATATTTTATGTTCGGTTACGTAACAAATTTGTGTATAAATTTGCTGGTTCCAATCTGTAATTCCAAGACCACTCTGGCTCCCCGAATACGAAATAAAATGACCGTAATCATGCCCTGACTTACCCCAAATTTCCTTGTGGAGGATGCAATGGGTTGAAAGGACTGCACTGCACTGTTCTACCGGAGGGTTCGACTCTTGAGGGTGTTGCACACTGCTTTTCAAGACTGGTGTTTTCAAATTTCCGACTCGCAATGCGCAATGTTTTTCGATTCCGGCAGAACAAGACGGAGTATACAATTGTCAAGGCATGTATATACGCACAAAATAACAATAATTAAACTATATCCATACCATATACCACCCAACGTAAACAAAAAAATCATTCGTAAAGTTAAATAAAAGTAAGATAAAAAAAAGGAAAAGAATATAAAAGTATATGGAGACAGAACATTCCGCCCTCCCTGAAAATACCTGAGGGATCGGAAGGTCATTTTCTGAATCAGATCGCTAGAGGAAGAGGACAAAGCTTAACTAGAGGTCGGTTAATAAAACCCTTTGCCGTCCTTACGGTTGCTACTCGTGCAATATTATCTGCGCCGGGATGCAGTTCTACTATGTGACCTAATGCCCAGTTTAATGGAGAGGTCTGTTCATCTTTGATTAAGACCATAGTATTGGAGTCAACGGACGCATTGTGGTCGGTCCACTTTGCCCGTTGTTGCAGTGTATGTAGATAGTCTTTGTGCCACCGACGCCAAAAGTCGCGATGCAAAAGTTGCCATCTAGATAACAAATTCAATTTTAAATGAATTGTATCGGGATTTGGAATAACCGACAGGGGCCCTAAGGATAAAAAATGGCCCGGCGTCAACGCGGTCAAGTCGCTTGGGTCCGTACTAACCGGGCATAAGGGTCTAGAGTTCAAGATAACTTCGACTTGAGTCGTGCAAGTGTAAAGCTCCTCAAAGGTAAGAATTTGTTCACCGATGACACGCAGTAAATGTGTTTTCGTCGATTTAATGTGACTTTCCCATAGGCCCCCCAAATGGGCTGCAGAAGGAGGGTTGAAATGCCATCGGATTGACTCGTGTATAGCTACTTGAGCATAGATTTCTTTAAGATATTTTGAGGCGGCAACAAAATTAGTGCCGTTGTCCGAGTAAACGTTACTGACGCAGCCTACCGTGCTACGAAACGTCGAAATGCACGCCCATGTTTTCAAAAGCTTTGGCTTGTGAAACCCGAAATTTTGGCAAGTTTCCCAGAAGGGGCTGAAAAGGCGTCGGGTGCGTGCGCCAGCAAGTGATACAACGCGAAATTATTTTGCGTATAAGTTTCTCAGCCCCATAAATCCAGTAATTTTGAAAAAGCAGAAAGAGTGTGGTTTTTACGCCGGTATGCATATATTTCTCGTGCAGATCCTTAATAAGTAAATCTGTAAACCGAGAATTTATGGGTAAGAGAATCGGATATTTTTGATCGTAATCTAGTTCTGAATTACATAGACGTCCGCCAACACGAAAAATATCATTTTGATCTAAGAACGGATTGAGCTTCCTGAAAACTTTAGGTAGACGCTTACCTTTTTTGAGGAGTGAAATTTCGTTATCAAAATAGCTATGTTGAATATGTTTAACAAAGGTGTTAGTTGCGCTTTGTAATTCGAAAAAGAGTAGCCATGCAGGAGCAGTGAGAACTTTTGGTTCGTAAAATGTTTTGGAACGAATATTATGTGTAAATCTTAGAACGTAGCCAGAAACCCGAATAAGTTTTCTAGGATTGGAAATGTTGTTTAACATAGTGTCTAAAAAATGTGGTATTATCGTCGACGCGAGTACAATTCTGCGCTCTTCTTCGAAAGCTTCGGAAGGGGTTTCGATTTTAATTTTAGTAAATTCCCAGAATTATTGCGAGGCGCGAAGAAATGCGGCTCCCTGCCACCAAAGGGTACATTGTATTAAATCCGAGGGAAGTAAACCACGTGACCCGTTATCCGCGGCGTTGAATTCGGACGGGACGTGGTTCCAGTCGCAAGCAGCAATTTTTTCTTGAATATAAGTCATCCAGTTGGCCACGAAAGTTTTCCACCCGAAAGAAGCACTTTTTATCCACGAAAGGGCAACGGTACTATCCGTAAAGGTGATGACATTTTGGAAAATTATCTTATTAGCAAAAGAGCGTTGTACAAAATACATTAATTTGGCAAGTAATACCGCAGAACAAAGTTCTAATCTTGGAAGGCTAATTCTCTTAACAGGCGCTACTTTCGACTTTGCGCACATAAAGTACGATTTGGAGGTACCGTCCTGGTTCGAAACGCGAAAAAATATAGTGGCGCACATGCCTCGCTTAGACGCGTCGCAGAAGCCAACAATTTGACAAAAAATGGAATTCGAAAGGTCAATCGAACGGGGGGTATTTTAAAATCCGAAAACAAATTAAGCTCGCTGACGAATGTTTTCCATTCTAAAATAATGTCCGCGGGTGCAAGCTCATCCCAATCCAATTTCAATTGCCACAAGTATTGAATTAGAGTTTTTGCCAGAAATGTGACCGAGGTAAGCATACCTAGTGGATCATAACATCTAGCAAGTGTACTAAGTAAATTTCTTTTGGTACATAATTTAGAAGTGCAAGTAAAGGAGTAAAAAAAAAGGTCTGTTTGCGGATCCCACCGCAAACCTAGTATTTTTAACGGAGTATCATTCTCCAAATCGAGGGAAAAGTCGCGAATCCGTAAGTGGGTTTCTGGTAAATCCCCGGCGGAGCAGTTCTATTAGCTGGTTTTTCATAAGCGAAAGTTGCTCTAAATTTGGACAAGAAACCGCACAATCATCTATATAAACCGACTCATTTATAATCTTAGAAGCGAGGGGTAGGTCGTAATAATCATCAGCTAATTGTAACAGCGTTCGAATTTCCAAGTACGGAGAGCAATTTATCCCAAGAGTTACGGTTTGTAATCCGTAATCTGACACCGGATCCTCGGGATTAAAACGCCATAAAATTACTTGGTATTTCCTTTGACTTGATTCAATATTTTTCATGAGATGCATTTTGGAAATATCAGTGACAAAACAATATTTATGTAGTCGAAAATTAAGCAGAATGGTTACCAAATCGCGTTGTAACTTAGGAACGGTGTATAACACCTGATTTAGACTTGGCTTATTGGTTGCATGGCAATGGAATCTTCTTTTATAACCGCGTGATGCCCGATATAAAAATATTCGTGCAGGTGTTCCTCGCTGGGGCGCGAAACCGGACGCATATGGCTAAATATTCCTCCATGATCTCGGAATAGGTATGGTACGTTACGTAGCAACCGCTTTTCCAAAGAGTAAAACCGCTTAACGGTGAGAGCTCGGGTGTCTCCAATATCCGGAGATGTGATTCGGAATGGAAAAGAAACTGTATATCTACCGTTCGTATCGCGGGTAGTTGTATTTACATAGTATTTTTCGCAATAAATATCTGAAGGTGGCTTTTGAAGCACATTGGAAATTTCCTCGGTTTCCCAGAATTTTTGTAGGGCATTATTTAGGTCGGTATTTGACACCGTAGTAAAATACGCGGATATGGTTTTAGAATTGGATGGGCCGGCATCTAAAGGCATTTTACCGACTAAGGTCCAACCGAAAACTGTATTTAAGCAAGTAGGGACATTAGGTCCAAAGTAAAGACGGCCGTCCTGTAAGAGAGATCCATAAATTTCAGCACCAATAAGAAGCTGTACTTCGGATTGAGTATACCATTGAGGATCAGTGAGCTTTAGTCCTTTTAAAAACTCCAAAGAATTTGG